CAGCAACAGATGGGCCGCGCCGGCCGGGGTCCCGCTTCCCTCCCCTCCTCAGCCCGGCCCGGCCCGGCCGAGCGGGGGCCGCGAGCGCCGAGGCAGGCGCGCGCCCGAGCCGGCTTGCCCGGCGCCTCCTCCCGCACCTGCGCCCGCGCCCCCGGAGTCGCCGCCGCCGCCGCTCCCGTCCCCGCCAGGCCCCCCGGCCGGCGCAGGACGCCTGGAGCCAGGCGGGGAAGGGAGGCTCCGCGCCCGCGCCCCGCTTTCCGTGCGCATTCGGGACCCGGGGCCGCACAGCGCGCTCCGGGGAAGGGGCCGGGGGGGGGGGGGGGGCGGGCAGGGGCGCAGCCGGGGGGCCGGCAGGGTCGGGAACCGGCGCCCATCCTGCGCTGCGCCGCCAGAAGTTTGCGAGGAGGGGGCTGCGCAGGGAGGGCACGGGGCGCCCCGCAGCCGCAGCCGCGGTGCAGAGCGGGCAGCGCGGACCGGCGCCCCTCCCGTGCGAAGAGCGGCGGGTCGCGGCTGCCCGCATCTCGCCTCCCACCCGCAGGACGCTCGGCCAGGACTTCGCCGCGCCGGGGATGGCTGCGCCCCCGCCCCGCTCCCTCCCTCGCGCGCCCTGCGGCGGGGGCGCGGGGGGACCCAGGCAGGCCCCCGGGAGGCTCCGGCGCGGCCCCCCGCCCGCGCGCCCCCGCCCGCCGCCTCACCTGCGCTTGCTCGCCCGGTCCGCCGGCCAGCAGCCGGCCTGGCGACTCCCTCGCGGCGGCCTGGCGGCGGGGAAGCGGCGGGCGCTGCCGCTGCCGCTGGAGCCGAGCTGGAGCTGGAGCTGCCGCTGGAGGGGAGGCGGAGCCGCCAGCGCTCTTTTGTGCGCCTCCGCCGGCCCCAGCCGCGCACCGAGACTGCTAATTAACCCGGGAAGCTGAGTGAGCGCGCCCGCGCCCCGCGCGCCCGGGAACCTGCATGGCGCAGCCGCCGCGCCCCCCGCAGAGCCGCCGCGCTCCCGCCGCAGCCCCCGGCCTGGGGCGGGCGCCGGGCGCCGGATCGGGCCCGCGCCGGCTCGCCCACCCGCCCGAGCAGGTGCCCCCGGGAGCGCTCGCCAGCGCGTGGAGCCGGTGGGGACGATGGGGCCGCTCGCAGGGCGCCTGGAAGGGGTGCGCGTCGCGCAAACCCTCTTCCGCAGGCTCGCGGGTCCGAGTGTGGAAGCGCCGGCAGACATGGCGGCCCTCCGCGGGGTGAGCAGCTCCGGGATGTAAACGGCGGGGGGGAGCGCCGGAGACCGCTTCGCACCTGCTTCCCGAAAGCCTCCCCCTCGCTTGATGGCCAGCGGTGACTGGCAACCCGAGCGCTCGCTTTCGTGGCCATGGTTTAACTCCAACATGAAGCTGGCAGCGTCTCAGAGGTGTAATTTAGCACATCCCAGAATATGTAGCTGCTTGTGCAGCTGCAGGGCTCGAAGCAAACCCTGAGCGGGCACTGTCCCTCGCTCCCCAGTCCCGTGAAACAAACAGTGATGCTCTCGTTTTTTGTCAGAGGGAAACGGCGCCCTGGTGGGCACCGGAGGCATTTCATTGCCGGGCGCGGATTTGAGGCTGGAAGACCAGCACCAGGCCGGACGAATCGTCCGCCTGGCCCACAGTGTTGCTTGTTCTCACTGGCAGGGGATCCCTGGGAGAGAGACCTAATTCTTGCGACCATCTCTGATCACCATTTTGGGAATGCTCTTGGGTTCTTGGTAGAGACTTGAATAAGAACAAAGACCCTAAGGGTCCTCCTGGTTCAGACCAAGGTCCGGCTTTCCCACAGCTGTCTGTGAGAAACGCCAGTAGGGCTGAGTGCAACAGCACCCTCTGGCCCATGTTCCCCAGCAACTAGAGAACATGGGCATAGTGCCCCTGATCCTGGAAGCATTGCACCATCAGGACTTGGAGACATAAACTGACTTCTGTGTTGTGACTGTATCCTGCCCCCTTTTAAACCCTAAGCGGACGGGCAGCTTGAATGCTGGTTGGTGAAAACGTACTTCTTTTTGCTCTCCAGAATCTCTTGCCAGAACTCAAAGCAGTTTACTTCAATCCCCTCTTCCTGCTCTCAGTCTTAGCCCTGCAAGAACAACCCCGTGAGGCAGCCTGGGCGGAGAGTCTGTGAATCTCCTTCACCCCTTGGCTCCAAAGTCACCCCGTTGGCTCCATGGCTGAATGAGGACTAGAGTCAGACTGCCTGAGTCTAGAACCGATTGCCTTGTGACGAGCACAACCTGGGTTTCCTCTGCTCAGAGATGGATGTTGAAGAATTTTCTTGGCTGCCCTTCCATGGATCCTCGCAGTCTTGTTTTCCAGTGGTTAATCTGGTTTATGAAGCTAATTTTATTTTACATGTTATTTCATTTTATTTAAAATGACATTACAAATGAAAGCACAGAGACCTGCTCCTGAGTGAAAGTAGAACAACTGCTCAAGCGTTTACAAAATCAGCCCTTAATGAAGTTCCTGACAACTTGGGGTTATTACATGTTCTGTACATTTTACACTGAGGACGATAAATTATTCAGTTTTGACTGAAGGTAAATTTATAGCAGAAATCAAAGTTTACTTTATCTCTCTCTGCACTACCGAAAGTGCTATATAAAATGTGAGAATTTAATGTGCTCTTAATTAAGGGTGCTATTAAGGAGGCGTTTATGCTCCCCTTAAGCAAAAGCATAAAAGCACAGAAAGAGAGGGAATATTTTACCATAAACTTGATAGTCTATTAAAATGCAGATAACTGGGTGAAAAATTATTTGAACACAGGGAGATGCCACCTGATGGGGAGGAGAAGCCAGAATTTGGGGCGCTTCCTAATTGCCTTGTTCCTGGACCCATTACTATTGCAAATGAAACCCATCAGAGTGTACATTTAAAGGGGAATAAAGCAAGCCTTCATTTGACCAGATGCCCACATAGGAAAAGGATATCTGCAAAGCGGACACGGTCCATCAAATGCAGAGTTCTGTTCATGCCAGCATGGAGAACTCACGCGCAGGATAGGTGCACAGAGACCAGTTCCCCAGCAACTGGTGTAAACAGGCATCCTCTCTCCGATCCAGGCTAGAACCGCCTGATGGAGCAGCCTGGGAGAGCCTTCTCTCCCAAGAGTGTGCCCAATCCCCTTTTAAAGGACTTCTAGAGGGCTTCCCACTGCCTGCCTTAATCTCTCTCCGTGCGGTTTCATGGGTCCTCACACCATGAGAGAACAGAACGGCTTCCTGTTCACTTCTCTCCACCGGCGCCTGGCTCTGGCGCATCCCACTTTAGAACACAAAATACAGGCACAGTTCCAGGCCAAGTTGCTCCCGTGGGTAGTTTCAGCCAGGAAGACACAGGAAATAAATTCACTGATGGAGAACGTGATGGGTTGGATGCATTCAGCATTCTCTCCAATCCCATTTATTTGATGAGTCTACTCTATACAGGACTAACGTTATATATAGCCTGGTGTCCCTTTTAAGAGATCCGAACGTCAAAATCTCTATGCAGACAATGAGGACAAATCCAGATGTATCAAGAGAATGGCCAAGTTTTCGAGTTCCTCAGAACTCTTCTCAGGCCGGAGACCAGGCAAGCGCGGTGGGAGAGAACCCACGGTCTGGCAACCGGCCATAGTCCGACAGCAGAACGCGCAGGTGTTGGGTAGATTCATTTGGATTACTGCAGGATGGACTTAAGGTACAATTCTCTGCATTGCTCGAATGGAGAAAATTTCTGTAGCTCCCGACATGCAGCCACAGTTTTGCACTGAGAATTTTTGATGCCGAGACCTTACTGGCGGTTCCCTCCTGTTTTCTGAAAATATAAAAGCATAGTCGCGTTTGTCTGTAACACTAGTAAGAACCCACGCAGAGCTCCCATGACATGGAGCGCAGAAGCCGGCAAGATGGTTGGTGGGAGACAGCGGGCCATGGAGAGGAGGCGGTTTGCGTGTGCATTCGAGGGGCGGCTCCGTGTTCCTAGGCCATCCACCAACTGACGCCCGCATCATCGGCAAGGGTGCAAGGCACGATCCAAACCACTCTGCAGCTTAGTAGCTGACAGGAATGGTCTTCTCACGTTCCCTTCATCCTCTAAAAAGAAACCTTTCATTCCTTGAGACTGAGCTCTGGAGAAGAGATCCCGGATCCTGAAAAGGTTTACAGCTGGATCACACAGGGACCTAATCCCATGCTGTTAAATGTTTCTGCGCATCCATTCGTTTGGCCTTGCATTGCTTTCCCTTTGCCCAGCTCATTCCTTCCTGGTCTGTGCACATGTGTGCGTGTATGTGCGTGCATAATACTGCATCAATCCAAGAATCCTGTATTCATTTTCGTTCATTCATTTGGTTTTTCTTACAAAGAAAAGGTAACCCTCATATTAGGAAAAAAGCATCTTCTTTAAATGTAGATCCGTTGATGCAGAGGAGCAGTCCGGTTTCTTGAGTCAGGATGCAAGCGTTCCGAGTCATCCAAGGGCTGATTATATCTGACTCACTGATCAGTAAGACACTTGCCAAGGTGTACAGGCAGAAAACATTGTCGTCAAACCTACTTACATGTCCATTCCGTGCCAAGGGGACGCTTTTATAAAATGAGCTCAAGTGTTGCTGGAGGCAAAAGACCTTGAAATATATGACACGAGCTGTTTCCAAGGGCCCAGATTTCAAACAATGCTACATCTTAAAACTAGTCCTTGGAGAGAAGGGGCGGCTGGGGAAGTTCTCCTGAGCAACCCCCAGTACAGGGGATGATTTCTACCCTTCTCAGTTCAGCGCAGCCTGCACGGGGGCATTTCCAAGCAGATCGTACCCTGAGATTTTGGGGGGTATCGTTTCTGATTTTTTATGCTCAGGTTGTGCCTGGAGCCTCACCCAAATGGGAGGCATCAGCCTCGAGCCACAAAGAAATCCAGAAAAACTTGAGCAGGTTTAAAACCACTTGAGTGCCATCTCTGATCAAAAGACAGGGTACTTCTGCCTAAACTAGAAAGAAGAAACAAACAGAAATGCATGGGTTTTAATTACCATTCATAAATTAAAGTAATTTGAAACAACAACATATATATTATGCTTCTGTTGGTGTCATTCACTTGGAGCATTAATGAAGATTCTGTGCCTTCCACGAGGCTTTTTCCCCATAAATGTGCATTTTTACAGCATCCAAATGGCGCCTTCTTGAAAAAGAATGGTACAGTAAGGAAGAGCTTAGCAATCACAAGCACACCAAGCATCCCATAATTGAGGGAACCAGTGAATGTGATGCTTGGAGAATCCTGAGAATGGGGAATTCAGGAAATCAGATGATTGCATGCTGGTTCTTTCTTAAGGGAATACTGGAGAGAAGCCGACTGCCTCTCCCTCTCGCGCTCAGAAATGTAGAGCAGAACGTTGAAGGATGACCTAGAAATCTATCAAACGGATGCAAAATTATGCCCAGGAGTGGTGAGGCAGCCGGAAAAATTCTCGGTATGCACCAAGCTGCACAGACCAAAAGAAAACCTCCGTGAACAAAACAATCATTGTGATTCTGAAGAATATGCGGCCCCCAATTGGTGCCCCTTCCCACCGCAGTCTGGATGCTCGCTCCTTGCTCCCACCGCGAGGCTGGATCCCATTTTAGGATTGCTCCAGCTCCACCAGGACTCCGTCACAGTCCTTGGGGTGGAGGAAAACCACGGGCTTCCCATGGGCACCAATTCTGGGCTCTTCCGTCAGCAGGCGGATCTTCTTCTCCTTCAGCTCCCCTATGGCTTCCGCAATACTGTCCACCTTGAAAAGGGAAAAGGGGGGTGCTTGAAGCAGAATTATTACTATATCGTGCCCCATAAGATGGCAGGATCCCCATCCTAAAAGCTTGGCTTTGTTGAAGGAGCAATTGCCGGCAGTGTGAGTTTGGAGCTAAAATGCACCAGCGGTTTTGCATTTTGGACCATGTCCTTTCTGGCTTTGGCCCACCCGCACAGCAGACTGCAGCCCACAAAGATTCTCTGAAATAGGACTTGCCCTCAGACTAAAAGAGCCCTTCATCTCTAAACAGATGAAGAACACGAGAGCTGAAACCTAGCTTGTGATGTAAAAAACAGGCATTGCCCCCTTCTTTCTCATCCATAAGTACAGCTTTGTGGTGAAATGTTCAGATGTCACCTTAATGAAATGTTATAATAATAATAATAAATTGAATAATAGAAATGTTATAATAATAATAAAAAAAAATGAGGGCTAGAAACTTGACCCATCCTCCTTAAAAGGAAAATCAGAAACGAACGTGAAATCCTTGGGATTCTCAGGATTCCAAAAAGTCGCCTCGCCATGAAAAAGCCCGTGCAGCTTTTCAGCGAAGGTCTGCTTTTTAAAGCTTTCCAGTAACACGAACCCCGGGAGCATCGTACCTCCAGGCAAATATGGTGCATCCCCCCAGACTTATTCTTCTGCAGGAAGCCTGCAATAGGGCTTTTCTCCCCCAGCGGGTGCAGCAGCTCCAGCTTCGTGTTCCCCAGCTCCACAAAGACGGTGTAGACGCCGTGCTCGGGGAGGGGGGTGACCTCGCTCACATGGGCCCCCAGCACGTCCCTGTACAAAGCCGTGGCCTTTTCCAGATCGGGCACGGCAATGGCGACGTGGTTGAGCCGGCCCAGTTTCCACAGCGAAGGGGGAGTCTTCTGGGCCACGGGACCAGAACCAGAGAACATCCGCCCCGCTGCAGCTGTCGCCTGCGACCGGGCGAGAAGCCCTGGGGAAAAACGGAACAGGGCCCATTTATAATCTCTTGGCGCTACATGACAACAAAATCAATGCCTGCGAGGGCCGGCGCTGACTTATTACATTAAGGGATTATGTTGCAAGAGCCTCACAGACACACATCTGGGGACAAAGGAGTAGCAAAAAGCCTCCGGGCTGCCAGTTCATGCCGGCTGCTTTACACGGCCCTGGTTCGCACGGAATCCGAACTCGTGCTGCCGGCTGCTGGATTCCGGTGGTCCTGACGTGTGAAGGAAGCCCAGTCGCTAACCACGGTCAACCCAGAAAGGCAAGTCATGATTTCTTGTTCGGCTGTGAATGCCGGGTTGTTTAAGCTACAGTTTGTTGTTATGTGCGAACCAAGAACCATGGGTTGTTCTGCCGAGCGACAGATGGCAGGCAAGAGAGGTAAAACCCCCAGGTGCGCTGCAAAGGTGTTGAGGATACGGGAAGGAGCAAACGAAGTGGGAGAGAAACAGAGAATTCAGGGACTGAGAACCTGGTTTGCTCGAGTGACGGTCAACAGACCCCAAGTCAACCGTGAGGCCAGTCTGGAGTGCTGGTGAAGACTGCTGGACTGGGACTGAGTTCTAGCCTCCATTCAGCTATGGAGCCTACCGGTGACTTGGGGCCAGTCAGACCCTCAGCCCAGCCTACCCCACAGGGTTGTTGCTGTGAGGATAAAACGGAGGAGGAGAATCGTGTAAGCCCCCGTGAGTTCCTTGCAAAAGGAAGACAGGTGGGATAGAAATGCAGCGCGATAATATGGTGCTAAATAAACCCTGTGTTGGCAGCACGTGTGAACTTGGCCATGAGCTCAAGTCTCGGGGTCACCTAGTTTAATATTGTGGGGACCGACTCGGAGCCGCTGTCCAGATGGCATCAGGTCCTTCCCAGCCTGACCTGGAGATACTAGCGAGAGAGATCTCCGGCGTGCTGAGTACGTGCTCTCCCGCCGAGCCACGGTTCCCCCAATCCTTTTGATCACTCCTTCCTCCGAAAGTCAGTACGGTGCCTGTATAAAGGGTCGGAGCTGAATCCGGGAGCCCCAGTTCCCATCCCTGTGCAGAAGGCAGGGAGTCAAACGACCTGAGCATGGCCCTCAGGGACAGGCGGCCACATCTTGCCAGAATGAACCTGGCTCACCTTTGTGCATATTCCTAGCAGAAGGCTGAAGCGGTTGCTTCGAACTGCAAAAGGCTAATTTGGCCCCGAGGGCGTTACATAAGAAGGCCTTTAGGGAGACCTGCCCCCAAGAAGCCCCCAGCTCATATCTGAGAGGGCCCCAGGTTAATACCCAGAATGCAAGAAGACTCCAGACTGTTGGATTTGTAGTTTGCTTTCTTGGCCTGCAAGAGCAAAGCCAAGCCTAACGTTTAAGAGCTTAAATGTCTTTTAGCACTTAGAGATGTATCATTAATCCCAGAATCCTTGGCATTTTAAAAACTGAACGCACAGACATTTTTATTTTGGGAATTTGGTTTTTCCACTTTAAACTTTTGCACCTATCCAAAGGCAAGCTTTAATCCTTTGCGTGCTTATAGTAACGCAGTCACGCTTTAGCTTAGCCTTTTACATTCAAGAAGCGCGCAGGAGAAAGCCAAGGGGCAACTACATCATGGGTGCCTTCCGGGCCACTTGACCGTCTGTGTTATTAAACATCTCCATGAAGCCACTGGGCGAGCTCACCTGGAGCTCCGGAGTGAGATGCCATCCAGGTATGCAGGTGGCACTCGGCTCTTCGTCACCTGATTCCACCTTTGAACGCTGCCGGAGTTGATAATGGTCTGGATGGGGGTGAACACACGGAGGTGTCAACCAGTGTGAAAAGGAGACTAGGATGTCAGGACAGCGTCACCCTCTGCCAGAAAGATCAGACCGTTGGCTTGGGAGAGTTTCCAGACCTTACACTGTCCTTAGATTCTCCGGGGAGAGCAACTGCGAGCAGTGTCCTTGCACAACTACCACAAGAATGTACAAAGCCAAATGGAGAAGTTCTTCTCCTCTCCCACCGTGCCAGAACCCAAAGGGAGCTGGAGCTGGCTGGTGAGAGGTTCAGGATGGATAAGAGGATGTCCAGTTCTGGGCACCAAGGTTTAAGAAAGAAAGATGAAGGTAAATTAGAAAGGGTCCAGAGGAGGGCAACAAGAATGATCCAGGGTTTGGAAACACTGCTTTATCAGGAGAGATGGGGCATGTTCAGCCTTGAGAAGAGAAGAGTGAGGGGGGACATGAGATCCCTCTAGAAGTACCTCAAAGGCTGCCACAAAGAGGAAGGTCAAGATCTCTTCTTGCTGATACCAGAGTGTAGGACACAAAATAATCAATTCAAGTTGCGATAACCAACATTGAGGCTGGACATCAGGAAAAGCTTCCTCGCTGTCAGAGCAATGCAACAGCGGAACTAGCTGCCTAGAGAGGTGGGGGGCTCTCCCACACTGGGGAGATTCAGAAGGAAACTGGGCAGCCTGAGTGGGATGGTGTGACTTGGTGTCCTGCAGCAGCAGGGGGCTGGACCCGGTGGCCTTCTGGCCCCTTCCAACTCCGCTATTCTAGGATTCGATGATTAAGGCCTTCCATACACTGAGTGCCATCAAGCGATGGAATTTGCTACCACAGAATTTAATATTGGCCACCAATGTGAAAGGGCTTTAAAAGGGGATAGGCTACTTTTCCCAATCGCTCTCTCCCACCTCCTTTACTGAGCAGTGTGACTACATATGCCAGTTTCCCGGGAGGGTACAAGGCACCTGGGTCCCACCGCCAGTGTCCAAGAGGCAGCAGGGAGGCTGAGATGTGGACTTCTGCTCCAATTTGCTGCTTCGGAAGTTCGCATCCCAGCCTGGGCTCCTCACACCCCATTCCTGTCCCTGACAGTGTATCCTGAAAAATATTTTGGTGCTCTATCCGGATCAACCCGGTTTTTCAACCTCTCTTAAAAAGAAGGGTCAATCCACGAGGGCTGGGATATGAAGCTTGAGCAGTTTCTTCCCAATCACCGGGAACAAGTCTCAGCTGAGTCAAAGAAATAAACATTCTGCTTTTGTGACCATCAAAACCCAGCTGCTTATTAAAATGACACCTGTTGAGCTAATAACTTGAAACGTGGCATCCATGGTTGACCTGACGAGTTGCTCTTTTGTGCAAAATTTCAAATGTGTCCAGTCAAAAATTGCTACAGGAACAGCAAGTTAAAAGGGGTACGAAACGATGCCCCGTCACTTTTTATTCCACGCGGTGGCTTGGCAAACCCTACGTCCCTTTCAAATTTTGGTGAAAACTATTGAGGTGGGTTTTTTGGATGGTCAACCAACTTTCATCGGTTTGGTGAAATTCTGAGCAGTGGCTCCAAAGTTGTTCAGGTTTTTCTCTCTCATTAGAGAGAGAAAGCAGCTGTGAGGCCGCTGTGAAGTATAGTGGTCAAGTGTGTGGGACTGGAAATCCATGCGTGCTCGGCCATGTTGGGTGACTTTGGGCCAGTTGCAGACTCAGTACAACCTACCTCACAGGGTTGTTGTTGTGAGGGTAAGATTACAAGGAGTGTTATGTAGCTGCCCGAGTGGGGATGTTCAGGTGGGGTGGGAATACAGAAAGATCAAGGCCTCACACCCCCTTTCTGGAAGCAGAAACACGGCCCAAGCGCTCTGACCTTTGTGTGGAAGGAAAGGATGTACAAGGATCCCATCTCACACCTGGGTTACATTGGATGCACAATCACACTTGTGTGTGTTCCTTGAGAAGAAGCAAGAAACACTTATTGTCCACAGAGGAACATCTCTTGGGGGATTTTCGAATCTTGAAATGAAATGAAATGAAATGAAATCACGGTTACCATTAGGGTTATAATCCTGCTGGTCATAGAGATGAACTTGCCAGTGGAATAAGTTAGAGGGAAGGAAGCATTCTTGATGCATGACATCACGTGGTCTGTGATTCACCGGGACCCTGTGAATGAGCTCCCTCTCCTCGGACAGCCCTGCCCGTCTCCCTCCATGAGGTTGCCAACACTATAATTGCAAACTCCCTTTTCAAAAAACCAGGAATGATGCAAAGAGCTGAAGTCCATCTCCTGTTGCCTCAAGCTGCACAAAGCCAGGAAACTGGAAACTGGAACCTAATACTTTAACTGAGGTGCCCCATTTATCAGATACACACTCATGAACCGTGCTTGTTCACAGGGCTTTTCTTGGTTATCTGGATTTGGCTGTGAAAGACCTGGCGCTTGAGCCGAAAGGAGACGGCCTTAACTCTAGACTTAAACCAGCAGGTTTTTTCCTCACTAAATCAAACTCTGAAATTCCCAGATGTCCTACACCAGCCTAAACTTTTATAGCACAAAACCCTTGGTGTTTATCTTCCCAGCTGTTAAGCACACTGTAAAACATCTGATGCTTCACATTCGCTAATGTGTTGAAATGGAAATATGACTAGGCAAAGGCATTTTTCCACCCAAAATTAAGCGTCAGAAGAGGGCCATGCTACACATTCCCTTATTGCTAGGGGAGCAGCTGCTGCTCCTTGCCTATTTTACGATGAACCATGTGGAAAGACAGGGCATCGTTGCTCCAGATTCCAGGAAGCTTATGGGGTCAGCACAGTCTTGGGCCCAGTTCAGCCAAGCACGGTTGCGGGGTGACCAGAAGGAAAGGAACAGCGCAGCCAGCCCCAAAGGCATGTTGAACTAGACACTCAGAAGTGAAAATCAGAGCAGGCAGGACAAATCTCCTTTCGATTGTCCCTTCCTTTCCTCTGCAGCACCTTCGTCCAGGTGCTAAAGATTCTGGGGCTGCAGCTTTTTTCACACACTAGTAAATTTGGCCCCAAGCTTGTATCCGATGCACCAAAGAGACGCAAAAGAGGAGAAACGTTTGACGAAGAAAAAGGCTGAAGTGGAATGTGAATGTCTAGTACTAAGGAGCATAGAAGAAGTATTCTAGTGGGTCTGTTCCAAAGGAGTTCATTTGGAATTAAACCACACAAGGAAAGTTTTGCTGCGGACTCCCTTGGATGTTTGACATAGTTTATTCCGTATTTTCAGTCGAGGTTTAAAAAATGGGGAAGCTGTTCTTTCTGGGAGTTCCCAAGCACTCCGCTCTCTGTGCAGACTAAAAGCTTTCTCCGTTAGTACTAGAAGATGCATAGCTTGGGGGTTTCCCCAAGGGTGCCCCCACACAATTAGTCACCCCCCCCCAACCATTGTGGTTAGAAATTCAAAGCAAAATAATCCCTTTCCTTATGTCTAGGGAACTTGGCAGAAAGAAGGCCAGAAAGGGGTACAGGAGCGCAATGGAACAGATGGCGTAATTGTGAAGGAAAGAAGAAACAACTCCCACATCAAGGTTGCAAGCAGAGATTTTGCCCAAATGGCAGAACAAAGTTGTTCGTGTTCATGGGAAAAGCCCAGCTTTGTCCAGATGGAAAACGGCACCCTGGGAGCTGCCCACCCCTTTCGACTAGTCAGGGCCTGAACGTTTTCTTATTCTGAAAGACTTTTGTGCGAACTCACACCGATTAACCTGCGCATAAGTGTCACTGAAACAACCGGGACTGCCTTTTGAGTAGACACTGTATGGGATTCTGCAATAATTTTACTGTTTTTGTGCCAACAGATTTCTCTTGCTTTAAACTCTTTTTGTTTTAGACGTGTTGCTTTACACCTTTCATAGAGTAATTTGATCCCTTGTTTATGGGACACCACTTAGAATAGCAGAGCGTATACATTAAAAGACAAATGTCAAGGGGAAAAGCCAGTATGAGCAGGAATAGTAAAAGGAGCTACAAAGGTTTGCTTGCTGTTTACATGGCCCTGCTAAGCCCAAAGTAGTGGATTCAGCAAACATCAGAGCAGCGCAATTGCCCCGGAGACCACAAGTTCTGCTTCACACACACACACAACAGCAATGGAAAAGTCTCTGTGCAAGCCAATTAGAACTCTTCTTGAAGCAAACTGACAGCCGATGTAGAGACCTCGACACCTGGACCTCGGATAAGGATAAGGATGCCAAGGACATACCTGAGGAGAGGCCCTGAAGAACATCACCAGGTGGCAGAGCAGATGGTGGAACCAAAACAAAAGTATTTTGCTTTGCAAAAACACAGTGACCGACGTGACTGTGCACAGTAACGGCAATTTGTAGAAGCATCGGTTCCCCTTCTCCCAGGAAGAGAACTACTCCCACCTGTGATCCTATTTGGACAGAGGGACAGGAATCCATGCTCCGGTAACCTCTCGTTTGGATTACTGCAATGCACAGCCTTTGAAAACACCAGGAAAGATCTGTTCCCGGAATGTCCTGTAAGGACGCTGGCCTAGAGGGCCTTGTGAGCCAATCCAGCAGGACCCTTCTTATGAGGTGTGTAAGCCCTGACAGCTTTCCTTTCATGATTTCCACTGTCTGGGAGGCTAAGGTCATTTTCGGCAGCCCTCCTCTGTGAAAAGTGGGTGGCTGCTACGGACAGGGGCTTTTCAGTGGTCGCTCCCATAGTGAGATGTTCTCCCCAGGAAGCCTTGCTTGGTGCTCACAGAGTACAGTCTTTTCAGCACTAGGCGAAGATCTTTTTATATCCCTTCTCCAGGAACCCTCCATGAAAGAAATTAGGAGAGTAAGTACCCGGAGGAGGGCTTTCTCTGCGGTGGCGCCCAACCTATGGAATTCACTCCCCAAAGAGGTCCGCCTGGCACCGTCGTTACTGGTTTTTCGGCGCCAGGTAAAGACCTTTTTATTTAAACATCATTTCAATTGTTAAAACATATGATCAGGCCATGGCAACTTCTTCTTCCTTCTCTTTCTCCTCCTATATTTTTATTTTATACTGATAATTTTAATTTTATATTTGTAAATCAATGTATTTTTTGTATTTTTATATTTAATGGTAATTTATTATGTACTACTGTATTTCAATGTATTTTATCATGTTGTAAGCCGCCCCGAGGTTTCGGCAAGGGGCGGCATAGAAATGTTATAATAATAATAATAATAATAATAATAATAATAATAATAATAATAATAATATATCTTACTCCTTTGGTTGGTATTGTGTGCAGATGCACTGTTGGGATTTTAGATCTGTGTGCCACTGTGGGATCTTACTGTTTTTATTTTGCTTTTTGCTTTTGAAGGTGTTATACTATGATTTATCGTGCTGTATTTTAAGCTTTTCTGTTTGCAAACCACCCAGACAGATTTGCATATTTAAAGGAATCAAATGCAATACAGCAAGAAGGTAGCCTGAACAGTAACTGTGTGTTTTTTTTAAAGAACTAAACCATGTTAAATTCTTTAATCATGGGAATTGCATGTAGTGCAATACATATTTATTTATTTATTCAAAATATTTATATGCTGTCCTGTCACAAAAAGCCTCAGGACAGCTTACAACATAAAATGTAAGATATGGAGGGCACTCGGTTGTGGGAAAGTGACCGAGCTAACTAGAGGATTATGGAATTGTGATCCAATACATACGGAGCCTAAACGGTTGGGAGAAATGTCGGTTGGGGATCATGGGAGCTGTAGTCCAAATGCATACGGGGCACCAGCTCGGGGAAAACAACTATGCTGGCTAAGGGATTATGGGAATTGTAGTCCGACATAGAACAGCCTGGTTTGCGGCTCAGCTTCTTGGGAAATGCCCCTGGTACCAAAGGACATGGGTCGGCGCCACAGAGCGGGCAGGTCTTACGTTTCCAAGGGGGGCAACTCCAGCTGTGCAATGCAAGGAGTCTCTTTCTCCGCAAAACCCAGCCTGACCCACGTCCAGGGTGCAAAAGGGCCTCATCCTCACCGCTCGCCTCCCTCCCTGGTCGTGGGAAGACCTACCAGCTGCCCGCGTCCACCTGGAGGCCGCCATCTTTAAACCGGGCAACTCCCGCCGAACAACTCCCGCCGAGCGAAGCCGTAGCGAAGGCCTGGCGAGCGCTGGCAACGGCAAGCCGGCGGGCTCAAAAGATTACCGCGAGGCCGAGCACGGGAAAGCGCCGCCGCGAGGTCCTAGCGCCGCCGATTTGCAGCTCCCTTTTCCAAAGGCTGCTTCTTGGGCCACAGATGCCCACTTGACTGAAAAGCGGCCTGTGGGAGGCGCTTCTTGCTCTCAGTCCAGGCTGCAAAAGCCCCCAAGCTGGCTCTCAGCACGCGATCGCTCTAAACCTCAAATGCTCAAACCTGCCTGCCAGGTGGGCTCTCCTGAGCTCCAGAAAGCAATGCCTTCCACAGTCTCCCTGGGTTCTCAGAGTGGCAGGCAATGCCCACACGCACCAACCCGCATGAATGGCGGGCCTATGAATGGCTGTCTGCCAGGGCGGCCAAATCAAACCTCCATGGACAGATGCAGTATACCAGATGCTGGAGGCGAGATCAGTGGGTGGTGTACGCGTACCAGAGAATTCCATGTACTCGTGTGGTAACCTACACTTATTCTGCACTAGAGGTCCCCCGGAGAAGCTTTTTGGGGGCAGCGGGGGCTTGAAATAGGTTGGGTTGCCGCCCTGCACGATCGCAATTGTTTTTTGCTCCAGCCAGATGGGATGTCAGTCGGCAGCCCCCATCTCCCCTGCCACCACCCCCTCTCCACCTGCTGTCGTTAAAGGTGTGGGGGCACCGATCATTTCTGTGGCATTCCATCCCCCAGAACCAGCTGTCCTTTCGCACACACGATCTTCCAAGTCCTGCCATCCCTACCCCTGGATGGTTCTGTTGGCGGAGTTTTCCCCATCCGAGGGCTTCCCTTCCCCTGCCCCCCGTTGCTTTTCACACATAGGGGTATCCTCAAAAGACAAGGCTCTTTATGGACAGAAATCCCCACCCTGAGCCTTCAGAGCATTTGTAAACAAACATGTGCCTTTTCCACTCTTGTCGGCCTGAATCCCAGATGTTTTCTGTACCAAACAAGGCTCCAGGCTCAGGTTCAGCACCTTCGGTTCCAATCCTAACAGACTTATTGTGCCAGATGCTTCCCGCAACCTGCCTGGAGTAAGCCCACTGAATTAATTCGGTGGGACTTACTTCCACAACTACACACGCAATTGTGCTGCACACTTTGACGAAGGAGATCCTAGTCCACAAACACGTATGCCGCCACAGATGCTCACTGCTTCAGGTGCCCCTGGACTTGGTGTCATTTGTCTTTCCGATCAAAGTGGTGACCCAGCCTTGTTTCTGTGGCTGCTGAAAAATTAAGGGTGAGCCAAGCTGAGAATATAGGTCAGGAAGGCAGAACTTCACAGTAAGATGAGAGAAAGATCTGTTGCTATTTTTAGATTATGACTCCCCCTCCTCGGCCACCCGATTTTCTTTACTGATGAAAATTCAGACCTGCAATAACCCAAGGGAAGAAAAAACACACAGCCCCTTGGAGCACACCGCATAGCTTAATGGTCTACTCTCTAATTAGCTATCAACAGTTCGAAATGATGCATGGAGAGAATTTAAATCAGCACTCCTTTCAGTGCAGCCGAAACTTACACTATACCAACCTCTCAAATCCCTGGAAACCCCATCCTGGAAACATGCACCTTTCTTGCAAAAGAGCCTAAATTTAAAATGCATCTTCTCCAGAGGGATGGTGGGCAGAAGATAATTGAAAACAAGAAATGCATATGGAGAACTCGAGAGAATACAGAAATATATCATAAATCAATTGCACTGTCGTTATTTACAGATGGATGTATTTTGTGTTTCAAATAATTTAATATAAGGCTGACAATGCTCCAATAAAACATGTATTTATTACTGATGTTTTATGGAACCTTATCTGCTAAATGGCCATTGAGACTGTGCACAGCAACTGAGAACAATAAAAGCTTAAAACAATAAATGGAGAAATATTAAAAAATAGTTTTAAAAACGTATGGCCTATCTGTGCAATTTATTTTCCCATTTGGGAATGGTGGGCACATTTTTTGGCTCCCAGGATTTATAGTCTGAATGGGAGTAGCAAGTTTTTAAAGAACTACACTATACCCACGGTGGCTAGAAGTTTATAGGCACTGCAGTCCAACGAATGGAGGGCAGGGCGCTGCGTGGCGGGACTGGTGGATTGGGGGAGAGCCTTCCAGATGTGCTGGACTGCAATTCTCAGCCTCCCGTCTGCACGGCGCTTCCAGCTGCAGCCCAACATCTGGGAGGCACCCAGCAAGGATTTCTCAGTACTTCTGCAGTCTTACTTCCTCAGTGCATCCTGCGGGACTCACTGCCACGCGCAGCTCCGCTCCGCCAGGCACCCTCCGGGGAGAAAGTCCCGCCGAGTTAAATGGGACGGGCTCCACCAGCCCGGGGCTCCTTCCTCGCTTCCATGCCTAGGGAAGGGGGCGCTGGATGCCGGCTCGGGGCATTCCAGCCCCAAGGGGCGGCCGGGGGGGGGCGGCCTTTGCATCCCTTCAGGGCCCCGCTGCAGAGGGGTTGCCTTGGGCAAGCTTGCCCCCACCCCCGTCGGCCCGCCCTACCTCGCAGGGTCGGCCTCACACGGGGCGAACTGGAGAGCGGGGCGGGCGCGGAACCTTCGGAAGCGGAACCTTTCTGCGGAGCGGCGGGAGCCGCCCGGAGCCCGCCGAGGAAGGAGGCGGCGCGCCTGCGCAGGGGGCGAGGTGAGGGCAGAGCAGGGCCGGGCATGGCGGAGCCGGCGATGGCGCTGGGCGCGTGCATGGAGGCGCTGGGCGCCGCGGCGGCGCAGCCCGAGCGCTTCCTCAGGTAGGCGCAGCGCGGGCGGGCGGAGAGGCGGGCGGCCCGGGAGGCGGCGGGGCGGGCGTCGCCTCTGGGCGCAGAGCCGGGCAGGCGCGGGGCCGGCGCACTGAGCGCGGTGGGCGTCCAGCCGGGCCCGCATGGCTCTGCGCGGGGAGCTGCGCGGCCCCCTCGTGCCCGATCGCGGCCGGCAGGGCGCCCCTCGTGCTCCCGGCGATCTCGGCGGGCCACCCAGCCAGGGCGCACACGTGTCTCCCCCCACGGGTGGCACCCCACACCACTGCGCCTCTTTATTTGAGCAGCCTTTCGGATGCTAAGCAAGGACGCCACCTTTTCTTTTGCTTTTTTAATGGGTCGTGCTGAAAATCCGATCCCGTTTAATGCTTGTGATGTCGGAGGCAAGATTTTAATGTTGTGAGCTTAGGGTCCTGTTTGCAAAGCATCCATGAGGGGGCCCGACGCACCCCTGGAGGGAGCGGACTCCACAGCACCCCTATTTCCACAGGTCACTCAGGATGCGATCCTGGGCATACTAGCTTTGGACCAAAAGCACAGGCATGTTCACCTGAAATTAAACCTGGCTGTGTTCCCAGGGGCTTAAGCCCTGGGATTGCAGGATTGTTCTCACTTATCTCCTGGCCCCTTTTCCCTTGTCTACACATGAGATATGAAACCCTGACTGAGAACCTGTGGCCCTTCTTTATTGAGCATCATGAGTTAAAGCGGCGATGATCTTTCTGAGACTAAAAGGAAACTGTCATGAGTGGATGTCATGAAAGGCAGTGGCCCCATTGTAAGCTGATGCATGTACAGATGGGCTGAAAGGGGCCTGCACTTCTCAGCAAGGCTGGCTGAAGGGATGCTGGGAGTTGTAGGGCTTTTTCAGGCTAGATGGGCATATGACTGCTCACACAGGGGCCATTTCTGGCAGTCTTGCACCAGGCAGTGAGCATTACAAAGAGGTACCTTTTATGACCGCTGTGATTTGACTAACTTCAAATACTCTTCTATTTCTTTTGATGCTAGTGTGCAGGAGGGACTTGCCAGTGACTTCACCTTGCTAACAAAAACACTGTATGATTTCCATAAAGCTCTTGGGGCTGATGTTCTTTCTGGGAGCCCTTTGAAGGAGCTGGTGATAGATAACGTCGATGAAGAACACATCTGGCAACAGCTGGAGCTCCAGAATAATGCAGTTCTGGGCTACTTCAAGAAAGCGGTTGCTAGAAATGTGAAGGAGGAGCAAGAGCTCTTTCTGCTCCCCGAGTTGGAGGAGGATGGGTCTGTCACAGGTGACAGTGAGAAGCAGACTGATAGTGAGGAGGAGTTGGAAGGGAATGAGGACCAATCAGCAGAAGTGTTGGATCACAAAAGCGACCACCTTGAAGAGGAATGTGAACTTGGAAAGAGGAGAACTCAGCGCAGAACAACGGAAGGCACTGAAGAAGCGTTTAGTGATGAGGATTCCGATATGGACTTTGACATTGATAAATTTGAGCAGCAAAGCCAAATAGCAAAGAGTACCATGAAGAAAAGAGGAGAGCCATCTATTCTGGATGACAGATTTTTCAAACTATCTGAGATGGAAGCTGTTTTGGATGCAGCAGAAAAAATGGAAAACAAAGAAAGGGATGAAGATGATGGAATAGATTATTTTGACGATGTTCTTTCTGAGGATGAGGATGAGGAAGAGGAGTTTGGAGAAGCCAATATGAAGGTGATGATGTCAAGAAATGGTTTGGATAAAGCTATTGTTTGTTTAATATGCTGTAACTTTGATACATTCTCAAAACATTTAAGAGTGGCTTTATACTGAGACCTTTTTCTGTAACAGGCCAAACTTGTGGCAGGCCTGTGTATAACAGGCCTCCAAGTAAACAAGAGTGACTTTCCCAACAGGGCCTCGTGATGCTTCCAACTACCCTACGCCTGAGCTGGGATAACGAACAGGCCCAATAATCTGTGTCTGTAACTGAAAGTGGGGACTGTGTGGACCACATAAGCAGAAATGCTGCTGAATGTTTCTAGTCTGCCTTGCTTTGCTTCCTTCTCAAAACAAGTCATTCAGGGCCGTTCCTCTTGGGTCCAGTTCACACCCTGTGTAAAAAAAACAACCCTTCACTCAGTTTCTTCTCCTTGCTGTTGAGAGCAGGTTAAATGGAGCACAGCTGTGAGTCGACTCGTGGATAAAGCTTGCCGCAATTTGTTTTATTGTGACAGCCTTTTTTCAGCTGCCGTAATCTCAGGAATCGCTCCTGGGGTTACAGTGTGCTGAAATCCATGGGGATTTTGGAGGAAGAGCAAGAAAGAGAAGGAGGTTGCATGAGACTAAGCTGCCACTTCGCAGGATGTTGCCAAAGCTCTTGTGAGCTTTAAACGAAACAGGCTAATTTGGCCAAATCTGTGTTTGTGTCTCTAGAAAGAGCAGTGGCTGCTCCTGAAATATTTTAAACTCTCATCTGTGTTCTTTCAGGAAGACATTTTGAACTCTTCAGTGTATCCTATAAACAGAGTTATTGATGATTGTGTCTTTACTCATTCCAGTGCCCTCTAACGTCTCGGGCTTCTATAATTTGCTGCTGGTTTTTCCCCCCAGCTAAGTAAAAGTGCTCGTGATCTTAAGTATCAAGATTACTTTGATCCTGTGGATGATCCAGAAGATTTCGTAAGTGAGCACAAAGATGAAAGGAGTGAAGGAGCAGACAGTGGCACTGAATATAGCAGTGGAGCTGCCGATGAGTAAGTTTTTAATCCGCAGCAGCCAAGTCCTACTTTAATATAGTCGGCTTTGAAACAGGAGGTGGGAAATAGTTTGCTAGTCAGGCTAGAGTTCGACACCATTTGGAGAACGGCATGTTCCCCACCCCTGCCGTGGAGGCCATCCTGCAAGGAGGGGATGTTTTTATGCTGTCTTATATAGTGTAGGTTTTATGAAATTATCAAGTGGTTGGAATAATTGCTCTACAAGGAAGATAGCAATTCTAATGACAACATCTGGGATTGTCCCTCTTAGAGAAATGGCTAGTGAGGGGGGACATGATAGAGGGGTACAGAATACATCATAGGGAGAAGATGACTTTTCTTCTTTCTCATACTACTGGAACCCCTGAAGTTGACTGATGGGAGAGGTGGGGCAGATAAAGGGAAGCCCTTCTTCACATAGTGCATAATTACACTAGGAAATTTACTTTCACAGGATGTCATGATGGCCCCAGTTTGGATGGCTGTTAGTGGGGATTCAGGAAAGGCATGGAGGAGAAGGCTATCAAAGGCACTAGTCCTCATGGCTATACTCTGCATTCAGTATCTGAGTCAGTTTTTCTATATGCATTTGCATTCAAGTCCTGCATGTGGGGGCAGCTGGTTTGAAGCTATGTATGCATTGTTCTTCCAGGGTATTCTCTCTGATGTCCCAGCAGGGTTGTTTTCAAGAGTTCCAGTATGAATTAAATACAGAACTGTTTTATGGAACAGAATGAGATCCTCTGTACATGTAATTTTGCTTAACTACAGAACCGAGGAAATGGATGGAATTGAGCAGGCTCAGATGGAGAAGAATAAAGAACTTTCCAAGAGAGTGACATTTGCTTTGCCATATGATAGCGACATGGAAGAAGACACAGACACCTTCCAGGGAAAGGCAGACAGCGCCCCTGAAACGAAATCATCATTTGAAAAAAGACAGGAAAAGGTAATTTGTTGGCCGCATGCACGCGTGTCTTGAAACCTAAAAGTCCCCTTTGAGAGTAAACAAAAATCTTTCCATTTAAAACATTTTAAAATAAGAAAACGAACAAGGCATGAGCAGAGGCAAGGTGTTCTGAAAGCATGGTTCTCTTGCAGATGGGAGCAAAAATTAAGTCCTTGGAAGAGGAGCTGCTGATGGAGAAACCGTGGCAGCTGAAAGGCGAAGTGACAGGACAGAAGAGACCCGAGAACAGCCTCCTGGAGGAAACGCTGCTATTTGACCATGCAGTGAGAATGGGTAACTTGCACGGACACGCTTCTCTTAAATGTTCCTCGCAGGCTAGCACCCAATTAACGCTGATTAAAATGTATTTTAGTAAATACCTTCCTGAACTTTCCATTTGTTGTATTCTCAGCGCCTGTGATTACGGAAGAAACGACCCTTGAGCTTGAAGATATTATCAAGAGAAGGATAAAAGATCAGGTTAATGGGACTAATTTCATGTCAACTATTTTGTTTGTGGGGCAATGGGTTGAGAAACCCAGGAAGTTCTTAGATATGCAGATCAGAAAGGAACAGAAGTACAATTCAAATATCTTGAGCATGTTGTTTGACTGTCCTGAAGTCTGTGCTCTGTTTCTTGAAGAGGTGGGAATTCTGGAACATTTTAGAAAGGCCCTTAGAAATTCAATCGGATGTTTGACTTGGTTCGGACAAAAACCCTGGCATGGACACATTTCTTGTGTGCACCATCCAACAACATCTGACAAACTATAGTTTGTGGACACACACCACATCTGGATTTATCCCTTGGTTTGAAGCTGGTTTGGGAGCTCTGACTTGGTATTCCATTTGAACAGGCAAATCATGGCTTAGGATGTTTCTCTGCTTGATTTTTGGAAGAGTGCGTTGGGTTCTCTGGGGAAAAAGAAAGCAATTATACAAACCATAGTTTGCCTGTATGTCTGGAACACAAAGTCTGCACTTCTGCTGGCTTGGAGTCACGTCATCCTTTCCCCTTTGGGCAAGTGACAGGGTCATCTGAACTTATTCTGGGGTTCGGGACAAGGTAACTTGCTGGCACCCCATGAACAGGCAGCACCCCTGCTGCTCTGCCCCGCCTGCCTTCTGGCAGCTGCTGCCCTTACACCCCCTCCTCGTCCACCCCCACGACCCTCTCCCCATTTTCTTAGCTCTCTCGGGTTTCCGCAAAACAAATGGCAAGACAGGAGCAAAGAAATGCTATGGAGTTGATTCCTTTCTACCCTGCAGCAAACACTATTTTAACATGTCACAGCATCTTTCTGATATATTCTGGCTTAGGCTTGGGATGATGTTGTCCGTAAGGAGAGAGCAAAAGAAGAACCCTATGAGTACAAGAAGCGGTTAACTCTGGACCATGAGAAGAGCAAGCAGAGTCTTGCTGAAATTTATGAGCAGGAATATTTGAAACTGAACCAGGTGGGTTTTGTGTTTTAAATTTTAATGTTTGCTCCCTGTCCTTTCTAGCATCCATCTATAAAAGATTGCAGGTGGTATTGATTTCTCTTGCAGAGTTAATATTTTACAATATGCTGTCTTGCTGTTGGGCTTGAAAGTGTTGGGAATTCTTTTCTAAATCCGACATTTCTCCTGACCCAGAAAAAATCTGACGAGGAAGAAAAGCCCGAGCATACAGAAATCCAGAAAATGATGGACTCCCTCTTCCTCAAGCTGGATGCCCTTTCCAATTTCCACTTCACACCTAAACCGGTAGGTATTGCAATGTTGTCGCTTGGTGGACATAATTGTGTTTCAGAAGGCAATGTTTCAGTGCAAAAATGTTGGGGTGACTCTGTCTGTCTCTGTCTTCCTGCTGATTCAGTGGGGTTGAATCACTTCTGTTCCATCGAACTGTGATCAGCTTTCTGCTGTCCTCGTGTGCCCTGAAGGACTTCCGTGGGACTTCGGTCGAAATGCATGCAGATAGGAATGCAGCTCAACTGGAGCATTCTGGCTCACGGAAGTCCCTCTGGGGTCCCTGGAGCTTACTCCTAAGCTGGCATGGTTTTTTAAAATAAGTTTTATTTAAAATTATAATCCTAAAAAAACAAAAAAAACTACAAACAACATCCATCATCAAAAACATCGAGCCCGCTGGGTCAGCCCCCACACCCTTCTTTTTCCATTTATGATAACTTAAAAACATATTTAAATCTATGCCAAGTCCCGTTTCTCTAGCCAATAATGAAAAGAGTCCCAAGTTTGATAGAAGTCAGTATCTTCTTTCTCCTTCAGTGATAAAGTCAATCTATCCATTTCTGCACAGTCCAGGATCTCTTTTTTAGAATCAGTTCGTCGGTGGGTAGTTCCTCACTTTTCCAGTGTGGAGCGAATGCAATCCTTGCCGCAGTGATTGATTTTACATGTAAACACATTTCTTGTTTACTAATGTCCTCCGGTATAATGCCTAATCTCCTACAGATGCGTGTTGTTTGCTTCAAATGGTAGCACAGCCTTTTCTCTCTCCGCAGCCTGTGCCAGAGGTTAAGATTGTCTCCAACCTCCCGGCAATAACCATGGAAGAAGTCGCCCCCGTGAGCGTCAGCGATGCTGCTCTCTTAGCCCCAGAGGAGATCAAGGTAAGGAGCCCATGGGAGGCCGCTTCTCACCTGCGCTCCGCAGAGAGCATCCCTGGGAACCCTCTCCCATCCCGCCGCTGCGAAGTCCGAGGAAGAGCTGGGGTGGATTTGTCCTGCGCACGTTTCACTGCCTTCCTCAGACTCCTGCGCTTCTCCCCCTTCAGTGAAATTGGGAAGATGGGGATGCATTTCTGTTTGCACTGCCTGCTTAGACGGCTTTCCCGAACCGCTGAAATGGTGTGTGTCAGTCTTATTATAAAAACCATCGTAAGAGTATATCCACACCAGTGGAACCAGAGCGCAAAATGAGCCAATACGAGGGCTTCGGTCTGGCTGGGAGCTGTAAGGGATAAGGAGTCGTACAGAGGCAAGAAAGACTGGACTGGGCCCGCCTGCCTTCACCATCCCGCCCTTCTTCGTGATGCTCTCCCGGAGCAGCAGGGCAGGGATTGGTTCCCATGAGATCTCTGTGCAAACAAAGCAGGCAGGCATCCCAGGGGAGAGAGGCCAGCAGCTGATGTGCCGTCACATGCCTCGTCGTCCCTCCAAGCGGGGGGGGGGGGGGGGGGGGCTTGTGTCCAAAGCTTGGGGGGGGGGGGGGGGGGGGGGGGGGTTGGGGGGGGGCCTTGGGCAGGACACTGATCAGCAAGCTAAAGAAGTGGATGGCAGGGGGGAAATACTGAAGCTGCAGGCTGGGAGGGCAGGAGAGAGGAACAGCAAGGGAAGAGAATGCGTGAGGCTAGGATACGGGAGAAAGCATGCTGCCCTGCTGTTTTCTTAAGAGTGTCTTTGGGGCTTGAGGAATGGAGAGTTTTGCCAGTGCCGTTTGCAGGCCTTTGTGGGTGCTGCAGGAGGGACCCCTGCCTTAAGACATTAGATCCCAAACCCACTGCATTCTTGGCTTTAGGAGAAGAACAAGGGAGGAGACATAAAAACCGATGCTGAGAAGACTTCCACAGACAAGAAAAGGGAGAGGAGAAAGAAGAAGCTTGCAAAGCGCATGAGGCTGAAGGAGAGGGAGAAGCGGCAAAAACTTCTGGAGCAAAAGTCGGAACAAGGTGCCAAGTTGAGCAAAAAAGTTTCCGCTGGGCAATTGAAAAAACTAACTAAGGATGGTAGAACCTCATTGCTTAAGGTAAGTTCACTGAAGTCATCCTGAACGCCTTGAAGTTTCGGTCAGAGGCCTTTGTATGTTGTGCAGCTGACGTGACAGGAGGAAGGAAGATGCAGTTTTAACCAAATCCTTTCCCTGCTCCCCACAAAGAGTCTTCCTTCCTTTCCTGAGATTCAGGCCCAGTTTAGTTAGCTTTTGTCAGAAACAGTCCAATAAGGTCTACCCTGCAGTCAGTGGGACTAGAGACATTTGTGTGTTCTCTGGTCTGATTTGTTGTTCCCAAAGTAGCTCACAGACATAATCAAACGGCAACAAAATCTGTTTAAAAACAAACAATTCAGAGGAGCAGGAATGGTGAGATGCTTGTTCAAACCAAGCTCTTTTTATCTTCCAAAGGCCGGGAGGGAAATGGTTAAATGAGCCCCTTTGGGAGGCCAGTTCCAGAATGAAGGCACCCCCCCCCACCAAGGCCCCCTCCCACACACCCAGGTGGCGTTGGGACCGGAGGAGGCTATCCCCAGAGAGTTTGACAGGCAGGCAGAACCACACAGGAGAAGGCGATCCCTGATCTGCACGGTGCCTTGTTGGCTTGCCTTGGGTTTTATTAAATAACCCGTTGGATACGCTCAGCCTGGTCTCCTGAGACTTGCTAAGCGAGTATTCTCTGTAAATCAACCTTGCGGAACTGCAAAGTGTTTTGGACACTGCCACAAAGACAATTTGTTTAAAAATAATGCCGTAGACCTCCTTGGTGAACTCTTACCCTTTTTAAAGGGCTCTGCTGGAGCAGCTTCAAGGGAGAATGCCAAAGATTCTACCCAAGTTCTTAACCCTCTGTAATAAAGGGAGACGCTCCTTGCGGTGCCTGCTTCTCTCTCGTTAATATGCATTAAACATGCGAGTGTAGATAACGCCAAGCGCCCTGCCAGCTTTTCGCTGCATTGTGGTTCCAGAAAAGGGTATTGCATGACACAACAGCCCGCGGTTTGCCTTCTTGTTATCCGTCGAATACCAATGTGGTCTTGCATGCATTCTGCTGAAACAATGAAGTGGCTGGAACCGCTGCCTGCTTCTTACTCTGTGTGTGTGTGTGTCGATTTGCTACGGAAAAAAAATGTTGCTCTCTTACAGGATGATGGCAAAGACAAGGCTTTGAAGTCTTCGAAGGCATTCTTTTCTCAGTTGCAAGATCAAGTGAAAATGCAAATTAAAGATGCTAAGAAAAGCCAGAAGAAACCGAGGAAACGCGAACTCTCTGCCCAGAAGCTGAAGCTGTAATTTATCACACGTGTACTGTTTTGTATAAATTAAAGTCGGGGTTGTGGGGGTTTTTTCCTACTGTAAGCCTGCAGGGATTTTGTATTCGTTGCTTTGCACAGTTTGAAATGCATTACCCAAAAGCCAGCATAATGAAAAGGGGCAATTAGACACGAAGTACCCAGACACGGGCACTTTTCACAGGGTGGGCCCAAGAACCACGGTCCGAACCTGTACTGGCCTGCGTTCACACAGGTCTCTTGACTGGAATGCCCGGCAATCTTGTGTGTGGACGTTGACCTAGTTGATGGGCCCTTCGGAGCCTTGGTTTTGCACTAAAGCAGGCTCTGGAATTCATGTGTTTCCAGTGCCAGGTGGAGTGTCAAAAGAAGGGCTGGGGCCCCTCGATCCACAGTTGCAAGCCAGTGGACCGATGGAGAAAGACAGGAGAGGAGCAGCGTCGCCGGACACGCTCCCAACCTCCTTGCACCAGAAACGGGTTCTCCATGTAAGCAGGTGTAGGCGCTTCATGGAATCGGGTAGCCCTAGGCTAACCATAAGCCTACTCCTATGGGACAGGCAGGGAGACTGGAGTAATATATATTTTACTTATTTGGCGTTTTTGTATGCTGTCCCATTCGCATAAGCCTCAGGACGGCTTCCAACATAATACACAATCATATAAATAGATACATATAAAATCTGGAATCACCCTGGCTATAAAAATGTAAAACCAATAAATAATATTAACAGTTATTAAAATATCGTTTAAATAAAAAGGTCTTGGCCTGGCGCCGAAAAACAAATAACGACGGCGCCAGGCGGACCTCTCTGGGGAGCGCATTCCATAAGTGGGGCACCACCGCAGAGAAGGCCCTGCTCCAGGTACTTTGCCTCCTAATATCTTTCACGGAGGAGGGCCTCTGCTGCCGATCTCAAGGGGCGGGAGGGCAAATACAGAAGAAGGCATTCCTTTAGGTATCCAGGTCCCAAGCTGTTAAGTGCTTTGTAGGTGATAACCAGCACCTTGAATTGGGCCCGGACTTCGATGGGGAGCCAGTGGAGCTGGGGTTATGTGAGAATAATATTCTATGCATGCTTTCAGTGTGTTAGTGCTAAGCATGGGGAAGGCAACAGAGCCAGCCAGAAAGAGCATGTCTCTGCAGAAACATTAAAGGAACTGGAAATATTTAAGTAGGAAAAGGAAATGGTGAAGAGGGTGGGGGAGCTCTCCAGGTTCCCGAAGGCCTGTTGTGTGGAATAGGTCAAAGATTTGTCCTCTTCCGCCCTAGAGTGGAGAATCAGATTTAATGGGCTTACACATTTCAGGGAGGGAAGGGTTTGTTGCCGTGGTCTGCCGCAGAGGTTTGATTGACCTGAACTGTGGGTGTTTCTAAAACGCTCAGTTAAACTAGCGCAATTCTTCCAGTTAAAAAGGGCCAAAGGTGAAGACAAGCAAATATCACAATTCGCGGTGCCTGCAAAAACACCTTTCAGATTTACAGTTTGCAATAAGTATCCCTTTTTAAAACAGCCGGGGAGAAACTGTACTGAAACCAGATTAAACCACGCTGGAAAAGGCTTAGTGAGGGTGTTGCCCATCAAATGATGTTAAGAATCTGAAACAAGTGCCTATGAATTGATTTAATAGGGCACTTTAAAAAATGCTTCTTTGACCTCATAAATTATGTGTTATTTGCAAATGTGCTTTTGGGGAAATTTGTCAGAGTTAATTAAAGTCACATAGAGGCTAGAATTACACTCGTTAAAAAAAGAATTCAGGCAAAATTACAGCTAATAGGAGAGGCCTTAAGGCCATCTTCTGAAAAAATAAATTAAAAGACACTCAACATAATAGGGAGTGATTGAGGCCATGGCTAAGCCAGCTAATGGAAGCAGCAGGTAAATTCAATAGATTCCATGTGACAGAAGAGCAACTCTGAAAAGGTTCCCCCCCCCCCATTTTGTCTGTGGTACACTGTAAGGTGCCAGGTATGAATAATATAACAAAAGAAATGCTATTCCATCTGTTAGGAGCATCAAAAGAGCTTTCATAGCTTAGAGGAGAAGTCGGCCACATTCCGCATTCCGATTCCCAGCAACTAGTCACAGACGCTTCCGGAAAACCTGCAATGGGGTGCAGAATCCCCAGCCCAGGGCGGAAGGCAGCCTAGTTCAACAAGAACAAGCGTTCTTCAGCGGCCACACCATCTCACCACCAATTTTGGGATGGACTCCCGGCCTTTGTGCAGCCTTTTACTGCTTTACAAACTTCCAAGTCCCTGTCAAAGGCTGAGTTAATGCCAGCAAGTGCCTCTAGGCTTAAAAGGGGGGCCGGTATTTGCCCCCTGCCCCCTTCTGTTTTCAGTTCTGCCCGCAACAAAGCGGCCTCAAAGAGGAATTCATGTTGAAGGCGATTCGGGGGCCCTGTCCTGGAGGTAGAACGTGGTGGCAGCGGCATGAGGGACCATGTGCCATGGAGGTTGATGTGCTGGACTCGGATGACCTGGGTTCCGATTCTTGCTTGGCCATGAAGTTCATTGGGGCCAGTTATGGCTGTTTAGCCAAGCTTACCTCGCAGGGCTGTTGTGCAGATAAAACGAGGGTGCGTGCGCACAGCCTTGGGCTCTTGGAAGAAAAGGTGGCGTTAGCAGGAATGAACAGCCTGCTCGTCGCATCCTGGCAGACAGAAGGGGCTTCTGAATATGGGGCCTGAGAGTCCTTCACAGACCCAATATGGAAAGCCCCTTCCAAAGCCATGGGCTGTAATGGGTGGGCCCCGGCTGCGCTGGGAGCACTTGCAGGCGCTCAGCCATGCCTTTCCTTGCCCTGACTACACCTCCCATATGCATGCTGCCTGGCGGCTGATGGGAGCTATGGAGAGGGTGCCTGCTTCCCTTACCCTGGAGGGGTAATTGTCCTTTCACAGAGCAAGCGGGTTCCCGAGCCGTCTCCAGTTCAAGCACGGATCAAGACCAGAGAAGCCTAGCTTTAGCAGGACAGATAAACTATTCTGCAGTTTCAGACCTAACCTAGTAAACGATGCAAGGTTGGCGTGATGGCGCACAGGACCAAACTTTCACACGTGTGACGGTTTAACGCCGATTGGAGGATTAAGGGCTCGATCCTATGCATGCTTGGACAGGAAAAAAATTCTACCATTTCCAGCATGGCTGGCCTGGTGTGCCATGGGGTTAGACTGCGGGACTGGGGAGCTGGGAGATCCGTGTTCTAGCCCCCACTTGGCCATGAAACTCACTGGGTGGCTTTCAACAGTCCAGGCTCTCCGCCTAACCTACCTCACAGGGTTGTTAGGAAGACAAAAATGGAGCCGAGAACTGTACCAGCTGCACCGAGTTCCTTGCAAACGGAAGACAGGCAGGTTGTAAACACAAGGAAGCAATACTAAAACAATCAAAACACACCTAAGAGAGCCCGCCGCCCTGTGCACAGACGCTGTGATTCCATTAATTCAACCGCACTTCGAACTAAAGAATTAGAAATGCACGCTCCGATTAAATGAATGTTACCTTTCGCAACCGTTTGGGGAAGCAAACTAGCAAAACACTATTCGAGGAAAAGCAAAACAAGGCGTTCCTACCTCGGAGAAGCTGCTCTCCGCCCCGCGTGGGAAGCAATTCCAGCCGAGGGAGCAGACCCAGAATCGATCGCTCCGGCATCCACTGCGCGTGCCTGGCTCGGAGGTAGATTAAACGGGCCTGGCGGCGCACGCCGCTGCTTCTGGGCGAGCTCGCGCTTCCCCGGCGTCGTGTGCGCCTGCGCGCGCCGCCCTGCTCCGCCGCTGGTTTGAATGGCATTTTGAAAGTGGGCGCGGGAGGGGTCCAAACAACCTTTGAACCTGCTTCGGGGGGCTTATTTTGCTATATTGCTGTGCACTGCCTTGCACTGCGCTTAATTCCGTGGTGGGCTTCCCCCCCTTTTTTCTTTGCATTACATCACATTTTATTGTTTTGCATCGCTGCCACCACCCGTCCTCTCGCCCGCTTAATTTTTGCAAAATGTAATAGAGATTGCGGTATGGAACAGTTATGGGACCCTCGCGTGTCTTCTCCTTTATGTATTGTTTTTAGGAGGAGAATGGTGCCATCTTCGCCTTTTGGCCTACCTTTCTTATCCATGAGGATTCTTTGCAAAGCGTATCCTAAGTTGCCTTTGCTGTGCTTGTCATTGCAAGCTTTATAATGCAACTGAAGGCTCAGGGTGGTGGAACAGCCTCTCCAGTATTGACAATTAATTTTTTTACAAAATAACGTATTTATAGTTGGAAGATTTCATTCATGAATGGACTGAAGAAGGCAAAAGGTTTGTATTGGTTAAGATAATAATGACCTTTCCGTGTGAATTAGAATCCTCCTTATTTCAAGCATCTGGGGCAGGTCCTTGTGCTAGCTTGGTTTATCTCCACAAGAACGGTTCATTCATTTATTAGATCTGTATCCCACTTTCTTGTTTTAAAGAACTCGGTGTGGCTCACATAATTCTCCTTTAGGTTCCTGCAATGGCAGAAAGTCGCTTGGCAGAAAATAAGAGACTTCGGAGGAGTTCCCCCCTTGGCAAGAACAAGAGAAAAACCGCAAGTGGCAAGCGTGGGGTGGAAGCAAAAGGTGCATTGCCTTTCGTTCCAAACTCTTCTATTCTGTCCTTTTTTAATCATGTTCCCCCTGTCAGAATTGCCTGCCCTTTGTGTGGGCAGATGGTACCAAGATGTGAAATCAACCAACATATCGATGAAGTGTGTCAAAGCCAGGATGATGGGATTCTGGTCGACTCTGCTCCTGAGGTGGCCACTGGTCTTTCAGCAGAAAGTGAGCTTGAGCACTCCAGTCTGTATTTTCCAAAGAATGCCTCCACTCCAGAGAAGAACCCAAACCACCCAGTAGGTGAGCGCTCTGAAACAAACATGGAGGCAACAGGTCAGACGAGCCCGTATTTTAAGAAAGGCGGAGCTCTAGTACTGAGTGAAAGTGAGCCAAGGGGTCGTACAGTTAAAGCCCTCTCCCTGGGACGCTTGTCGAGCAAATTGTTCCAGCGGCGGCGCACTCAGGCGGAGCCCTGTCCAGCCCAAAGTGCGTGCACCAGCCCTGCGGACGGCTCTCAGAAGGAAAACCAGCTGCCTTCCTCCAGCTTTCAGGGACCACCGCCTAGTCCAACAGCAAGTTTAACAAGCAAGCCAGAAACTCTGGGAACGGCGTGGGAGCATCCTGCGGGAACCTTGAGTAGCGATTTGAATGGTTCTACTTCAGTTTTGTTTCCATCAAGGGATTTTCATTTCCAAGAACTTGGACTTCCAACAGGGAGCAGCGGCCAGCAAAATACTCCAAAGGAGCACTCCGTCTCAGATCTTTGCAATCCTGTAGAATGTCCAGTAGCTTACCGTAAAGAAGGGCTCTCTGATTTGGAAATGGGAGCCCTCTCCTCCAGCGAGCAAGATCCGTTGTCCAGTGCAGAGGGGGCGTACCATAATCAAACCCCAAATGTCTCTGCTATGGGGGGTGACATGGAAGTGCTTCCAATGGGAGATCATGGGGATTTAAGCCATAAAATAGACCTGGGATCTTCAGAAGATGAAGAAGAAGCGGATTTTCAGACTCGACACAACAGCATTTTAGAATTGGTCCTCAGGGGCCCTAACCTGATGTCGGACTCAGGAGGGCATCCCTATTACCTCCGGAATTTCCTGGTGGTCCTGCAAACGGTCCTGGAGAATGAGGATGACCAGCGCCTGTTCAACGAGCAGGATTTGGGTGCCATTGCTACCTTCTGCCAGCTGACAGGTACAGCTGACAGTCTTGCCCCAGGCAAGACTCTCACAGCCAATCGGAAGGGAGGGAGGTTAATTTTGATCAGCCTGAGACCTTTGGGGGTGTAGAGGGAGCTTTGACCAGAATCATATTGGTTAGGAGCATTCCTGTTGGCTCATGCATTCCACTCTGGTCTTCGCCTGTTGCTTGAGCTGTCTGGAAAAAGTTTTGTGGAAGCTTCATAAGGTCGACCTCTGCCTGAGGCAGACATCTGAGGTGACCAGCTTAAGGACACAGAGCAGCCCCATTCAGATGTAATATTCTTAATGTTATGGGAATGAAACATCTGTTCACTGTATGCAGCAAACCGCAGTTTCCTGTTTCATTTAAATATAAGACCTGGCTTGCAAAAACCATGGTAAGAAGCCAGGATATCGGATTATGGTTTGTTCAGGTCGCAGTTTCCCATATTTGGGTGGAATAGGAAAATGTAGTTTGCTACAAACTGGAATCACAAGTGCCCGATCAAGTGTGGAAGGGGTAGAATGACCAGGCTCTCTGCGTGCATGTGGCACTCCCTGTAATGCCGGACCGTGATGTGATGTTGCTTTGAAGGAAGCACTGGGAAGCAGCCAGAGTCTCAGGGTTTTTTAGCCTTCAAACTTTCCTCTGGATTAGGAGCTTTTGTGGCATGATTCGCGAGCCAGTGAGCATGTTCTGAAGTCGTTCATGTGATTTTTAGTCATATAAAAACAAGAGATAAACAGAAACCACACAGTGCATGATGGTTACACTGACCCTTATGCACACTCCTTAGCTAGGATACTGGAAGGCCTCTTTCCTCCAAAAAAACGGGAGGGAAGGTGTGTGCTGCTTTGCTGAAAGCTCAGGCAGCATCCCGCTCCAGCCTGCACTGCTTAGTCAGGGCTTGTGTCAGGTCCCGGCCCACAGTTCAAAAAAACGAGGCAGCGGATGTGGGGAGACCGGCCAGGGACAATGCTAGTCGGGGTAGGTAATCCAGCCATCTCACCTGGCGTGAGAGGCTTTCCGTGCTTTACCTTTGGGTCACCGGAGTCAAGACTTGCAGACCTTTGGCATCATGGGGGACCAGACGACCACCACCCTGGGGTGAGCATTTGTAGCAGGAGGGAACAGTTTCGTGCGCTGAGATCTAGGAGGTTTTTGATCTCGGTGGGAAGCCGAGCATGCCCTTGATGCTTTCTTGGGCATGTATGCTGCTCGGCCGCTCTGTGCAGACATGGGATGCCGTCGATGGGGCTCTTTGCATAATGAGCAGGCTCCCTAATTGGCTGGCTTCTGCTCAGAGGCAGGCGTGATTTCTACAGCTCGAAGCCTTTGATGTTGGGATGTTGATTGGGCACTCCAGGAAAAGACACCGCATTGGGCCACTGCGGCTCCACTGGAGCAATCATTTCCATTTCTTGAGTCCGCCAGGAAGTCAGGCCTCTGCCCATGCAAAGGGACTGCTCGGAGCCCTAAGAGGGTGGAGTCGACTTTGCCCAAATAGATAGCCCCCAAATCTTGCTTTTAGGGAGGTTTCGCCCCTCCTTCAGCCCTCGGTCTTCCCCGGGAGGCTGGCCTCGCTGATCCATGAAAGCGGTTCACACGCAGCACAGATTTTAACGTGGCCTCTTGGGTGTCAAAATAGAACCTGCCGCTGCTTCTGTGTTGGCCACCAGGAGGCTGCCTTTACTTGGCCCGGCTGATTCCCCATCCGGCTGTTTGCAAACCTGCTTTTCGGGCGATGTGTTTCTGAGTGCACTTGGAAGGATTTGCAGGGACCTGCTTTTGCAAATTGGAAAAGAATTGGCTCGTTTGCTATTATTTGATGAATTCCAAGAAACTAATGGGGGCACGTGCCGTCCTACAGGCTATTCAAACCATGACATTTCTAGTCATGTGCTGAGAATACTGTGAAATTTCTATATTGACTTGGTAAGGCTGCATTGACTGCAGCAAGAGACGCAGTAATCAAGAAGTGAATTTACTCCCTGACAGGACTGTTCCTTCTTTTCTTTTCGCTTTTAACATATCTGGACATAACAGGAGCTCAAGCCTTAGGGGATTTTTTTCCCCTGAAGGAAAGAAAGAGAGAGAGAGAGTGTCTGAGCTGACAGATCAGTGTTATTTCTGGCTTTTTTACTTGAGAAGCCTCAGAAGGGGAACTTCAAAGGAGTGGCAGCCCCACTGGGAAAGTGACAACTCAAGCTTCTCAAATATCAAGAAAGAGTCTTGAAATTCTCTTTGCTGCCATAGCTGGGGCAAATTTAGGGAGGAGGGAGGAATTTTTTACATCCATGGAGAAAACCAGTGATGGTTCTCTGACCTAGAAAAAAAATACAGACATTCAGGAGGGCAAACAGTTTAGCAATACATCATACAAGCAATTTCAAATTCCTATGTCCCATGTTTCAAATCTAAAATGTTCAGAGGCGCTCTTGGAAGAATGCCATTTAAAAAATAACAGCAACCATGGGTTTAAAGTATGCAGGCAGCTGTAAAACCAAATAACAGCAGGTACAGACAAACCAAAGCAGTAGAATTCTAAGAAAATGCCAAATGCAAGCAGATAAAATAGCCAAAATACAATTTTTCAATAGAAAAAAGAAGTCCTTTCACTAGTCACTAAAAATTACAATCTCAACAAAGCAATAAAATTAAAGCAGAGAAGGAGCAAAACATACCTCTCTTTGGGACAAGTGCTCATAAATGAGACATTACCACTAAAAAGGCCCTTCTCGCTGCTTGTCTGAGTTCATGTGGGAGTTTTGTATCCTTTGAACAACTAAGTAATTTCATAAGAAGTATTTGTATAATACTGTTTTAAATGTCGTTTCAACTCCCTTCCCAAATGTCAACTGAACTGCAGCTGAAGGACAGAAGCTGTACGTCCGGCTCTTTCAGCGCAAGCTGAGCTGGATAAAAACCGCCAAAATAGAATACACGGAGATCAGCCAGGATCTCTCTCCAGCCATTGGGGAGCTTGTGGAAGCGGGCCTCCTGCAGTCGGGTAAGTCCTTGGAAGCATGTGTGGCCAAGGGTTAAATGGATGAATTTAGCACACATTCTGCCAACCTCTCCATTTCCACAGCTTTGTTCAGACATCACAGTAATTCAGATTTTTTTAAAAAAAGAGCTGTGCTGCTGTAAAAAAGCTACATACATACACAGTTTCTTCTTGGTTTATTTCCTGGGCTTGATGGGAAGGATAGGGCAAAGTTCCCAGACTGACAGCAAACAAGCCACAGACCACACGTCCGTGGCTTGTTTAGCCACTCCCACTCATCATAACCCATTTTTGGCAACCATCTGGGCTACCGTTGACTGCCAGCTCCCCGCTTTCTGCATCTCTCGTGTTTTTCCTCTCTCTCCACCCTGGCTGAGGTGGCTGCTGGGGGGGCGGGGGGAGACTGACCACTTTTGCCAGAAGTTTCCCTTGCTCTCTAGAGAGGGTCTGCAAGATGCTTGCCCTGCATTAAAGACTGCACAGCAATGATGCAGGGTTGCTCGCTTGGCAGAATTGTGTTGTGGCAGCCTCCTCTCTGGACTGCACCACTTTAGGAAGTGTGGCAGGAGGAGGGGGATGAAAGAAAGGTCAATCCAAGCATATGAAAAAGGCAAAAGGCACTTTTTCCATGGGCAGGAAGACAAGGATGCTTCTTAATCTGCTGGCTTTCTGCTTGCAAGCTTAAAACACGGGGAGTGTTTGAAATTTCCTGTCAACCATTTGATCCGAGAGTTAATCCTGTCCTTTTCCCCATACTCCTGGGCTAGAAATTACCTTTTAAATTTATACAATTCAAAACAAGATTTAGGATGCAGAGGGGATGTCGGAAGGCAGTATAACGAAAACTTTATGCAGCATCTGTATTTTACAGAAGGGGAAACGGGGTCAGCCCTGCTGAAATGACTATTTTTCTCCCTCTCACTTCCACTTTCCTTGTGGGTTGTGAATTTTAGATGATAAATTTGTGGTCAGAGGCTCTTCTTTACAGATTATATGTCAGCTGCTCCAGAAGGTTTTTTGGACTGCATAAGAGCTTTTTGCATGGTTGTCATTTTTGATGGCTCTGCAGAAGCAGAATTACAAGATCTGAGAGAGGTGCTTGACTTACTCACTGCTCCTGAGCTGAAAACCTTGGCAAAGGCATTCCACCTGGCAAACCTCAGTGCTCCGAAACAGCAGCTCCTGGAAGGCTTCCTGAAGCTGGCGAAACAGCGCTCAGTCTTCAGCAGCAACCAAGCTGGTGTGAGAAGTGTGATTCTAAAAAGGTGACATGCTTTGAGTGTGATCCTCCATTAAATTAAACCACAAAAGAGTTGGAATTCTGCAACAGAAAAAGCTGGATTGTGCAACGTGGATTAATGAATGCCATTTTATTTAATAATTTAAATTAACTGCAATTGCACTATTGTTTCTCTTGCATAATTGATTCTGTAAGCCTTTGCAGCGCTCCGAGTTATTCTTCTAAACATAGTGCTTGTTTTCAGATGTAATGAGCAGAAACCTTGCGCTCAGCCACTTCCCTTTTCTCTTTGCACACAAGGAGAGATTTAAAGCTCCTGTTCCTAATTTGTTTTGAGACAGATCTCTGTTTTGACAGAAATCAGGAGATGGCGGTTTGTACAAAGCCATGTGGTAAGCGAACAAGTCAGTCTATCACAGCATCTGATGGCTGAGGTGGGCCAGCATGTTAAAATGGGGTGCTTTATTCCTCCGCTTCTCTAGCGTTGATTGGATATGAATCCGTGCTGTTAAAGGTGCTGAGCACTTGCCTCGACTGCTAGTTCAGCTTCTTGGGAACCGAGATGGAATATGCTGCAGTGCCGGAATGGGGTTCTCACACCTTTTAAGCCAGCAGGAGGACTGAAGGACATGCACATTTTTCCAGAGGATCCAGCTGTTCAGCTGCTTGAGCTCATTGAGGGCAATCTCTGGTTCGCTGTGCTTTTCGCCCCCCTCTGGCCTAACCCAGTTTTTGAAAGCTGCCCTAGCATGGAGAGACGCCCTCCGGCAGTCTCCAGTCCTTTCAAAGTTTGCACTTGAATGACATGCTGCCTTTCAGCAGGAGGTTTATTTTGGTTGATGCATGCATAATTTTGGAGGCGTAGCACTGCAGGCACCCTGGTGTCTCTGGGAGGAGGAAGAAGATTTCCCAAGTGATGAGGCTGGGAAAAGAGATGCATTGGGAGGAGGGATCAGAGAGCAAGGAGGAAAGGCATCAGAAGGTCTTTGGGCTTGTGGGCTCGTAGCTCTGGAAGACCTTCTTCTCTGAAGAAGGTTCGGTCTTGGGTTTAAAAGACCTACAGCAGGGGATGGAAATGCCCTGTGCTTGAGACCCTGGAAGGCTGCAGCTGGCAAGGAAAGCATCAGGTTGCTCACATGACCTCTGGTGCCTGCCCCTGCTTCCTGAATTCATATTTGGGGGCAGGGTCCATAGCAGATATGGAGGGCTGAAAGGGGCAGTTTTAAAGCCTGGCATTCCGCAGAGGATTGCCCCAAGGGGCACAACGAAGCTTGCCAATGCTATGAACACCAATTTAGTTTTTTACATTTTTCCCAAGAAGGTGTGGCCTATGGCTTCCCCCCAGTCACTTAGTCTGAATTGCCCCCTTGCAGCTTCCGATGTTCCTGGGAAATATCTAATGGCGATGGCCAAAGGAAAGGGGGTGGCAGGGTCTGAGAAAACTTCCAAGGGGAAGGTTTTGCCGGGCACCTTTGCCTGCATCCTCCTCCACGCGGGTGGGAAACTTCATTTCTTGTAACCACAGAAGAGACTAGATGACTGATTCCAGGATTAAGCAATGCTGTTTCCACTGAAGTGGACCTTTACCACAGTCCCGGAGCTGGTTTTAGGAAGCCCTGGCCATGCTGCCCACCCTTACCAAGAGCCAGGTAGTCCATCCCAGAAACGGACACAGTTTAATTCATAAACCAGAGGGCAGGATTTTAGGCTGGAACCCTGCACTGCTCGGTACAGAGGAATCGCTGTTGCAGATTTAGCCCTGAGGAGACACGCGGGGTGGTGGGGGGGCGCAGTTGGCATTTCCGTGGCTGTGTGGAGGGATCGATAATGCTGCCTTCGTACTGATTTTGTGGTTCTGCACGGTCCCCAGGGCTAAAGATCTGGTGGGGAAGTGCATCCGGGTTTGTAAAGGCCCCCGGTCTGTCTTCTCTCACGTGCTGCTGCTCTTTTCCCTGACGGACCCTGTGGAAGATGAAGAAGCCGGCAGCGGGGGCCAGGGTCCGCTCTCCATGATGCTGATGGTCAACATGGGCCGGACTGTCTTTCCCACGTACACTGTGAACAGGAAAACTCCAATATTTCAGGACCGGGAAGATTTCCTTAGGTAGGGAGGAACGTGGACCTCATTTTGCATCTGTCCTGATTTTTCTCCTTTCCATGGATTGCATCATATCTCACCCTTCTGCTCTGTGGGTTCCCAGGCAGTGTGCAGAGTTTATCCCCTTTTTTAATTCTTGTATCCTCAGAAGACCTTTGTGAGAGCCAAATCGAGGGTGGATGCTATTCCTCCCTAGTCACGGGTTTGGGGTGGCAACGCTTGTGAATTACAGCCCTGGAGAACAAGCCCTTGGGAAGAAAACTTCCTTACACTTTCATACGGTGGCATCACCTGCTCTGAGACAGGATCTTGGTGTCGTCATTGCTGTAACTTGCCTCACATTATGATTTCTGGTTTGTTTGTTTTTAACATTTCTAATTAGGTATGCTGCGGCTCTGCACATGTCAAATGACTTACGTGTCGTCATGGCCAATGGGAACTGGAAAGAGGCACACAGAATTTATGAAATGGCAAAAGACACCTGGAAGGGGTTGAAATGCCACCCTTCTTTGAGGTACTGACTGGCTGGGGATAACGGGACTTGTGATACAAGGCATCTGAAGGGCACCGGGGCTGGGCTGACGGATGTTTGCATCTCATCTTTGCTCAGAGGCTCATAGATGTCCCTGTAAGTAACATCTAGCCTGCGAGGTTTCACAGTTCTGTGTTCTTGGAAATGCAGTGCTTCAAGGTCTGTGTGCTGGGATGTGGCGCTACGGCTCCGCTCAGCAGGTTATTCTGTTAACCTGGGTCCAGCATAGCTTGCTGGAGCGTGATGGGCACGGTAGGCTTTTTCCTGCCTAAACTTCCATAGGATGGCACATGTTCTTTTTTGTAATCTCAAGCGTCTGCGAGCAGAGAGTGTTTCCATCTCGTGTGTTTTGCTTCATAGGTATCACGCGGCCCTCCCAGAATACTTGAGACGCTTCACAGTGGGATGGGTGCACACGCGGATCCTCTCGCGGGGCGTAGAGATCTTGCAGCGGCTGAACAAGTATGAGGTAAAAAAGTGGGGAGAATCAACTCAGGAAATCTGTGATTCTGCAATGAAGTCAGCCATTCTGCTCGAGGGACACTGAACTGCTCTTGGCCCAAGGACTGAAGCCCATTTCAGGTCCATGTCAAAGGTGGGCAGCGCCAAAAGCAGAGGAGGAGGGAAAGAGCACCAAAAAGTGCCCACCCAGATTGCTCAAAGCCATGATTGCCAGTAATTAAGAGGGAGAGTCCAGGAGATTTGGCTAGGAGACCCTGTGCAACAGCTGGGAACCCACCAACGGGCTGATGGTTGAGAGGAAGTGGGTGAGGCCAGGAGAGAATGTGGCCGTCTCCGGGATCCAAGAGGGCAGATTTGCACCTGGCCTGAAGCTTCACGCCGCTGTTCTCATGGGCAGGTTTGTGTTGCTTCTAGGAGGCCGTGGAGCTCCTTCACGACCTTTTGGCCCAGGAGACCTACTGCAGTGACAGCCGCGGACAGTGGTGGGACCGCCTGTGCCTCAACTTGCACCAGCACCTGAGGGACATGGAGAAGGTAACGCCCCGTCCTTGCTGTGTGGCTGGGTGTCGTGTGGGCGGACGGCGTCTTCCCAGGGCTTCTCGCTTCCGAGCTGCATGTATGGATACGATCGCTTGCAACGTCCACGCTGGGCGGGCCCAGAAGCTCATCTTGCAGCTGAGGAAATGGTGGCCATGTGGTAGCCCTTGGCTTGCTGACTGTCTCTCCACGATGGTGAGGTCCGCCTGGCGCCGTCGTTATTTGTTTTTCGGCGCCAGGCAAAGACCTTTTTATTTAAGTGTTATTTTAACTGTTAGTATTATTTGATCTTATCTGGCCAGGGCAGCTTATTTTATATTGTATTTTTTGGATTTTTAATGTTTATATTTATTGTAATTTATTGTTGTAAGCCGCCCCGAGGCTTCAGCGAATGAGGCGGCATAAAAATGTTTTAATAAATAAATAAATAAATGGCTGCTTGTTTGCTAGGCCATTGCCTGCCTCAGGCAAGGACTGCTGGATCCGTCCGTTCGCACGGGCCATCGTCTCTCCCTTTCCCAACGGGTGCAGAGAATGAAAGACTCCCTCGTGTGCAAGAAGCTCGGGCCTCTCCTTCAAGACCTGCCTCTCCTTTCTGTGGAAGACGTCGTCCACGTGAGTAGCTGCAGTGTCCCCTCGTGCTTGGTTTGGGGTAGGATTATGAACTTGGGGGGGCAAGCAGGAGATATGGGGGCAGAGGAGGAGACGGGGCCTCCAAAGCACCTGGAAAACTGTCTGGCAAAACAAAAACGCTGGCCAGCATGGTGCGTCCGTCACAGTATGCTTCTGCGCCAGCCTGGGCAAACGTGGTACAGTCCTACCTAAAGGAGGCCTAGTAGCTTTCCTCCTCCAGGTGTTCTCCTGAGGCTTTGAATTTCAACTTCCGGCAGGAGTGTTGGAAATTCTAGTCCAAATCATCTTGAGCTGCAGGATGAGAGAGGCTGATGCTCATCAGGAATCGGTTTCTGCCCATGGTGTGGCACGTCATCTACCGCATTCTTCAGTGGGTCCGTTTGTGTGCTCCTTCCCCCACTGTTCCGGCACTGCCTTTCCCCTCAGCCCTGGTCCTTTGCAGAACGGCTCTTGCATTGCCGAATTCCTTTTGCCAGGCCGCCTTTCGGATGCTGCAGAGGCCTCTTTTCTTCTTCTCCCTGCTCCCAGAGCCACTGCGCCACGGGCGTCCCGCCACGCCTTTGGGGACTCATGGCGCAAGCACAGCCCTCCCCATTTGTCCGTCCCCAGACTGCGAGCCAGATTAGAGACAAGGAGACGGAACTTTAAATTGCAGAGGTGTTATTTGTAGCTTGCCACTCAACTGGTGTGAGCCAAGTTCAAACTGCCTTGTCGTCTGAATCTTAAGTTGTGCTGCAGAAGGTCGCGGAGGGCTGTGTTGCTTGTCAGGGGCTCGTGATAAAATAGGGGCTCAGAGGGGCACTCCCAGATGGCTGAGGAGCAGGAGCCTCTTCCCTGGAATTGGTTTTTGGTGTGAGAACCGAGCTCACAGTGCTTCCACACACAAGTTTAATACAGCTTCCTCTGCTGAGCGTGCTTCCGTTTAGCAACCTAAGTTGGCTGCGTGCAGAAATGCTTTTGTCCAAGTGCGGGGCCAGGAACCATCGCCATTTGACTGCAGGTAGCCAGAAATCTGCCTGTAAACCTCTCTCTGCCCCTGCCCTAAATCTGGGAAGCTGTGGCCGCATTCCTTCCTTATCAGTCAGCCAGGTACCGTTTTGCTCAGGTGACCATCAAAGGAAAGCTGCGTCCTCAGACTGGGACCGGGAAGTCTGTGTTCATCGTGGAAGATGAGGGAGACAACCTCAAGCCAGCGACCGCCGTGTGCTCGGTGGAGGAGCTGGCTTTGGCCCACTACAGGCAGAATGGCTTTGATCAAGGTACCTCTCGGTCACGGTTGCTGCAGCAGGAAGCTCGTGATCAGCTGTCGCCCTCGTTTGCGACTGTGCAGGGGAGGGCGGTTCCGCACTTCCCTCCCCGCTTCCAAAAACTCATTCAGATTGTCTTCTTACTGCCCGTGTCAAGTCATGCATGCACTTGGCTTTAAAACGCTTTAAAGTTATGCATGCGCTTGGCTTTAAAACGCGGTGGCTAAGCGGACGGAGAAATCCTGCTGATTTTCAAGCCAACTGGCACCCCTGCCCAGTGCGCCTTGGTGCGCAGGATGGGCAGCTTTAGTCTCTGCAATTCCTTAGAAATTCTGACACGGTTCCCATGCCTGCAACTCTTGTTCCTCAGGCATCCACGGCGAAGGATCCACGTTCGGCACGCTCTACAGCCTCCTGATGTGGGACATCCTGTTCATGGATGGTGTCCCCGACGTCTTCAGGAATCCGTACCAGGTGTGCTTCCTGCGCTTGTATGGGGAGAGCGACGGCTGCAGCTCAGTGTCGGACCTCTGCTCGGCCTAGTGAGAGCTCGTGTCTCAGTCCCTGACATCTCCAGGAAGGGCCCCTGCCTGAAACCATGGGCAGACACTGCCAGTCAGTGTTGACAATGGAGGCTGGCTGGGCTGACTGACAATAAGCCCCCTGCCACCTGTTCCTACCTGTGCTTCCTTTGTTTTTCCTTTGCTGCCACCCACACACCCCGCGTGTCATGGCCAGGTCGAAAAGCTGGACATGGTTTTCCTAAATGTACATCCGGCAGTCTGAGCGCCACGCTGCTTGAGCCTGCTTCCAGTCTCGTTCCCGGAGTCGTTATTTTGGGGTGCTCCACAGGGCAAAATCTGCAGCTGGCCTGGCTTCAGTCTGGTGCGATCCACACACAGCTGCGCTCCTGCCATAGGCTAGCGCTCACCTTTCCATATAAAATGCACCTGCTCTGCAAATTGACACCAGGTTGCTAGCCGACGGGCCTACCTGCTGACCTTTCCCTCACCTGCTCCGGCAGGCTTTTCCCCTGGATTTGTACACTGACAGCTTTTATGAGAACCGGCGAGAGGCCATCGAATCCAGGCTGCAGGAGCTGCACGATGCTTCACCTGACATGCTGCAGCAATGGATCGCTGAAGTGTGGGGGGCCCAGTATGGAAAGGCATCGGCACTGGCCTGCTGGGAGCGCTTCTCTTCCGTCCGGCAGGCCCAGGTAGGAGCCAGGAGCTCTCTGGATGGGACAGCAGGGCAGGATCCCACTTACGGGCGTGTCAAATGACAGGTCGGTGAAGGGGAGGTAACGGCGGCATGGTTGGGCATCTCACAGTATTGTTTGGTGTTTTATCCCTCTTCCAGAGTTTATTTTCAGATTTGGCATTTAAGACATAAGGGTTTTAGGAAGAAGCTTGTTTGCAAGCCATAGGCAAGAGAGAAAAACCCACAAACCAAAGACAACAGGACATGGAAGGACTGGCCCTGGGGTTATTTGGAATATGTCTTTGCACTTGAGTTCTCACCAGTGTATATTGGCTCATCATCATCATCATCATCATCATCATCATCATCATCATCTCATTTCTATACTGCTCTATAAAATTGCATCTTTAGTTAGCGAAATCTAAAGTTGCAGCCTGTATGATTGATCAGCCACAAGTTCCAAAATTATTTGCACACTTAAATGCTTTTTACTCATTGTTAAGCACTGAGGAAAAGGCATGTAGATTTATGAATTTGCCTATTCAGAAAAAAAAAATCATTTGTCTTCCACTATTTCAACAAAGCCAAAATGTGTGGTTACTGCTCGTTCACTTTGCGACAGACCCACTAGTAATGTGGGTGAAATTCCTTAGCCAGCCATCAGAAAGCAGGGGAGAATACGCTTGGAAAACTCCAAAAGTGTAACTTTAACTTTGCATCTGAAGCAGATGCAGCATTCACTTCCGGATAGCGTAAGCCTAAACATTGGAGGAGTAACACTGGAGGCATAACCCACCCCCCGGTTTTTCTGATTGTAACTATGCTTGGAATTGCTATTTGGAAGAAAAAGCGACTAACCTTGATCTCTGCAGAGCCTGGCACGTTCCTTCGGAGGTCCTTTTCTGAGCGGAGTTTGTCGACGGCTCTCCAAAGATCTGCGTCACTGCAGAGGTGGCCTCCCTGACCTTGTCGTCTGGAGAACGGAAGACCGCCAGTTTAAGGTAAGTTCCCAGCTGTCTTGTGGGAGGTGTTGTGATTTCTGAAATGGGACACCATTGCCTTCCAAGCCAAAAGGTGCAGCTGGACAAGATGGGCTTGGGTGCCAGCCTTATTTTAGATTAGATTAGAAATCCTGTGTCCAGTCCCATCTTTCATACTCGGTCCCTGCCTCGCATTGCAGTTCAGCATGAAACGAGCTCTGATCGGGCTACTGTACTTTCCTGAGGGTGACATCCATGAGAGAGTTCATCAATACTTGGCTTCTAAAGGGAGGTTTTTTTTTATTAGATTTTTGTAAGGGGCACTCTGCCGTTTCCCTCTGGTTGGAACCCACAGGCCACCCAGTGGCTGCAGTGGTTTTGCTCCCAACGGTTTGTGCGTTGGGAACGGGGATGGGAGCCCCCAACTGGTTATGCGGAAGACCCGCCAGGTCCTGGCCGGGCTGGAGAAGTGCAGCTGCCCTGTGCCAATGGCACAAGCTCCTCTTCAGTCTGGGACCATCGGCCTGCCCTGCCATGTTTCGCAGCCTGGCTATAGTTCCGAACTGGCACTCGCTAGAAGTGGGCCACGGGGCGTAGACGTTGGTTGTCTTTAGCAGAGTTTGGAGGCCGTGGGGGGTATGGGTGCAGTGCCTGAACCAAGCTCCTGGCTCTGCTGATAGGCCACAGTGTTAACCCACCACGTGCCGCAGTGTTTCTCTCAGTAACGCTACAGCGAGGAGCCCAGGTCCTGGGTCGTTGCGCGAAACCAGAGGCAAAGAGGAAGTGGTGAATGGGCAAGCGGCGGCTCGCTCACGCATAGCCCTGGCAACCCACAGATGATTGCCATGTGCCCACTGGGCTAGTAAGTTACGGGATGCATCGTTTTAGCAGTTTTTATGCAAATTGTGCTTCCTTAATACAACAAAACATTGGAAAGGCCTGTGAGTCACTGCTGATGAGATCTCAGGACCCAGAAGCATGAGAGGCTTCTGCGCCTCACGTCTTTTGACGACCCTGATGTGCTGCCATGTCTGTTGCCATCCCAGGATGCACCACAGGCCCCCGAGGCAAGGCTGATTCAGTTGGGGTATCACAGCCATGGGACCTGTTCCCAGGGGGCCCAATTGCCCCTTGCCTTCCAGGGTTTGGCTGTTCAGAACAGTGTCTGGTCAGAAAAAAGCCAGACTAGTTCACATGGCTACCCCATGTTACGTTTTGACAGAGGAAGCTTTTTCCTTCGGTTGTCCACCTTGACTGGTTTCTACAAGAGGAAGGCCCATGAGGCAAGATCACCATGGCAAAATAATTTGGAGGAGTTGTATTCCATTTAGATAAATCAGGAATTCCTATTTTCAGGTGTAATTTCCCCACAGTTATGCCTGCATTCCTGTTTCTCTAAGGCTTTTGCAACTTCTTTAAAAACCTCAATGTAACATTTTCTCTCTCCTCAATCCATGTTTCAGCTGGTGGAAGTCAAAGGGCCCAATGACCGCCTCTCTCCCAAGCAGGTGATATGGCTGGCTGAGTTGCAGAAACTGGGGGCAGCGGTTGAGGTCTGCCATGTGGTTGCCGTCGGCTCTAAAAGCAAACGCCTGAGCTGAAGGACTCTGCAGCGGTGGCAGGACTCATGGCTAGTGTAACTGAAACGTTTTTGAGATTTTGCCAGATTCTCTGTTTTGCCTTTTAGAGGGGAATATCTCTAACTGTTTTCAGACAGTACTGAATTGCATTTTCATTGTAATGGGAAGTCTTCACTATTAGGTTAAGGTAGGGTACCACTGAATGGCTTTATGTTGAAATCTTGGGAATAAAATGGCTTTTTCATGCTTGGCTGAAGGTTCTCACCTTTAGCAGTTCTATTAAAAAGCAGGCCTGTGGCTGGTCACAGCTAAACAGGGTCAAATGGCCACTGTTGAACGCTACAGTGACATCCAGGATGGGTTAGTATGATACACAACGGGGAAGCAGTGCATAGACTCCGCTTGGTGCAAAATGCTGCTCCTAAGAACAGAAAAACAGCCTTGCTGGATCAGACCCAAGGTCCATCTAGTCCAACGCTCTGTACACACCGTGACAAACCAGCTGCCCACAGGACCCTCCAGGATGGCTGCAAGACCTCCTCCTGCCCAGCTCCTCAGCAACTGGTGCATTTGATAAGGCTTCGCTGAAATGTGATTAGCTGCTTGTTTAAAAACTTTTGGGCCTGGTTCAGAGTGGTTTTCATCCTTTTAACTTCAATCCATTCAGGATTGCACTATTCTCAGGCAAGTTCCCTCTGTGTAGTAATCTTTCCTTGCCAGACTAGCCTTCTCCACGGTGGTCCAAGTGATTTGAAACATCCTATCGAGATCTTTGAGCTTTCTTCGCAAGGTTGTTTTTGAATGTGTGGTTTTTCCTAGGATTTAACTAATTTAATCTGCCTTTATACTGCTGTTCACAGAAACTGTCAAAGCAGTATTTGACTGTTCAGCTTTAAAATAAGACTACCTCGTTCTATATGGGTTCTAAAAATACTCTTTATTTTAACTGCTCCCTCCTTTTTTCGGGCATGGAGGGAGTGCTGTTTTGGCATGGTTTTGTCTTTTGTCATCTTCGAAAACTATTCTGCTTTAAGGTAAGGCAGCAGCAGCCCTGATCTTCCTCCTCCTCTTAAAATTGTGCATCACCTTTCCATGCTTTTTTGCATAGGCCTCCCTTTTCCACATGGCACAGAAAGAAACAGCCCATTTTCCTGCATGCAGCACAGCAGAAACTGAATGGTGCTTCCAACAGAAGGAAGAAAGCAGGCCTGTTCTCCCCACAGCTCCAGTGTCTTGAGGCTCCCTTCTTGCTTAAAACATGCATTCCATTGAACTGGACTGTTTCTTGCAGATGTGTTCAAGTTGAAAAGCTGTTTCATAACCCATCTCAAAGGCAGTAACGAATATCTGAAAAAGCCAGTTCTCTGTGCACTTTGACCTCTGCAGTGGTACAAACATTCAGGTTTTTTTTCCCTTCTGCTTATGGTTACATCAGCCATCCTCAGACACGGTTCCTGAGATCCCAGGGTTCCACTGGGGATTTCATGAGAGATCATGTATGCATGTTTAAAAATCTTGTTTTCACACTCACGCGCATGTGTGTTTATAATCTAAACACTCATACAAGGTATTTGTTTTAATTAACGAGAAGAATCGAAAAATAGCTCCTTGTTCTTTTGTTTTTTGTTTTTGTTGACAACCTGTGGGTGGAGCAAATGGAGGCAGGCACGAACGGGCAACAGGCCCTCGGTGGCTGGCAACGTGGTGGTGGAGGAAATACAGCACATGTAATGATTGTGACCTTTTAAATGGCTAGTTCAATGTCCTCTTTGTTCAAAGATTTTTTGGCAGCTTTGCTGTGGTTGTAAATGTTGTAATTTGCCAATAAATGTTCATGTTGTATACAGCTCTGATTAAGATCGGGTTACCACCTTTACTTGCATCCAATCCCAGGGCCTGCCTTCATAGTAATTTTCATGCAGGTGTTCCCAGAGACACAGAAATTATTTCCAGGGTTCCTCCAAGGTAAAAAGCTGAAGGAAGCCTGGGCTGCAGGGCATAAAGGACACACTGTTTGACGCAAGGGCTGTCCGCGACCCCAGTCAGAAAGGGACAGAAAATTTTCCACACAAAGAAGGAAGTGGAATGGGTTGTTTTTATTAAGCCTGATTTTATTTCACATTCACAACAGTGTCGCAGGGCACATGACCCTGCCAGCTCTACTTTGCTCAGGTAAGGCATTAGTAGGTTTCAAGACTTTCAACGGGTTTCTTCCCCCTTTCGGATTAACCAAGTCATCCTTTCTTTACCGTTAGAAAGGTTTGGCTTGCAATGCGCAATTTTTTTTTTCTTCTAGCGATTTAACAGCAGGAATTAAGGGGGGGAGGGGAAACAGTACTGAAATGGGATACCTTTACCATTGCGAAACACACACTTTTAAGTGCTGTCTCTTTGGTTCACGGCCTGCACAAGGAGTTAAATATAATTGCACTTCCATGATAAATTATGTAACAGTCAACATCCACTCTGCAGTAGCAAAAAGGCATTGATCTCTCCTGTGGCCACACCCACAAGCAGCCCCCTAAGTCCCCCTTCCTCGCCTGTGTGTCCTCCAGACGCAAGAACAATGCCCGATCCCAGCATGCCCCAGCTGGCTGGGCGTTGGAGTTCACATCACACCTGGAGGGCACCCAGCTGGGGAGGGCTGCTACGCCTTGGCAGTTCTTTTTAACGGCGATTTAATAGCTGCTGGCCCCTGAACAACCCAAGCCGTGGCTGCTGCTATGCAGGAGAAGATACAAAAATAAGCATCTAGCACTTTCTACACTTATAAAAAAAACTCTCAAAAGGTCAAAAGTACCTGGTTTGGAAAGAGACTCTCCCAGGCTCCTACACGCCTTTTGAGTCAGGGGAGCCGCTGCCTCTAGCAGCAGGGGCCAGGGGAGGTTTGAGGGGAAGGGAGCGCCGACAGCCGGACCTCTGCGGCAGGGAGACCGCGAGGCGGAGGGTGCCTAGCCCTTTCCACACTGCTGTGCCTCGCTTCCTGAACCGAGGACTTGGCCGCAAAATGCGCAGGCGAAGGGCTGCCTGGGCCTCCTGAGGTTCTGCAAGGGTTTCCTGTTTGCTCCCTGCCCAGGAGGCTAGGAGGGGCTCGCCTGCCGCTGCCGGACCAGGCCGAGCTGGCTGCCGCCCCTTTCCGCACCGGCCTTTGCCTCCCCTTGCACAGAGAAGCAAAGCCTCCAGCACCGGGGCCCTGCTTCAGCAGAACTGCGCATGCAACCGAGCGGGTGCAGCTCAGCTTCGGCGGTGCAACGCAAAACTCCGGCAGAGAGAGCACGGCTTACCTGGAATGCTCAGAACGTGCTCAGCCCCTGCCCCAAGACTGACCCTTCAAGACGGCCGTTTCCTCAAGGAGTGGCCCTCCAGAGGTTTTGCCTTGCAACCCCCGTACCCTGTCACCACTGGCTACGCCGACAAGGGCTGCTGGGAGCTGCGGGCAACCACTTCTGGAGGGCCACCAGTTGCCCACCGCTGCGTTATCAAATCTTCCTGGAAATATTGCACCCCCCCCCACCCCGCAAGTTTCCGGCTCTCTTGCTAAGCATGTTCAACAGTAAAGTAATGAGGCTTCTTACAGATCTGTTTGCCTGTGATCTTGCTAACATGGGAGTCACAGGCATTGAGTTAATTTGGCATCTTTGCTCAACCGTTCTGTTGCATTTGGTAAGGACAATTTATAGGCAGCTATTCTTAAAGGCAAGATTTAGAAACCGCAAAGGGATAAAAAAGGTCACAAGCTACAAAAATGCACAATTAATTAAAAAGATTGCAAAAACGAGAGCCTTTGTTTGGGCGTATACTACAATACATGCCTCAAAAGTTAAAACATCTTACCTAGTAACTCTTGCAAAATATATTCATTCAATTTTCAGTTAATTAGCAAAATTTGGTACATCTGAAATGTAGTTAAGACAATTAGGCATAAGTAGAGAATCAATAGAAAAAGTCATCTTGATAAAATCTACGACTTAGTTAAAAAGAGAGAAGACGCACCTGGAACTTAACAGAGGGGAACAACACTTTGTTGATTCTAACGAGACCCGCACGTGACAGAGAAATGCCTAAGACGTGACTAATGCCCATGACTGATCCCCACCAAGGCTGCCCATCAGCCCCTGCAGGCTTCCAATCAGCCAAGTGCGCAGTGTGGACTGGAAATCCCGGTGCTAACTGGAAACTGGGAGAGAGGGGAGTTTTCATGTGCTACTTTGCGTGCACGGCCCCATCCAGCCGGGGGCTGCACACTGACCGTGCCTGCAGTAGTTCTCCTCAGCCTGATCTGAACAGCAGCCTTCTGATCACTGGGGGACGAGCTGCTCCACGCTGGCCCTTGCCCAGAGATCAGCTGCACTGCTTTTGCAGTGCTGTTCTGTGCCAGCTGTTCAGGGCAGAAGGGAAAGCGGTAGAAGGACCAGGGGAGAGAGGAGATAAGCAAAAGGCAATCATCTTCTGGGCAGTGGTGTACGTTACAAAACTGGCTGCAGACTGCTGCGCTAAACACAAGCCAGCTAATCCCACTGCAGAACTCCGTCTTTTGAAGACGGTATGTGTCTGCCTTGCCCACCATGCGTGTGGCATGCAGCTTCCCGTATTCAAGTCTACCTCGGGCTTGGCAGTCAAGTCTCCAATATCAGCCTGGTATCAGAGCCTTCAACGAAAAAAGAACCCCAAGGATCCTGGAACCAAGGAAAAACTGAAAAATTTTCCATGTAAACATTAGCTGCAAAAAATTTAAATATGGGTAGGAAAACTGTGAGAGACTGTAGACACTTTGATTTTGGCCTATTAATGGGGACCCCCCTAATATTCAAGTGCTGTTTCACAGTTAATTATCTAGCATATTGTCTTCTTACAGTTTCTTTCCTGCTCGGAGGAAAATGGCTTTCGGTAGCTTCTGGCAATCACTGTACGAATAAGACTTCAAAAAATGGGTGATATTAGTGAGTAGGATATTAGTTTACCACACGAGAGTAACTGAATTACATGATGAAGAGGTAAAAATCTTACTTCAATGCAAGAAAAGGCACTTTGAAGGCTATCATCAACAAAAGTTGCTTTGGGGTTGTGGCATTGAGTGTCCCAGAGGCAGTTTGGGGAGCTAATTCCCCTTTCCACTTTAATTACAGTTAAATCTACACATGATCCTCTTTAACCCAGGTCCTGAAAGTGCAGATTCAACTCATGGGTTAAGGGAATCCTGGGCCGCTTCGGACAAAGTTAACACTGGTGCAAAGGTACACCTAAAGCACAGTTAGAACAGGAGAGAGATTTACACAGCGGGAGGAAGCAGAGACGCGTGGCCATGCAGCTCATTCCCATTCTTAACCCCAGCTAAGGGACCTTCAGCAGTTACCTCAGCGCTAACCCATGGACAGCACACATCCACCTATAGCAGTGGTGGTGAACCGATGGCACGCAGAGCCCTCTCTGTCGGCACGCGAGCCAAGTCGCCCCAGCATCCGAGCACTGAATAACAGCGCACACAGGGGCCATGCGCATGCTCGGAAAGGAGTAGCGGCACCAGGTGATGTCATAAGCCACAACTCATTGGCTGCGGCTCGTCCGAGCTTTCGCATGGCTTGGATTGGCTTTGAGTTGTTTTTTCTAAACTAAAACCTCAGTATTCCGGTTTTATTGCAGTGCTGACACTTTGCAATAAGTGGGTTTTGGGTTGCAGTTTGGGCACTCAGCCTCTAAAAGGTTCGCCATCACTGACTTACAGGCAGAATTTTGTATGTAGGTTTTCTGAACGAAGACACAGCCTCACGTGCTGGATAAAGCACAATAAAGAAAACAGACTCACAGGCTAAGCCAGACCATGCCAGCGTTCTTAAGCTAGGCTGATCAAGCAAAATACTTTTAAATCTCATTCATTTCAATGGGAAATGAAAACGCACCGCTGACACTGACAGGATTTTAAAGTGCCTAACCTTAGCAAGATCTTCAAGTAACTCTGTAACTTGGCCAAAAAATCGCCCTTGTGTTTGCACCAGACACAGCAATCAAATCTGACCCTACAAATCTATCTCTTTTCTCTGGTGCTTGTCTTCATCTATCAATCTAAACTTGTCAGCCTTAGTCAGCAACTAGGAAGAGAAGCATAGCAACACAAACCAAACACATAATTAGTCACCAAAACTCCGATGGTGATAAGGGGAAAATCAACCTCAAACTGTATGTGCCTTATGTAAAAGGATGAATAAAGAAAGCAGCGAAAATGGTTGAAAAGTAGGAAACTAGACGGCTGCAGGAAAAAAAAGTTGTGCGATTTCAAAGCATGACATGCTTGCTTTTAAAACATTTTGTGCAAAAACAGGGTAACCTTTGTCGATCAAGTTATTACAGCTTCTGAGCCATGGTTAGCAGTGCTGTGTAAAGATGACGTGTTAGTCGCGTCTCCTCCACGCCCTCACAGGTCCAAAGGGTTTAGTCTTCGTTGGCAAGTGTTTCTGTGGACAGCCAGATTTTGGCTCCACTTAAGAATTTGCTTAGCGGGGTCCCCAGGATGCTCCGCCGGCAAAGATTCCCTACTGGTGAAAAGGGGAAAGAGGAAGAGAGGAACTCGGGGGTGGCAGGAATGTCACTGAGCCCGTTGGCTCTGAAGTACATCCGGCTTTGCTCCAGCTCAGGCGCGCGAGCTAGCAAAGGGGGACTGCCGTGGTGCCGCCGGAGACTCCGGTTCAGTGCATCGACTTCATCTGCCAGCAAAGAGATTTTGTGGAAGGCAGTGATGAACCCCCCGCTGTTGATCTGGGCCTCAGGGACCCAGCGGAAGTAGCAGAGCTTCCAGAGTTTGATTTGCGTTCCAGAGAGCCGGGGTAGGAGGACACCGTGCAGGTCAATGGGCTTGGAAAACCACTCTCTGAAATACTGCTCCATGCCGCTGGCGTTGCTGTCCGTGTGATGCAGGAAGTCGGGTTTCAGTTTTAGTATTAGGGAATTTCTTCTTGGAAGAAAGTCTTGTTCATTGATTATTCCATTCTTTAGGGATGCCGGGAGGCCTCTGAGAGTCGAACTGTAGTTCTTCTGGGAAGCAAAACGTAGAAAACAGGCCCCGTTTTCCATGAGATTCAACTTGGCCAACAGATAGCGTCAAAAGACACTCAATTACCATCCAGCAAGGAATTCAAGCTTTCACATGCAATTCATGCAGCCACACTAAAAGCAGCATCAGTCAAATGGTTATCTGATCCAGTCACGCAAACTGGAATTCTGTGCCTCCGAGGAAGGAGACCTCTCACTGGGGAGTTCCATGTAGCTTGCCACCACTCCAAGACCGTTTTTCTCTCCATTAATCTGTCGGATGCCTGACACTATCAACACAGCTTTTCGCAGTGAAATCTATACATAAATTAGCTGTTTATGAAGTTGTACTCTGTTTGCTATAAATCTATGAATGAGGGTGTTGTTTTCCAATATAACCACATATAGACCTCTTTATCGATTGACTGTTTTGGTTTGCACCCTGCCTTGCTACTAAGAAAAACAGCACTCGAGGCAGGTTACGGTCATAATTAAAACTTGATTAGAACCATAAGAAAACAACATACTAAAAAACCATTAAAACAGGGCAGTAACAGGATACGATCAGCATCCGGCCTGAACAGGCCCATTCACATGCCCAGAGTCTGCCTGAATACAGGGCAGGACAAAGGGAGCAAACTTGGCCTCTCCTGGCAGGGAGTGTCTCACGCCTGGAACACTCATACCACTGGAGCCGCTACGGAAACTGTGGCAGACAAAGCCAGATTGCTCTGTCCATGGAGGCAAGTACTTTCCTTCACCTCCCGGAAGTGCTTCACGAGGCAGGACACCTGGTCACTCACGCAAGAGCGCAGGTTCCTTCGAGCTGATCACCACCATTGGCACCAGCTGACCACCATGGAAGGCCTTGGCCGGCACCAAGCCCGCTTGCGCAAGAAGAGGCTTGCTTCGACCAGTGGGGTGTTCCAGAAAACAGCTCTATCCACACGTGCACCTTCTTGTAGGTCAGCATCTGAAGTACCGACTGTGGTTAGACACTTGCTAAAAATCTGGTCCCACGGAAGAACAGAACATTCTCAACAAAACCACCTGTCTACTCTGTCTGCCAAAGCCTGGTATGAACCTGGAACAGAAACGGTATCATCTTCCTTATGAGGTGGCTGGCGAACTAGTTCTGAGAATTTAGGTACGGGAAGCACTCACTCTGGAAAAGGCACAGAAAGCATCGCAGCAAAGCACGCACCTGCTCAGTGCAGAGGTTAAACCGTCCCAAGAGTTCACTAAAAGGGACAGTCTACAAAAGTTTTAAATAAGTAAGTAAGTAAGTGGTTCCAGAACATCTTCAGAGAGCCCTGCAAGGGCACAACCTAGCGACCCATCAAGCCCCTGGCCAGCTCCATGCAACATATTCATTTCTTACAGTTTTAGAGTGTCCAATCATGAGTTCTCTGGCTGGTGAACACGAACATTTAAAAAAGTGAAAACGGCAGAACAGGGATCCAAACAGCCTGCTGTAAAACCAGGAGTCGGTCTGAACAGGCCCACAATCACATGCTTCTGTGACAGCGACAGGGACCAAGTCTGGGTAGCTCGGCTGCACCTGTGTGGCTGCAGCGGGACCAGCCTCCTTCCTGCTATTCTTACCTTTGACCGTTTAAATGACTTCACAGCCCCGTTGTGTACGCATGGTGCACTCTTCCCAATGTACAAGGGATTGTGAAAAAGCATGCGATCCCGTGCCGTGTGCTGAAGCGACCAGTCCCAAACAGAAGGGAATTTCAGGCCCTTCTCCTCACCCAGCTGGATGTTTTTGCTGATGGCAAATTCCTGAAACGAACAAAAAATCAAATGATACTTGAAAGCAGAAATAACTGGGAAAACTTACCTTTAACAGCAGAGCTGGGGAGATACACCCAGACACAGACCGGGCGGTGGGACTCAAAGGAGCAGAGGCCAAGCACGGTGGCGTGACGAGGGTATTCTGAATGGCTGTGGGGCCCGATACGGCCCTTCTCCAGCCGCTCCTCTACTCTTTCCTTTGCCTTAGGGTTCGCCAACAGAACCAAAACAAGCCTCTTGCCTGAAGCGCAGCTGGCATTAAAGCACAGCATCCTGCTCCGGTTTCTGCACACACGTTTTAAAAGCCCCACTACGTCTGCTGGAATGAATGCTTCTACTTCCAGCCACATACTTAGTTCTGGCTTGACAAGGGAAGTACTGTGAAGCTGCTCGGCAGCCCCTTTCGTTACACCTGCCTCAGATATCGCCAAACGCGTTTGCATCCACTGTGCCTGGGGCACAGGAGCAACCTCCTCAGCCGACTTCGCCACCTGGAAGAAGCACGGTTGTCACTACGCTGCCAGAAAGATGTAAAGGAGAACCAGGAAGAACTTCACTTCTTCTACCAGCTTCACTGGCTTCCCATCGAAGTCTGGGCTCAATTCAAGGTGCTGGTTATTACCTACAAAGCCCTTAACGGCTTGAGACCTGGATACATAAAGGAACGCCTTCTTCCATATTTGCCCTCCCGCCCCTTGAGATCGGCAGCAGAGGCATCAGGAAGCAAAGTACCCGGAGCGGGGCCTTCTCTGCGGTGGTGCCCCATCTGTGGAATGCGCTTCCCAAAGAGGTCCGCCTGGCGCCGTCGTTATTTGTTTTTCGGCGCCAGGCTAAGACCTTTTTATTCAAACAATATTTTAACAATGTTTAATAATTATATGTTTTAATTGTGCAGCCAGGGTGTTTCCAGGTTTTAACTGTATTTATATTATATTTATTTATTTCTGTGAGCCGTCCCGAGGCTATATAGCAAGGGGACGGCACACAAAAACTGTAAATAAATAAATAAACAAACAAACTTGCGTCTTCAGAGAAAGCAGTTCCCCAAGATGTGGCAGCACAAAAGCGAGTGTGTCTCTGCTCACATACTCAGAAATGACTCCCACCCAGGACTACTGAGCAGAAGTTCCCCTAAGGTCCAAAGCGAACATTCAATAAAGGTGGTGGTGAGGAATGCCATGGGACTCAAGAGCAACACATTCTCCCATTGGAACGATGAGACAAATTCAAAACCAACAGGGCGCAAATTTTAGGTGCTGAACATACCGGCCGCTGCTTTTTCAGTATGAATGATCAAGAATTCAGATGCTGCAAAACCTGCACAGCAGTCAGATGCTGCCTGCTCGGGAACTGAGGCAAGACGAAGTTTCACACTCACCGTGCTCTGCTTTACTCTCTGATGTGGAGAGTTGAAGAGGAAAGTGCCAAACAGTGAGATCCGCGTACTGTCGTACAATATTGTCAGGTAAGCTTCCGAAAACTCAAAGGCGGATGGGTATTGCTCTAGCAGCTGCCAGACACAGTCCAGGAACATCAAAAACAAGGGAGACTGGGGTGAGGAAAAAGAAGGCGTTATTAAACGTATCAAAGTCATGCATATCCACTCAGGTCCCTAAATTTTCTGTAGAAAGAAAGAAAGAAATGAAAGAAACGTTAAAGTGGGCACCCACGATCCCATGCTGGTTGGCAGTTGCAGAAGTTGCAGTCTAGCCCATCTGGAAGGCACCAGGCTGGGGAAGAGTCTTCTGCACTGCTTGCCTGTATAGAAGGTATTGTCTACTGAGCAACACCACACGCACTCCTGACGAAGGCGGCCCATTTCCCCAGGACTAGCAGCATTTCTGGCCTTGGGGCCCTGGAGCCCAGCGTGAAAGGGCCGCATCTCAGCAAGTTCCTCAGCAAGTTGCTCTCCCACCTTCTCCTTCTGACAAGTTCCCCCAACTCCTGCTAGCATCAGATCAACAACTACTAGTATACTCTTCTTGGTAAAAGCCCCTTCAAGGTTTTTTAAACGCTGACTGCACACTCAGGCATACGCCCAGCTCTGGATTACCTCTTTGTCAGATTTCTTCAGGTGATTGCACCTGTCTAGAAAGGGGTACCCGGCCATAACCCATTCCTTCTGGATCAGGCTCTGAAATCCGGCAATGGTTCGGAAATAGGGATCGACCATCACTTGAATGAGGGAAGCCACACAGCAGCTCAGGTCACGCCCTTCCTCCTCTACAGTTGACATGGTAGCAAGGACAGAAAGGGGAAAAAAGGAAGGGTTAACCACTGAATGTGGGGGATTTCCGCATCTATTAAATAATGCCATACCACAGCTGACCCACTTCGCATGAAGAAAGGGGGGTGGGGATGCTTCCCTGTGGTTAACAGCAACAGGGAACTGGCATCTGCTCATGCACAACCCAACCGAGATCCTGTTTTACAGGTTCCTGTGCCCTACATTTAACTCTGTGTCCAAAGAGCATCAAAAGAACTTGGTGAAATCCAAAGTTGTCTGGGTGTTAAACACACACGGGAATAGAGAGAGAGATCAGGCAGGCTGGATCATACAGGGAAAGATCTGACAAATGCACTGCTTTATAGCACCTGGAGCCCAAATCAGCAGCGGCCACATTTCCAAAATAATATAGATCAAAGCTTTGGTTCCTTTTGAGTGCAATGAAGGCCCTCCCTCTGGGTTCTGAAAGCTCCTAACGGACTGTTGGGGACAATTCTGCAGAAATATACAAGGCTCAATCTCTGGACAATGAAACATACATGAGTTTAAATAGGGGCAATTCTAGACAAAATAGCCTGAGGCACATAAGTATTCATTTCTGTATTCATTAGATTTATATCCCACTTTTTCCCAATGTACCCAAAGCAGCTTACAAAGATTCTCCTCCTGCTGCTCAATCTTATCCCAACAAAAACACTGTGAGGCAGGTTGGGCTAAGAGTCTGTGACTGGCCCAAAGCCACCCAGTTGGCTCCACGGCTGAGCGGGGACTTGAACCCGGATCCTCTGAGTCCCAGTCCCACGCTCCTCACCACGACGCCACACTGGATCGCAAGAGGAAATGACTGCTGAGCGGCCTGCTACCCACTTCCTTAGAACTGATAATTCCATTCATGGTGGAGAGAGGAATTGCACATGGCAAGCAGTACATGGGTCAACATTTGAATGTTACAGTGAGCCGCTTTAAAATTTGAGAAGTTAGAAGCAAATAGGAGACTTTTTCCTGCTTACATCAGCAAAGGAAACACTATTTTGTTTCTCTCAGCCTTAAAAAGACTAGATGGTGGTTGAGAGTCGGCTACTGTGAAGTACTGGGGCTCTGCTTTTTACACAAGCCATTAGCTAGTGCCTACGGATAACAGTTTTCGAAGGCCTACAACACCTAATCGAAGTATCATTTATCCAGCGATCAATCTGGCACAATGCCTAGGTCTGTAGGGGGGGACTGAGTGAGGGAAGGGAAGAGTGTTCTGTTTGTGCCATAGTGCAAGAATATATGGGAAAGAACAGGAGGAGTTAAGTTTGATCATGGTGTCAGCATTTGAAGGTAAGTGACTATAACTGCTATAAAAGTCGAATTATCATGGCAAAGCATTTACAGCAGTTGGCTTACCTTGTAAAATTATCGAAATATGCTTACTGTCCAGCATATATACAAGTTCTGCAGAATGCTTCAGAAAGAGCCTAGACCAGAGAGAGAGAGAAAAAACAACAACCATCACTCGACATTAATTCATTTAAATGTATTAAAAACCATTTTATAATCAGTACAGATGTCTGATAAGCTGCCACACTGGTCAGCATTTGGATAAAGCTAAAACTAGCTTTAATCACCAGATATAATTTAGTCCTGCGGAATCACATTTCAAAGACATGGGATTTCTATGGGATGCTTGGACCTGGTGTACACGTCAGCCAGCACCCACGGGGGTTATTTAAACCCATGCCTGGGCGGGGGGGGGGGGGCACAAAGAAGCAAGTGGACCGCTTTCTGATTGCTCAGCATTTGTTCAGCATCTGGGCTTCAAAAACTACCCAGAAACATTCTTGGGTTGTCTGATATGATGCGTGAAGCTAGAACTCTGGCACTGCTGAGGTGGAATCAATCCAGTGACTTCACCTTCAAGTTACATGACCCTAATCTGTATGTTCTTTCTCTACAGTATGTTTCTGATGCAAAACTATTTCCTTATCCACGCAGATATTTTGGTTACCATTTCGGGTCATACCTCACATACTCCAGCCACCGTGAATTATCCAATAAGGACAACCATTTTTCCTCTGTTTCCTCAAAAGGTTCTGTGATAAGAAGATGGCATGTTTTCAGGGACAAGACTAAATCATGCTCACAGTTACAAAACCAGTCCTCTCAAGACTAGGATTGTTGGATGGTGCATCTGGGTCGGATCCAGATTTAACTTCTGCACCTCATCCCCCCCACAACAGCCTCTACCACCCTCAGACAAAACTAACCAGAGGTTTGGGGGACCCCCCATGTGATAAACCACTGTGGGGGACAGGAGAATTCTGAGAATTGGAAGGAGGTAATTTCCATGAGCAAATCCCTTATGTCTGCAGAAGGCAAATCCTGGATCCAGCCCACTGTGTTGAGAAAGCAGGAAGAGTCAGGTGCTTTCTCAACCGTGTTTAAGGGCCAGAGAAATCTTCCCCACCAGAGTAATTAACAGCAAGGATTCAGTTGACACAGCCATTGACCATGGCCAATACTACCCAAGTTTTGGAAAACTAATTAAAACCAGCATGCATATGGAAGGTACAATAGCCCCTTTGGGGCATCATGTCCTGTATGCAATTAAAAACACACAGGGAAAGGAATGAGCCAGCCAGCTCTGGTCCCACCACAAACTGGACGGCAAGCATCAGCACCAAGGAGTCCAGTCGACTGCGCAATTCTATTCCTGGCTACTAAGGCTGGCTCTTCTCTTGAATTCTTAGAGGAGATTTCTATACATGTATGGCACTTCCGTTCAGGGACATGCCCTCTCAGGAAACAGCAACCAGACATGACAAGGTGATTGAAAAGGTCTGGGGGACATACCATTCACACATAATTGCTTGAGCTTCAGAAAGGCAGCCTGGATTTCTTGGATATTCGGCAGACTTTTGTCCAAATCGGATTTGTAGACATCGCTTCTCTGTGGATGACTTCTGGTGATGGCATTACAAACCCTAATATTGAAAAACAGGAGAAGTCGTATGCTGTAACACTGGGCACGAATGGAGGGAACCCATGGCCTCAAAAGGCGCGGTGGCCAATGTGGCAAAGAGGCCTGCCCCAAGGCAGACTTCCACATCAGCCCCACGCTGGGTGTGGCGCATGGCTCACTCGGGCAGGTCCTTGTCCAAGCGAGAACCAGCTCTGCTGTGAAGGAGAAGATGGCTGAATGCCACGGGAGTGGAAGAGAGACCGCAGGCTTTTGTCCGGCCAGGCATAGCTGCGAAAATGCATGGTGCACCCATCGGCCAGGCCCGCACTGCGTAGATGGCTCTGCAATGACCATCCCCAGCTGAGATTACTCATCTGAACAGAGACCATGGCTCTGCATATGCTGCCCTGCTGTCGTTCCGAGGCAAAACGTGCTCTAAAAAGGCACATCGGAATACAACCCCCAACATGACTCGGAGGTTAAAAACACTTCTCAGTCCTCTGGTTTAACCAACTCATATTCACTGGCTACGTCAACCAAATTTCACATGGAAATCGGGCCTGTCGCACAGAAATTGACCTCTAAGGAAGAATTCTGAAGCTCCCAACCAACCCCACCCCACCCCACCCCTGAATATGGTACTAGCCCTCAGAAAGGGGGATTTTGGAAACTACAAGAAAGTGTTTGGCACAAGGACTTCTGCACCCTCCTCTGCAGCATCCAGACTTCTTGTGTTCACTGAGCCATGCTCTCCTTCACTTTCATATATTTCCTACTTGCACTTCACCCTGTTTCTCAACAGGAATCCACATATTTTCAAAGATCTAAAAAAATCAGAATCAAGTCCAATCATGCAAACTGCGTGACCTTTGGGGAAACTATTTATGTAAATGCTATTTGCAGAAATAATGAACTTCTTTTGGACAGAACTTGGATTTTGTGGGAACACTATGAATACTGCCCATAAGTAAAGCTGTAACTTGTGCTGGCACTTCTATTAAGACTGCATTAGTAGTCACTGCAAGCACCGGAATGATAGCATAATAACCGCCTTCCTTTCCTAGCTGTGGACAACTCCCAGGTCAGTATTGGCTGGAGAGGATGAAGGCTGTCCACCAGCACACCTGGACAAGGCAGCAGGCGGGGCAAATCCCAACCACACTGTCCTGATTCTCCCTACCTGTCTGGTGCCTAGTAACACTAGACGGTCAAAGGGACACAGCTTCAAGAGACAGCCTGAAAGCAGCGTGAGCGCCTGATGCCCGTGCCCAGCCATCCAGACAATGCTCTTGTCCTTACCGCTGAACTATTTTTCGCTGCTGCAGTGGATCCTTGATGTTGGCCATTCTCACAAGAGCGCTTCCATTGGGATGATTCCAGCACCATATCTAGGAGAAAGAGAAATCCTGGTACAGTGAGTACAAGGCGTATTTTAAAAGGCAGGATACAAGATATGTAAAGGGCTGTGTATTTAAAAAGTGAACCGTTTCCCAAGAACCTGAATCTGTAATATAACAAGCTGGGGTTTCTGTGAGTGTATCTATGGAGAAAAGGCTCACAGCTGAAGTGCCAAAGAGCAAACTGGACTTGACTTTCCGCCTGTCTTTGAAATGTCCTCTGGCTCTTTTGCTACTGCCCTTCCCCCTTTTTGCATTGCGACAGAACAGTGTCGAGGCCCTTTGCTGTCTCCTGGGCCAGGATGCCTGTGAAGGTGATGCACCCATGCAGATTCTAGCCCAGGAGAGATGGCTGGGAAGCTGCAGAAAGGCTTATCACTGGTTTCTTTCTGTCTTTCGAGCCCCCTCACCTGTCCTCCCCGCAGCCAATCCTAGGTTAGGGTAAGCCAACCCCACCTGCACGTCTATCCCAAGTTCTAAAATCCTTACCTGCATCCCCTGAACCCTGCCAACCATCCCCTGCATGTGGGAGGAATGATCTCACAGGTGTGTCTTTGGAAGGGGTGTGACATTCAGCCCAGCGTGAATCACTCTTAGAGTCACCCAATGAAATCGATGGGAAGTTCAGGTGCCGAAAAATAAGACCCTTCACAGAATGTACCAATGGATCGGGGAACTCCCCGCCGTTAGAATTCTACATGGCTTAGATGGGTTTAAAAGGAACTACCCAAATATGCAGGGGATCTCCCGAAATCAGGCAGCCAGGGTGGCTGTACAGAAGCCCTATGTTCCGCTGCAGTGTGCCTCGAATGAGAGTCGCTGGGGAGGCTCTGCCTTTGCGCCCTTGCTGGCCTCTGCCGGAAACAGAATACTGGGCCACTGGCCCTGTGCACCTGGCCTGCTCTTGTACTTTCCTGCCTGTTGTCTTAAGAGCAGAAATTGGATGAATGTGCAGGGAAGCAAGCTGTCCCCTTACACGGTGGTATGTCGAGAAGGCAAGTGAATTGGCCTGCTCACTGGCGCGTCAAGTTAGGGGTGGCATTTCTGGGTGCAAGCTCCAGGCTTGCCTCTCGAGGGAGCAGAGTGCCCTTGCGGCCAAGAGGAGCGAGCCACATGGTCAATGTCGCACTTACTGGCATCCGTCTTCCAGTGAAGAACTGGGAGTACTGCTTTAGATCTTGATCCGCCAAGGAAGATGGCACTACGAAGTATTCTGGAAGACTTAGGAACCAGACAGGACACACACAGAACAGCGCCTTGTGAAATTCGATTCAGGAATTTTACTGTTAGATTTATATCCCCTTTATCCCACCTGCAGGGAACCCAGGAAGCTCACATGGTCTTCCTCCCTTCCATTTTATCCTCACAGCCAGCCTGTCCGGCATGTTAGCCTGGGAAACATGGACAGACCCAAGTGCAGACTGGGACCCCGACCTCCCAAAATTCCCGCCATTACACGGCACTTCCTCTAAAGGTTTTGTTTTTTAAAAAAAAATACAGGTCTGGATCTCTTAAACAGAGCATTTCAAATCAAACACAAGTCAACGCTTCAACATTTCCCTTCCATTTAAGGTTGAGAGAAATTAACTGAAGAAATATTTACAATAAGCACAAATTACTCTGAACATTATCTTATCGAAAAGAAAGTCCAGGCCTAACACCTTCCTTTTAGTTAGAATTCAGCTGCAGCCTGGACAAACTTGCTTCTCAAACATGCACCCAAGTTTTGCCAGCCAACCTCTCCGAATGAAGCGAGCCGCTCAGAAAGATCGGCTGGTTCCGTATGTTATTGCTGTCAACCTTCAACTCTCTTACCAGGTAGAGATCATGTAGCCTTCATTGACCGAACACACACGCCACTCTGAGGCTCCCGTTCTCTTGATCTCTCTATCCCAGTCTGAGTACGTTTCAAACAGGGGAGTCTGATGGGTACTGCTGCGGCTGCCACCTCCTCCTCCACCTCCTCCTCCTCCTCCTGGGTCTATTCCATTCACTTGCTTTGCTATAAAGACATTTAAAACTCTATTTCCAAGGAATAGCATGCAAATAGTCAGAAGTAACGAGAAACACGCAGGGCTGTCAATCATTAATGCTGCTTCACATAAACCAGCCGGTAATTTCACAAATGCAGTGTGGTGTGGCTGAAGCATCTTGGAAAGTGGAGATGCGAGGCAACCGGATGCTTTCCCCTCTGGCATCCCACTGCTCATCAGCTAAGGTGAACTTGGGCAGAAGGGCAAAATGAACACGACGTGCTGTTTGGCCGTTACCTATGCTGACTTGCATGTACTATGTACCTGTTATTATAGCACCCTACACATTACTGAAGGATGCCTGTGTAAATGAAAGGCGGGATAAAGCCCACTCAGGGCTCAGCTCACACAGGACACAAAATGCAAGCAAGGGGCTCTTTTTCCAGCCTCAGAACTGTAAACCCCTCCCACCGCGGAATCCTTGCATTCCTAGATTTTATTTATTTATTTTTGTATGAAAACACATCTGTACCATCATTTTATGAGGATCACCTATTGTAAACCTGACAGGAAGGGCAGAATTCAATGCGATTCCCAGAAGAAAGGATTCCCAGATGAAACCAGAATGAGATTTTAAATTCTTTGCTTCTGTTTCCTACGCATTTTCATATGTACAACGAAAGCTCAGCTAATGGCCCATGGAGATGGCAAACCAGCTACAGTCTTACACAGAGATCCATTTTCAACATCAACTTGGTCAACTTATTTATTTATTTAAAATATTTATACCCCATCCTATACACCAAAGTGTCTCAGGATGGCTTCCAGAAATCAAAACAAACAATCCAACAAGATTGGATTGCACACGATCAGACAACAGCGACGAGAAGCTTCTGCATACAAAGAAATCCTCGCTCCTTCAAAACTCACACGTGATGGAGAAGGGGAATAGTCTACCTTTCTCACTGCCAAGTTAGTGTCCTATGTGAAGGAGAGCTCTTTGTTTGTTTTTAAATGGAGGTTTATGTAATTGTGTGAGCCACCCATCCACCAACAGTCTGAAATGCTTCAAGCCACACCGAGCTTGGTCCACATCAGAAGTAATGTGGCACTGGGACTCCAGGTTTCCTGCACGCCATGTTACCACTCACTGAGGTCGGCCAACCATGGGCCTGGAAGGTGTCTTTGACAAGCTTACCTAACTGACCTTGAGCAAGGTGTGCTCCAACTCAGCAGGGGTAGCGAAACACCTGAGTGGCAAAAGCCATGGACCGCCTAGCAAGCCCCTAGGGAAAGGAGGGGTGGTGCTCCCAGTGGTACACATCCTCCTGCAATACCACCAGAAGAGAAACTTACTGCCAGGAGAAAGGCAGTGGAACACATCAGATGGGAGAGGTTGTGTGTCTACTGAACGGAGGCGAGAAAGGGGTTTAAGGACAGGGACCAACGTGCTAGGCTTTGGTTTCTAAATCAATCTTTACCAGTTCCGATGAGGCCTAATAACAATACTTAATAATGAGTATTATTAAGTTCTACTTACAATTTCATTAGAGGCCTAAGAATGGACTGCAGATCATGTTTGTGCCTTCCAAAGCAATCTTATTATCATTTTAAAATGTCTACAGAAATCGGCAGCCAAATTAAGCAGCTAGTGCTTAAAATGCCCCTTTGTGTGGAAAAGTGAGTGCCTCAGTTACCTGGATTATTGTATTTCTTGCTCACATATTCAAATGCAAAGAGAAGCTGGAGATCTGCAGGCTGGGAATAATGAGCTATCGCAAGGCACACCTGAATGGGGAAGAAACAAAGAATCATACTGCACAAAATGTCTTCCATTGCCATTTAGAATAAAATACCCCTCTGCATGGGAAACGCTTACATTTTAAGAACAGGCAGCCCTAAGCTATGGAGCTCTGTCCAAAAGAGGATGAGAAGTGATGGATTCGGGGCTAAGTGACAAAGTTCCACCACTGCACTTGGTTTCTGTTGATAAGGACCAAAAGCCAAAGAGCTACTCAGGTATACGCAAGGACTGTGGCAGGCCACAGGACGTATTCCTTTTGAGATGCTACCCTTTCCCAAATCTGCTCTGCTACAAAGCAGAGAGGAGGGGGCTGCTTGAGAAAGCTCAAGCCTGAACCCATCTTGGTCACAGAGAATTGTTTGTGTGATTACTTGGATTCTAGCCCTTTTAGCCAAGAGACTTTCTGTGGCCTCACTAAATGAGAAACTGGCAAGCACGAAAGCCAAAAGCCAGAGCTGTGTTGCACAAAAGCCTTGCACCATGTTGCTGAGGAGAATCCTTGGGAGAGGGCCGAAATACACTTCTGGATTAAATGCCTTACAGGTGCTCTTTATTTTGTCACATTTCAATGCGCCCCTGCCAACACCAAAGCCTAAGCATGCTGTATGTTTATTAATCTAGATATATGCACAGCAATACCAACATGAATACCACTAAATCTGAAATCTAAAAACATCAGCAACAGTGCGAATTGGACATAACATCCCTTTAAAGAGGCTGCTATAAAGCATTTTTCGCTCATTTAGGAAACACTTTCGTTCTTCTCCCTGCCTCCACCATTTTCCCAAAACTTCAAGGACTCCCACCTTAACACTGAATCGATCTATCTGTGAAAAGAAGCAAGGCTGAATGCATTGCTTTCTGGTGTTAATGCGCAAGTACCACACATTTTCTTCCTCATTCTTCATTGGCTTTTGTAAGAAATAAAAATGGAACCACTCATAGAAACCAACGTTCTGCTGCCAGCAGCAGATATGTGGAATTTATGACAAAGGCTGCTAGTCCCATCATAAAATTTTGCAATTTTCTTTTAGTCAAGTTGCTACCCTTGCTCCCCTGCATAATCTGGGCCCAGAAACTCTGGGGTGCTCTCTTCCCAAAGTGTGATTTGTTTGCTATGTATGCCCAAGGAGCAACTGTGCACAGTGGGCCCATTGTCAGAGACTTTCTAGGGACCCATTTCGTAATGCCAGATTGCAAATGCCTTGAACTACATGGAATTCCATGGGAAAGAGGAAAGGTCCATACTTTTCTGTCTACCATGAGAAAACCTTTTCCTTATTAAGCAATTTTTGCCTTCAGGAATGCTGACAGTTACGTGGAGAAAAGCAGCAATGGTGCAGGAGTTACAGCAGCCAAACCCAGCTTTCTATCCTCGCTCCCCCAGCATTTCTGCTGCTGCTTCTTCTTCTTCTTATTATTATTATTAATAATATAAGTGATATTTCAGGGTCCAGGCCAGCCTTCCGCTTTTGGATTACAAGCTCAGCACTGCATCACATTGCACCCTGTCACAAGAAGTATGTGCTGTTACATTTACCACAGTTTTATTAGACGAAATAAATGAAATGATCCTCAGCCCAATGCACCTCCAACCGCTTCCTGCTGCAGCATGGCAAACCCCTGCGAAGCCGTTCCGAAGGACAGCGGGATACGTTGGAATGACATGCAAAACAGCAGAGGAGCCGCAGTGGGTGGGTGGGTGGGTGGGTGGGTGGACTGGTGTCTTCTGAGGGGGCAACCCCTCCATGCACGCAGCAACAATAGCAAAAACATGTTTTGCTCAAATCAAGCCATTGCTCCTCCCCCTCGGGCCCAGCTGCCCTGCGCACTGATGCTGGGATGCAAAGTGCATTTCTGCTTATCCTGACACCAAGCATAGGAGAAAGCTCTTAAGTCTCAGTTATGCTTGCCTTGGACGACAGAAGGTGCTCACGAGAGCCCTGTGCACGTGACTCTATTTATTTAAACAGCACAGTTTTACCAGGCAAAGTGCAGCCGCGGGATAAATGGTCACCGCTGAGGCTTCCAGGCAGCATCCCCAGTATGTGCCCTGAGCTACGAAGCAAGCTTCCCTTTAGAACAAACGTTTGAGCACATAGCCTGTGCATGCACACACGCGCGCGCGCGTGAACGTGTGCGCGCACACACAAGGACATTTCAATAGCCAGGGGCAAACAACAGCTTAAAACTGGCCCTGACGCAGTTTACTCACCAGTCCTATATTAAAACTCCTGCTTGTTGCCAACGTGCAAGTATGGTCAGGCTGAGAGAATGACTTCCCCAGTTTCTGCAGAAAGCGCTGCTTTTAATTGCTACTTCAAAATACATAATTTCCTTCATAGCTGCTGACTTATTTCTTCCACAGCCTCCACTTATGCTGGGCTTCCCCTTCCGCCACTTCCTTCCACGCCCACCTGACTCTTCTTCCTTTTCACATCTACTCTGACAGTAAAAACAGCTGAACAACAAGCGCAGGCAACAAGGGCTTGCATATTCCCCCATCTGGTTGCCAGCTCGCTGTCGTGCCAAGTCAGCAACTACTCGCAGGCAGGCACGCAAACTGGGCAATAAAACTAAAAGCGGGACCTGTCCGCAGGACTTGCAAGTTTTTCCACTCATTATGCCATGCAGCAATGTCTCCTATTATGTTAAGTACCACGAGCAATTCCTTTCAAAAAGGAAAAGAAAACGTAATTCACAATGGGTTGCTACCAAATACACAAACCCTCTTTAAAACCCACATGCCCTAACTTGCTTTTGAACAAAGTGGCTGGGAAAGGCTGCAAAAAATTACCATAGCACTGAGAATAGTACTGAGAAAATGCTAGCAGAGCCAGCAGCTTTGACCCTGCAGGCAACGGATTAGCAGCCTGTTGCCTGCTATTCCACACAAACGGCCTTCCAGTATTAACCGGGGGACGTTAACTCTGCCTGGACAGCTCCTGTTGGGGGTTCTTCCCTGTGGCACATGGAAGACGTGGGAAGAAAGCAACGGCAGCATTTTCTTGCCAGATCCATCTCCCTCAAATATTGTAGCATGAACCTTTTCCCAGGCCAACTAATCTTTCAGAAGAAAAGAGGAAAGAACAGAATAGGCTGTGTTCAAGGCCAGACCCAGCTAACAGTGCTGCATTTTGCAATCCAAGATTGGCTTTGTGCAAAGAAAACACCTAAAGTCTCTTCATTCCTGAACATAGCAAGCACCTCTATTTAATGTTTTAAACCATTTGCTCTCGTCTGTTTAAACGAGAGAGCACTTCCAAGTCTTGACTGACTCAGCCCCTGACTCAGCTTCAATAGGGTATCTATGGTTTCCACCTGAGGGAAAAAAGCTCTTGCTTCAACATACGGCTGCCTGAGAAATTTAAAACCAAGGTGGCAAACATATTTATATATGCCACACTGAATGGCTTCCTTGTTCTGTCCCTGACCAAGCCCAAGCATTCATCCAGCTGTTTTCAAACAAGTGCAGAATGCTAAACATCTGCCAGAGAAAACGCTTGACTCTGAATTTCCAGGAGTGCTACGTGTGAGGTTCCACGTCCTAACCTCTGAGTGCCACTGGGTTAAAGGAACTAGCAGTTTCCATTCCCAGCATCAGTGGGATCTCTACTGTGGATGCCTTGCTTTAATACAAAAATTGATTCCAGGCTTCTGGGATTTAAAACAAACCATTAGAGTTTTTGATACATTTATCCCTAACTTAACAATTCTGATTTTAGATTGCGCGGAACACAGGCAGCTGGTAGGGGAGGGCTCCCCCTCCTAGAGGAGACGGCTCTGCAAACTACGACGGGAAGGAAGAGCTACTCGATTCCACTCCTCTGAGTCAAAGGTTCAGAGGAGCCAGGCAAATCCTGCTGCTAGCCATGAGAAAAATGGTGTCAGGAAGCACCCGATGCACTTGCTAAAATAATATTTTTAACACTGATTCATCAAGGCCAGTTCCTGTGCCCAACAACTGGGCGTGTGCTTCTGTGCAGCAAACTCTCCATACCCCAAAACTGCACGGCATGAGAAAATAAGTCCTCAGAGGCTCCTGGGAGTTCAAATGCTACACCTCTGGGTGGCAACACACTCAGGCCATGCAGGCTCCTACTAGAGGTGAGCATCGGTTTGCATCAAGTGTGTCAGGACTGTTCAAGTCACTCTCAATGCAGAACCACAGCAGTTCTGTACCCTCCAGAGCAGAGAGCCCAATGGGTCTCCCCCAGAATTGATGCTGAGCTTGCCTTCCTTAAACTTGACCATTTAGGGTTAAACTAGATGTGAGAAATTAATGCTCAGGGATACAACTTGGACTTTGGCTTGCTCTCAAGCTGGAAATTCTAGTTTCCTTGTTCAGAGTGAATGAGAAACTGCGATAAGAAACATAGAAACAGAGCAAGTCAGAAGGGGTCTCTTGGGCCATCTAGTCTGACCCCTGGCTCCTGATTAGATGCTTCCTGCTATGATTTTTGCACACTGTTAGCAAAAAGGAGGAGCAAAGGGGCTGTTTGAGCAAGGAAAAGGTGTATGAATATACTGGCTTACCAATGTTAAAAGCACCACCTAACTTACAGCTTTCTCAACTCATGTTCGCAAGTTCAATTTATCACCTCCATGGTTCACAAAAATGGTACACAAGTAGCATTTAATTTACCTAAGGAGACCTGTCTGGCCACAATGACTTACACTAAAATGTGCGAACGGCATACTGTGACCTTAAGTGCGAAGCAAGATGCTCACATGCTCCAGGTACATTTAGTATGTATTAGGCACTAGCTTTGTGTTCACTTATAGCTACAAGAAACTAGCTGCATGACCTTACGGCATCAGTTACAATTACCATTTTACAAGCCACATGCGCATAAGCACAGATGTGAGGAATTGTGAAACTTCGGCCCAGTCCTCACCCAGGCGAAAAGTCTGTCTCTGGGTTGCAGCCCCTTGGATCGTGGGCAACAGACTGCAGGGCTGAATGTTACCTGGAGCATTTGTTCCCGCAAAGAAGCCCTAACTGCAGTCCAGACACAAGTGCAGTGAGACCTGTACCGGCATATAAGAATCGTTTTTTCATTGTCACTTCAAGTAACCCGCAGAATTGTAGAGAAATGCACCTGTCCATGTTTCCCTGCGGTCCCAATGTTTGTGGTGGAAAATCAAACAGGTGATCCATGGATAAACCAACAAATGATAGCCACTAGTTTCATTTCCCAGGTACATGGGAATATTATTTAATGACTATCTTTATTTTAGAAATAGCATAAACAAATGACTAAGTACTAACCTTCCCCACCTAGTTAAGCACTTCAGCGTTAGGGATTCAGAAAAATAGAACTGCCAAGGTACCTTTTTTGCACTTTCTGGTCCTGCTTCATCAAAACGAAACCGGACAATACGAAAGTCTTTGCAGTAAATTATTAATTCTGTTGGATTAAATTTAAGTTTTTGGTTGGGGCCCAGAACTTTCTGTTTCCTCTTTGTGTCATTTACTGCAAAGAAAAGATAAGAAGAAATGGAAACAAATTTAGAAAGAGCACACGGCATGTTAAAATGCTGAAAACAATTCCAGTAAGATTTACTGAACAATGATACCGTTACACACAAAGTTCATAACTGCATTTACCATGTGACAGCTGCACTTCTATTCCCTTATTTGAGCCAGAGGTTCAGAGCTACATTTTGGTTCACAGTGGCCCTGGGAGGCATATTAAACTCAGGAATTATCATTTGCTCTGTTGGAGAGATGATCCAGCTAAGAGGCGATGTGAATCCTGGTTTCCTGTTGCCAAACCCACCGGCTCTCCCTAGTCCATCTCTCTGGGTAGCACTTCTCTATGCCCCTGAGTCTAACGATCCAGAGTTCTGGAATAGTATCGGAGTGCTATAGTATCTGGAGAATCCTGCTTTCAGGCAGGGTTTGGATTAGGGTATTCTAGCTCCGTATTTCTACCTGCAGTAGTTCAGAGTTACTCCCCTCAAGCACTAACACCCAGAGGAAAGCCATGACTGGAATCGCTGGCACGAGAGCTGACTATGCACAGTCTAAACCGCTGCATGTGTTTTTGTTATCTGAGGCGACAAATGTTTCCTATTTCAGTCTCATTTAACTGGTGTGTTACTCATTAGCAGGAATGAGTATCATTTTATGAAAATCTCCTTGGGGGCACAACACTTTTGCAAATCTCTTCAAGGGTTTGCATGAACTGCATACCTACAGGATGATTTTAGGATGCGTTATTGTATCCTTGTACTGTGATCCTATACAAGGGTGTAAGTCACACTGAACACGTCTGAGAAGTAGACATACTTGCACATGCCAAACACTAATGTCAAAGACAAAGTCAATTAAACGTAAATGTACCAAATGACAAGTATGTTATCTGCCCCACCCAACGGCGTCATACATACCTGTGACTATCTGCTCAATGCATGTTAGTGCAACATCGTGGTCTCCCAAGAGAAGGTTCCTGTATTGAAACTTCTGAAACGCAGAAGACAAGCTCAGTTAGAGATTCAGGACTCACTTATTATTTTACAATTGCCTTGACTGGTAATAGTTAAAGAAGCTATGAGAGCTACTTTGGTTAATGTGCAGCTAAAGCCTTAGGCAGGAACCTATGGACACTCCTGCTGGCTGACGCTCATGGGATCTGGAAGCAAAGTCAGAGTTGTACCATTTTGATTACTTAAATGAATATTGGCAACCAACCTGAAAAGGCATGGGGTCCTCTGTAATGAAGGATATCTTGAAGTTGCTGCAAACCAGTTTTCCCCACAGATCATATTGGCTTGTATCTGCTGCAATGCATTTCCTCACAAAATTCACTTCATTCACCACTATTTCACCTTAAAAGAGGACAAAAGTTGCATAGGTCACCCCAAGTATATTCAATTAATTGCAGCTGCTCACAAAGGCAGAAAAATCTCACCTATGAACTTGTGATTTTAGAAACTTTATTTACAAACATAAACAAGCTTTGAAAAACAGACTAAACCTTTTTTAAGCACTCTAGTTTTATCTGATGAAAGTATTGCTCAAGATATACTGTAGGTCCTGGAGGCAAGGAAGCAAGTATGAAACAGAGTCAATTCACAAAGGAGTTTGCACCTGGAATCTAACTATCAAATGCAAAAACATGCCTAAAGATTCCAAATATTTACCTGGACCTGGCGTCTAAGTAACCAACTTTATTTAGGATATCCAGACTTTAAAGTATCTAGACTTCATTTATTTGAAACATTTCCATACCTCATTTAATTCAAAACTTCCACGAAAGTTTACAGTTACTACTCACACACACACAGTTCTTCATGCAAAACCTTTACTTTTTCTATTCACACCCATCCAGTCCTTCAACATCTTCTCACTCGCCAGCAATATTCAACTTGCATGTGGTTAAGGACATCATATTTTCAGGCTCAGAAAGCTTCCACACTTCAGGTAAAGAAGTGTGAATGTTTAAGATTCAGCAGGTGGCAATTTCAAAGAGCGCATTCTCAGATTTGTTTAGAAATACAAGTGCTATAATAATTTTTCCTGGTGGCAGACATAACTGCTTCCAGGCGGGCCAGCGTAGCCCCTAAATACAACAGAGGGATGCCGACAGAATAGTCAAAGCGGTGCTTCCTGTTATGCTAATGAATGGCGGCTGCAGTTGCTCCCCCACAACCCACTGTGCTCCAGTGAGAAAAAGAGAGGCACAAGACAGGATGCCTGGCCGTGTAAATATGCAAGGCATTAAGACATGGGACAGAGGATTCTTATTTGTACATCTTAAGATAACCATAAGATATGATTTTTCAAACATGGTGCAAGGGGAATGCAGGCCATCTCTTCTCATACTCCCCCATTCTGAACATGCAGGGAACTGTGAGACATTGACTTGCAAAAGCCACACAAACAAAACAACTTCTTTGCACTTGTGAAATGCACAGTTTAGAAGTCTCACTTCACTAGAGAAAGGTTCAGCAGCAAAGCTATTTTGCAGGTATTTTCACACTGTGACATTTACTCTAAATTTAGTTGCAGCATTGTTTCCTCCTCTTTCCGCTTTGCAGGGACAAGCTGTTCCAAGTGCATAACGGGAGTCACTGGTGTGTGAGTAGAATAGGCAAAAAGCAGATGCAAGAGACAACAGGCAAGAAAGGAGGCTGGACTTAGCCTGCCCAGAAGCCAGAAAACACCCCTCAGCATTATTACAAAGGCATTTATATACAAACATGCCATTCAAGCTGGAAAATCTCATCCATTTTAGAAGATCCCATCCTATTTTCACTGACAAAAATCTGCCCTCAAACTTCGGTTATGATTCAGATGCCATTATTACAAAAACACGTGCAAGAGACTGGGATTTTTAAGAGAGTTGCTCTAAAGATGTTCAAGAAAACTTGATTAACCTTGCAAAGCCCTATTTTATTCCAGTGTCTACACAGAGAATTTAATACATAGGTTTATCCAGCCACCCCCTGCAAAAAACTAGCAATGTACTTTTCAGAAATCAGGCAGCATAAAATAATGCAACTACCCGATTTTAAAAGATTGTGCTGCTAGGGAAGATGGGAAAAAGAAAGACTCTATTTATATGCTTATGTCATGAAACCCTTTATAGAAGACACCACAATCACCTTACAAGCTGAGATAATATGCCTGAAAGCCTTTATAGAAGAAACCACAATCACCTTGCAAGCTGAGATAATATGCCTGCTGCCCCAATTCAGGCACTCTCTCCAAATACATTTCCTACTAATTCTCTTCCAAGATCACCTAGAAAGTAGAAAAACTGTCCTACCGCTTTTATCCCACATTGTCACCCAAGAAAAGGCTTATTTTGTTGCTTTAAGATGCATGCATACTTAGGAGTATTTTCAGTACATGCTAGATTCCTTGGAATCTGAGGCAGAATTTAAACCACCTGTTGAATCAAACATGGCAACTAGCACAGATGGGAGGAATGCGCTGAACAGGCTGAATGGTAAATATGGCAGTGGCAGCAAGAGTCTGGCATTTGTCATCTGCTCCTGGGGCTGAAAGCAAAGTGCAAATTGCAGAAATACAAACCCTACCTGCAACAATTTGACAGGCACCAGAAACAGCAAGACACCTGCTCATCAGTGAAGGGAACACACTGAAAGTTACTCCATATATTGAGCACTGAAGCTAGTTAAATACTGTATTCTGTGTGTATACCAAAGCACTTTTAAAAACTTAATTCATCTAATTTTGTGGTGGATAGTGGAGATCAATGTTATCGTTACAGGCCACCCTTTGCCAGTTCCTTTGACCATTCCCATGTTGCACTTTGGCCTCATATCATAGGGTTCCCTCCCTGTTCAGTGCTTCATGGAGCGAGTTGTCAGCAAAATCAATGGGTCCCCCAAGCACTGCAGTGGAGCAAGTCTCCCTAATATGTGAAAGGGCGAGACTGCACTAACCCCTAATGGAAATGCAACAAGAAAAGCCAAACAGGCGCACATACAGGTTAACAGATGCTCTCCAAAATGGTCTGGGACATCTTGTAACCTGATCAAGACGTTCTTTGCCGAGTTTTACACTTCTTGCTTTGACTCATCACTGGTGCTGATAATATCTGTACATTTAAACATGCACTTACATTTCCTGCAAAACACCATAATCCTTGACTAAGAAACCAAAGTCTGCTCTGCATTTCTTTTATATGAATCCTTCCAGTACATTTTGGGGATCTGGCAGCCATTTGACTGTCAACTGACAACAAAAATACTTTTGGACAAGGGAGTGGAAGGCTTGCTGGCCTTGAGGACTGCACCACACATTGGCAGGGAGCCAAAACTGCATGGGACTAAAACTATGTTCCCATCCCAATGATCCTGCACCCAAGTGGGAGGCATGGTGGGAGAAGCCACTCTGGAGTTCCCAGGGAAGGAGACTGGGCTGCCAAGGAGAGGAAGAGGCTTCCATCTGCTCACCCAGCAGGCATTGCTACTCTGGTTCCACTAATGGTGGTACAGAAGTAGGGATGTTTGGGACGAGAAAAGGATGTGGCAAAACAGTACGGATAGGTGCACGCACAAGGATTATGAAATGGAATTGGGCCTTTCATCAACCTGGAAACCTCCAGATGCGCTAAACTGCGATGGACATGCTCGCTGGGAATAACAGGGGTTGCAGTCCAACACAGCAGCTGATATGAGGAAAGCTGGAGTGCATTATAGTAGTTGGCAGTCAGCATGTACATAGCAGTCTGTTTCAGAGGAGCCTTCCCCAACCCAGTGCCCTCCAGCTGTTTTGCACAACTCCCATCAAGCATCCTAACTGATGCTCAGGAATTATAAGAACTGTAGCCAAACACCTCATGGTCACCAGACAGGGGGAATGTTAATCTCTACTTCTTCTGCAGTACATAAAACATGAAAGTAGTTCTGTATTAAAAGCAAACCATGCTCCCTTTAAAACATGTGATTTGATAAACAGTATTATGGACACCACCCGGCCAAACACAACACACGAAGTGTCATTTCCTTTACTTGAAGAGCTACATCTGTGCTTAAACTATAAGGGAGCTGACAAGATTATGCTCCTTGCATAATACAGTTCTTGTTCCAAGGGCACCTCACTACATTGTTCTTTCATCAGTATCCATGCCCCTGCCTGCTGTCCAGTGTGATTATCTCCACAGCACAGATGTGGTGATGGGGAAAGACAGGGTCAGAAACAGTCTGCTAAGGCCACCCAGAAACTGAACAGATTTAAGTAGGATGCAGTTCAAGATCTTACCTCCTGTCCTACACAATAGCTCTCTCCAGATAAAATGCTAAAAATGCACCACCGCCTAACACATTTATGTGGCAGCAACTACTACATTAATGCAGATCTCTGTGGCTGAACAGTTTACACATATCCACAAGCAGATACTAAAGAACCAAAGTATTAAAAGGAAAATCCACGGAGTTCATCAAAGCAGATTATGTCTCCTAGGCATATTCAGTCAAATGCCCTCACTAGAAGAGCTGAATATCAAAACAGAATGAGCTTATTAGCATGCGTTGCACATTTAAATGTAAATTTCCTCTAATCCACTTCTAAATTAATCTTCTGTTCTGTGCCTTCAGAAGTTATTTTGAAGTCCAGAAGGGAAAAACACAATTCAGAGGAGATTCGATTTGGAAGTCCATCAAGTGCTTTCTGCAGACCCGTTTTAGGAAATGTTCATGAACTCTGGCAATCTGTTAGTGGCCCCAAAAGGGATCTGGAAGAAACTGCACACTGCTTCATCAGTTGTTGCCACCTGTTCAGATTTTATTCAATTTAAGTTAATACTGAAGAACCAGAAAGTGATGGCGACTTACACTGAAAACACATAGAGTTATATAAAGGGCATTAGTAACATTTTCAGTAGAGCATTTGGCATTAAAAGACATGGTGAAGCTAATGCAATGAGGGGATAGGAAAATCTAAAGAAAAAAAAGAGTGTAAGACTGTCAGGTTGCCTATGGGTTAGTTGTCTTTAGTGTTAATGAGGACTTTAGAAATCGATACAATGCATGGGTAAGTGGACCCTATTTTAGGGTTAGGGTGGAAATCCAGGGTAGAGTTAGGGTTCAGAAAACTAAGGTGCTTCTGAGTGTTCTGGGGGCTAGAAGGCATTTGGAATGGCGAGGTATAATGAGCTGGGCTGAAAAAACTCCGGAGCATGAGGATTGTATAAATCAGAATGATCCATCAGTCAGTGAGCCCTATTTTACGGTTAAAGTGGAAATCCAGGGTAGGGTTAGGGTTTGGGGAATACAGAGTTGGGGAATACAGAGTTTTTGAGTCTTAATTGTTCTGAATTTAAAAGAAAGTTGTCCCAACCAGATCAGTGAGTCCTACACAAAGTTCAGCGCCCCCTTGATCATTCACTCCCTTGCCTCCTCTCCACAGCAAAGCTGTGCATCACCCCAAGGTGCGCCAGAACTTCTGACTCAACTGCACGGCACTAATACACCTGTCTGCTCAGAAGTAACTGGATTCGCTTGAGTTCTTACTCCCCTGTGAGAGCGCATAAGAATGCCCCCCCCCCCAACACACACACACTGTTACCTGTGAGCAAGTCTGAACGGGGCTCAGTTGTAACAACCTTTTCTAACATGGTGCCTGCTAGATGTCTGGGACCAAAACTCCCAGCATTCCTGCCCACTGGCCATGTTGACTGGAGCTGAAGGGAACTGGAGCCCTCAATATCTATACAATATTCCAGGCTGGGGACAGCTAATATGGGCACACGTTCTCTGAACTCATATAATTAGGGCACAACCCAGCACATTTTTAGACAGAAAAGTCTTCCCGCAACTCCTGGCATTCCCCAGTTAACACAGTCTGGTGGGAACACTGGGAATTGTAGGACTTAATTTCTATCTAAACATTTATATGACCGTGACTGGAATCGATTCAGGCTTGAAAAGTATGTGCACTTAATGGAAGTAATTCCCATTGAACTCAGCCTCCAAAGTAGAGATATACTAGATCACATTGTAACCCTACACTGAAAGGCATAATACAAGAGAGCTCTCCAGTCTTAAGGCCAGCAAAGGAAAAAAAATAGCAGTACATGAATTAGTGGCTTCGACCAAAACCTATGTTATCAGTTGAATTATAGCAAGTATGTGAGCAAGGACATAGTCAGATAATTCAGTAATTTGTACCAATCCAAAATGCAATTTAAAATGGATGACAGACCTGCTCTGTAGTTTTACCTTTCTTTAAAACTTTGTACACAGACTCTGTTGGGAAGTCCCTGTCATGTAAATGATAGCATCTTACCAGATGAACTATCCCAACCTCAAAATCACCAAAATAGTAAGTAATCCCTGGGCATCCAACCACAAGTGTAAATGTTTGTTTTAGCTCTTAATATAGAACAGCACACATTGTAACAATATGCCTATGATTAAACTCTAGTTTAGAAACACGTTGACGACAATGTTACACTTTTGTTCAATGCAATTATAAAACAGGTAAGAACCAAGAAAAAGAAAAAGATGGCACTTCAAAAAACCTAAAATTACATCCAGAGGGTTTCCTGAAGCGTTTAGAGGGTGGGAGGACAAAGACACAAAAACTGTTGTGATGATTAAGTTGGAATGATAAGAACTATTAATTTCAGCCACTAAGAAGGAAGAGTGATTTGAACTTTCTAATTCACATATTTTCTAAACAAGCATGCATACCAACTGGCTGCAATCACAAATTAAATATGCCTTTTAGCAGCAACAGAGCCTACAAAATACGCGAAAGTATGCTTAAGGCTCGGTCATACGCACGTTTACGCAGAAAAAGTCCCAGAACTTCCAGACTGCTCAGCACTATGGGAACTTTTCTTGTGTAAAAATGAGAAGAACAGGCCCTTAAAAAAACCATTTAGTCCATCTACCTTTTGCATCACAAAATTTACAACTGCCTCTTAAGATGAGATTGTAAAACTAGGTGTTTTCCCATCATCATAAATGTGCAAGGACACTAAGGGTGACCATTCACTTGATGCAACAATGTCCAGAACTTTCCAGAAGGAAGGGCAGGTTGTTACTCAACAGAAGAGAGTTACCCCATGAGAAATTAAATCTCCATTCAGGTTGGCAACTATGCGAATATTCATGTTTTCCTCAATACTATGGCATATTTTTGCCTCCTGTTTTTGCCCTCAGTCAAAACAGTGAAATATAACTAAACTGGACAAATGGGAAGGGGCTCCCATCATGCCCTACTGCTGTCTATTGCTAAAATAACATGCTGTTATTTTTGCCAAGACTCTTGCACATCAAATGCATGCAATATATTTATAAAAACTTTAAATAAGTAAGTAAATCTGATCAACCAACTTGAGGCTTGTCTGCATTTTCTACTGATTACTCAGCAGCCATGACTACAATCCCATCCCTGATAAAGCAAATGAACTAATTTACCCTTAAGCAGATGTAAGAGGCTTTGAAGTCTTAAGTCAGACCACCTGCCATCAATCTCGCTTGCTTATCAATAATATATCCACAACTCGATCCAGAGGGATCGTAATTTTTCAGGAAAAGGAAGGAGAGAAATCTAGCTTTTGCTAACGCTTTAGTGTTCAGGTCTTCACGGTCAAGTTACAGGACCCACATAGTTAAAAAGAAAAATCTGCCATCTCTAGCTGGCAACATGCTGCGAGGATGCCTGGACAGGCAAGAAGCCACAGCAGCCTCTTTTCCCTGCCTCCATGTGTGCTCCTCGTCTGCCACGTGACACGCTGAGATCACGAGATTTTAATTAGCCAACACACATTAAAAGACCTTCACCCTGTGCCCACAGTTTTGCAGCTCCTCCTCTTCTTCATAACTTCCATCTCGCAGTGTGTCCAGATAATCCAACCCCCGCTTTCAGCAGACTGTACTTTGAAGGATCAGCAAACCTTCAGCCCAACTTGTTCTCCAACAGCCATCATCACCCACCGTTGCCTGCCACTTTAGAAGGTTGTACGAATGCATACCGTGGGCCAAAGCTCGAGTCATTATGCATGCAGAGAGCTGGACCTCTCTTTCAACGAAGAAGAACGACTTCTGCTAACTTCAGATCTGAAGCAGGTTGAACTCCTTTAAGCTAACTTGCAGGCAGAGCTGCCTACAGATGGTCGTACTAAAATTATGGAGGAACCGTTCCTCGGGGGAGTGTGAATTCTCCCACATGGGTTTCTTTTAAGACCACAGCAACTCACAGCCCTGCAACTGCTCGCACTCTCACATAGCCCAGAAGTAGGGAATCTGTTGCCAAGTGTGGAGAAATTCAAATTCTGATAAATCACAAAGCATGAAGAAACTACACTTTGTGCGCAGTCATTGAATGCAGCCAAGGCACGTGTGTGATAACCCAGCACCTCTCTGGGTTTGTGACCACATCAGTTAGGACAGAGACCAATAGTTCTGTAAACCAAGGTTCAGCACAGAGAAAGTCAGATTTAAACACCACGGCTAATTATTTGTGCACTTCTGTATGAATGTTTGCCAGTTTTCTTCCACAGTGAAATGCTTGAAGCTGCAGTTTGGACAATTCAGTGACCATCTTGACCTCAGCAAGAGCTGAGGTTAGAAGGTCACTTCTTCAATCCTTAGAGAGCTGTTTTAGAACTTTCATCTGCAGCATAAAGCATATTACAGGTCTTTAAACAAATTATGCTTAAGTCATAAACGGCCATTTCTGGAATGCAACTAAGTGTTGCTCTGCACAACTATGACACTTATCCTGCAAAGCTAATTTTGAAAAATAAAGCTGCGAGAAAAGCATCTATGACACTTTCTTCACAAGTTGCAGAAGCTGCTACAAAATGCTAGTGCTTCAGATGTTACAAGCAACCGGCAGTGGTCAACAAATTTTAGCTTGGCGTGTTAGGCAAAGACAATACTCCCATCGCTCCAGCCGCATCCCTTCCCCAAGTCCAATAGCATGTTTGCGGGACTCGAGTTAGTCTTTTGCAGAAAGTGCAAGGTCCAAAAGCTTAGGAAAAAGGAGAAAGCAACCCTCCTTTCTTCTGCAGGGCAGGAAGAAAGCCTGAAGGCAGCTTCCATCCACAGTGGTACTTTTGCAGAAAGAGTGTTCACCAATAAGTTGCTACTTGTGCTTCTCCAAAAGCCTAACAGGAAGGAAAAGTTGTCATTTTCCCCCTTTCTCCACCCTTCCAGTGTTCTCTGAAGAAAAGACTAGGTGCTTTCCCCCTCCTGTCACAAAGTTGCAAGAGGCAGAAGTTGAAAGGCACTGCCACTATCAAGAACTAAAAGGATGGAAACTACTTCTCCTTTCTTCTCCATGCTCTAGAAGAAAAGATGGTTTTGTTTCCACCGTGAGTTGAAAGTTTTCAAATAAACAGTTGGCCATAACCATTCACTGCTTCCAGAGAAAAACCAGTGGAAGGAAGAGAGAAAACCTATGAGGGATTGCTTTTCTCTTCCCATTTACTTTTTGCAAGATGGAGAGGCAAGACTGGCACTTTTTGCACAGCTCCCAACTCAGAGCAAAACCATTGTTCCTTTCTTCACCTTTCTTGAAGCAAGAAAAATAGAGACGGCTGTCACCCCAGCAAGCTGGGCATTTGCAGGGAACGGAAGCACAACCTTTCCCTGCTGCCACCTTTAAAAAAAAGCCGGAACAGTAAGTGAAAAAAGTTGCCCTTTGTTTCTTCCTTTAGTACCAAGGGAGAATGGATCTTCTCCATAAACGGAAGTGAAACTTTCCTTTCTCACTGAAGAACCAAGGAGGAAAGAAGAGGTGGGGGAGCTTCCCACTGGCAGGGCTTTTGCTGAAAGCAGGGGTGCTTACCAGATGGGGCAAGGGCATACATAAAACAAAACATAAAAATGTTTTAATAAATAATAAATAAATAAATACACACAGAGCATGGAGAGGAGTGGATTTACCAGGTTCTGAATATGGGCTTTTTCAATGAAGAATGGCCAATTAGACAAGGGAGAGTTCTTCTTAAGGAGGAGGGGAAGGGGAAGTATGAACATGTACAGAAGTTGGAATAACTTCAGGCTACCAATTAAACAGAGAACACCCCAATTTTCAAGAGGAGCAGATGTCTGGATAAAGATTAAGCACAAGCAACAACAAAGAGGATCGAAAAACACCTGGAAGATTTGCAGCAGAAACTTTCTGGGCCAAAGCTCCTGCCGGCAGATGCACAGAATGCTTACCTGGCAGGAGGGCTGGCTCCAGTTTCTTAAGCCTGGGCTCTGGCGTTATCCTGTCTTCAGCCTGCAACACAGAACAACAGAAGTACAGCATGAAGTAATACTTAATAACATCATCTGCAAATTTTTGTAGAGTTGAGGCCTAACCTTTATGTTTTTTTTTTAGCAAACAGGGCTGTCTAACTGTGGACATTTTGACATGCATTTAATCACAAGATTGCCCCAAGTCAAAAGTGATTTGGCAGCACAGAAGAACACAAACAGGGTTTACCTACAGTTAGGAAGAGATACACCTGTGCTGCTAGACAACAGAACGCTGCTCTTCCAGCAAGCTGTGTAAGAGCAATCCTGTCAGCTTGGCTTTGTACATTTGACTGGCAAATAACTGAATTCCACCTTCTAGTATGGAAGCACAGTCAGTCCTAGCTCAGTACACATTTATCTCCATCACTGGCTGGGCTGAACATTTTGTGCATGTTACATTTTTATGCGAAGACCTAAATGCTCAGCATATGGAACTAACCCAGCCTTCCATTTTTGGCAGTTACGGCAAAGCATACAAGAAATGAAATACAGTCTGTATCGACTTGGCCCTGCAAAGGAGGAAATACATGCTCCAGTCATGGTAAATTCATAAGCATATTAATAGGTTATGATAATATGATTTTGGCATCCGGGGAATTACCCCATGCTTGGCTATTCCAGGAGAAATAGGTCACTGTTTTCAAATTATCTCTCACGGTTCACACACATAGCCTTGTCTTTTTTTTTTTTTTTTTTTAACAAAGGCAGCTGGTATATTAAAATATTAAACTCTTTTTGCAGCACTCAATTTCAGAAACTGAAAACAAAGCTGTCAATACAATTTGAATATGCATGACCAGAAATAATAAAATTCACCACTACTTTTTAAAAATTGCCATCTTGAAAACATGGTCAAGAGTAAGAGAAGAGATGGAAAAAAGTATTCTTTTTTCCATCAAGAACCAAGGGGGTAGGAAAAGGGCAAAAAAAAAAAAAAAAAGATTATCCTGGATCCAGCCCTTCCTCGGGGCTTCTTGGGATGACCCAAAACTTCTTCAATGGCAGAGGCAACACCAGAAGCTTGGTCCCATTAACACTGTGCCATTGTATGATGCAAAGTTAGGTATACATTCTCACAAGCACTGGGGAAAGAGGGGATGATAATGAGCCTTTGGGGTTCATAGGCAGCACACCACCACGTGCCCCTTCCTGGGGAACCACAGCAAGAAGGGCTATTGTCTTCAAGTGCCAACTGGGTGCTTTCCATGGGCACACGGTCTGCTACTGTGGGAAACAGGCAGCTGGCCTAGATGGAGTCTGATCCAACAGGGACCTTCTTATGTGATAAAGCCAGGTAGGCTGCTCTCTACATGGTAGGAACAAGGGAGTGAACATCCCCTCCTTGCTGAAGACATTGTTCACTCGTTTAGTCCAAAGGCTGGGAACCGCATTTTAAAACCAACAAAAAAAAGTTAGTAAGCAAGTTGTGACAAGAACACGTGTCAGCTTTTCCTTTTCTGGTTGTGTCCATGCATGCTAACACGAAACAGTACCCACCCTTTCTAAAACTAGCAGTTCCCACCCCAAATTTTTTTGAATTAAATTACTCATACAGTAGAGCTCACGGTGAAGTCACACTTTGTCATAGGGGAGAAAAAAAGTCCTCCCATTAATTTTAACAATACCTTTCATCTGTTTTAAGAAACCAAATATAATTTTAATGGCAAAACAGTTTGGAAAGCAGGACATCTATCTTTGTTAAAATGATTGTTGCTTATACCACAATTAATTGTACCAAAACCAGTGTCAAACATCTCTGGTACATGTCTACTGCCACAAAATCCAACTATAGTAACCAATGGGAGTATTTTAAACCCTCAAACAGGATTTTGAAAAGCAAACTTTGAGTGACTCATTGTTTGTTTAGATTGTAGCTTTTAGCAATGTATTCCAAAACAGTGAAGGTATTTTAAAAAATCAGAAACCCAAGAAAAACATAAAAATATTTGGGCCTGTTAATAAATCTGAACATAAATTAACTGGCTCCAAGAGTGTTATTTTTGTTGCACTGATATACTGTATCTATAGTACCTTATGTGCAGTTTCTCTCCAACTTCTACATGCTAGAGTACAGAACTGTAGGTCTCTTAAATATCTACCTCTTACATGTACACTGTGTGTTTTTAAGATAGCACAGCTGTGCTTTTAACACACTAAGCAATACTACCTGAACACACATTAACCAGTTCTCCAAATTATTAACTAGAGAACTCCTAGGAATTGAGTTGTCGTGGGGGAAGCCAACCAGAGGTGTGATCTGTCAAGATAAAAAGAACCTAAGACAACAAAACCACAACAGCAATGTTGCCAAGCCAATGAGAAGACCACATCTTTAAAGGAACTACCAAGGAATGAGCAGGGAAGTAGCTGCACACAAGAACCCTTTCACAAGACTGAAACTGGGGTCCTTCCCATCCCAGTATCCCAAAGTTGTCACAGCATCAACAACTAGGGAGGCAGAACCCACCATGTATTATCGATTTCAGACAAATGCATGCAAGAATTTTAAAAAGGGAGAAATGCATTCTTGAGAAGTGGAAAAGCATGTCATTCAACTCTTTCCCCCAGCGTGTGGTATTCCTTCCTAGTGGGGTATTCCCACGCCATTTCACTAAGCACAAGGGGAAGCTGGATCTGTAGAAACAAAGGAAAGAAAGACCAGGCAGGGGGAGTTTGCAAAGAATGCACCACTTGCGAGGGCATGGCCCAGAGCTGCCGAATTAGCTGCGGAAAACCCCCAAACCAAAGCAGATGTTTCTGGCATTCCGACACTTACCAGCCGCCACACTCGGATGCATTTATTTCGTTTTATTTAAAGCTTTTCCATCCCGCCCGTCACAACGCCCAGAGCGATGCGATCAGCAGGGATGTTCTGCTCCCCGCCCCTTCTGCCAGGTGCAAGGTCGGCATGGCGGCGCCGCCTCCGTGCCCGCACAGCCCAGGCTTCCCCGGGGAAAGAGGCGCCCCCGGACTCCTAGGGAGCCCGGCCGCTCGGAGGCACGGCCGGGGCTCCGCACGAGCGGCGGCTCCCCGAAGTGTCCCGGGGGCGCGCTGGAATACAGCTCCCATCGCCCGCAGCCGCACAGGGCGGGCGAGGGCAGCCGAGCGGGGCAGCGCCGGGGGCGGGCGTGCAGCAGGTCGAGCAGCCGTGCTGCCGCCCCGGGCACGACGCGTCCCGCGCAGGGCCCCAGAAAAAGGCGCCCCCGCGCCTCGCCTCGCCCCGGGCCCACCCTGCCGCGCCGCCGCGCTCGTTACCTGAGGCAAAAGGTAGGACCTGAAGGTGGCCCTGGGCGGCCTGAGGGAGAACATGACGCCGGCGGCCCCGAGGCGGCCGCTCTGCCCGCTCCCCGGCCCTTCCTCCGCTCCCCGGCCTCTCGCCGCTCCGGCCTGCCTGCTGCCCCACCTCGCGGAGCGGAGCGGAGGGGAGGGAGGGAGGGGAGCGGAGCGCCGGGGTCGGCCGGGCCGGGCTGGGCCTGGCCTGCCTCGGCTCGCCCCGCCCCCGCCGTCACGCGCGCTGCCGCGCCTCCCCCGGCGCCGGCCCGCGGCCCGAGCCCCGCCCCGCGGAGGGCGGAGCCGCAGCAGGGGCAGACCAATGGGTGAGGCTCTCTCCCTGCGCCGCCGCCCGTCTCCTAGCAACTACCCTTCGCTCGGGTCTGCGCGGACTGTGGGTAGCGAGAGGGACGGGCGGCAGCCTCGAACGGCAGAGCGGAGGGGACAAAAGACCTCGGCGCGACTCTGAGTTTTTGTTAAGGGGGTCTGCAAAGGATTCTGGGAAGGGAGGGCTGGGTGCCACCTTCTGAGCACCGCTGCGAGGGGGGGCGCCGGGGTGGGTCTCTTCTGGCCCAGGTGTGGGGAGAGGGAGGCCTACAACGCCCATCATCCGTCACCCTTGGCCGTGCAGGTTTGGGCTGATGGGAGCTGTAGGCCAGCATAGCTGGAGGTACCCATGTTAGCAAGCAGCAAATAAGCTTGAATCCTTAAGTTTGAATGGCCTTTGCACAAATACGTTTTATTGTGTATTATCCCGTTTATTGTAAATGCGGGAGGCTCTTTTTGTCTCCTCATGGCAAGCGTTTGAGTGCATGATAGGCTTCCTTCGTTGACTTCACTGGTGTATGTGTTCGTTGTAATTGCCCTAATTTTATTCTGCTTCTCAGGCGAACAAAGCTTCCAGAAGTGGCTCTCATCAATTAAAGGATATGGGGCCTCCGCCACCTCCCTTGGAAGCTCACTCCATCAGTGAGGGCATTCAAGGAAAGAATGGACAGTCACATGCTGGGGATCCCATGAGTGGAGCCGGCTAGAGCTGGGGGTCAGACTAGATGACCTGGGGGTCAGACAAAATCCCATCTGACTGACTGCATTTCTGTGTTTCTAAAGAAGAAAGCAAGACTGGTGCTTCTGCTGATGTTTTGCAAAAGATAGGACCCAACAGTGAGAACAGCAGGGAGACCACTTCGGGCATGGGCAGAATTTCAGCTGCTTAAACCCATGCAACTGCCTGATCTGATTTTAGTGGGAGCTGCTCCAGGCCTTGACAACAACAGGGAACAAGGACAGAATATGTTACCTAAATGACTTACCAATGTCTAGCATGCAATTTACATGCCTGGGTTAGATTTTAGCGTGACTTGATTTTAAGAATCGCTTGTAATCTGCTTTGAGAGATTCTGGAGAGCTAGAAAGTGAGATGGAAATGTTGATCTGTGAATTTATTTATCCAAAACAAGTGAGAGCTGGAGTTTGCAGATTCAGCACTGCAGCTAGCAGATGCTTTAGTTTCCCTTGGTCAGACCTCACCCACGGCAATGAACTTCATACCATCAATAATAATAATAATATAGGAGTCTGTGTAATTTCAAGAGTCTTGTTAATCATCATGAGCAGTGTTGCCCATTTGAGTCCAACAGTTGTAATTCATGCCTGTGTTAACAGTTATAAAAGCAACAAAATGCCACTTTGTGTTATTAGTCAGCTGGAGCTGCTTGTAAGAAATCCTCCTTGGATTAAACCCTGGTAGGTAGGTCTCCTCTCACCATTCTTAGCAAAACCCACCCCTGAGTTCCATCCTGTTTTTCCTCATTAGGGTTTTTGTTTGACAGTTTTCAAGATACAGTAGTAAATAATGCTCTCTTTCCCAGCATTTTGGCACTGCGTGCTTTCAAGCTTCAGGACCTTTCTATTTTAGGGAAGAAAGTTCTACAAGACCCAGCAACATTTCTTTTGATTTCACAATCAAGAGCCTTTCCAGATGAACAGGGAGGGAAGAAGCACATTCATTTTACAGCAGTGCTTCTCCTAGGAAACAAGCATGGATACTTACTGGGCAGCAGAAAACACCTGAGAGGGTGGACAGTTTAGCAGAGGGACAGACGTTTTCTTTCACGTGGCAGTTATGTAGTACTTTGACTTCCCCTCAAAGAAACTGCAAATCAATTTTTATTATAATTCTGGCCCCATCTTTGTCTAGTTGCATTTGGAAGGAGGTTCTACACACAGGACTAGGAGTTTCAGATTCAAACCCCAGAGAACATACGTGTTTAAATTCAGGTTTTACACCACACCACTTCTTTGCAACAGCCCTTTAAAAGCAGCTTTTCTGACACGTGGATAATGCTAGACCTTGATTAGCTTAGTTGTTGATTTCAATAATCCAGTAACTTAAAACACTTTGAACCCAGCTATCTGAAATCATGGGTCTTCCACATACTAACCAACTTGACAATTGCTCTATACATCGTGTTAAATGAACAAAGCAAGCCACACCTTTTTTGTAACAGTTGTTTTTAAATAGTTTATCGAATGTGCATCACATGTTTAGGTGCAATCTTTTGCCGTGCAAAAAAGTCAAGCAGTACAAAGTGAAGAAAATGTATCATTTAAGAGTTCCACATCATTCATGGATTGAGTCATGGGATGAAAGTTACGCACTGAAATTCTAGAAGGAAAAGGTTGAAGGCTGTATTAATAAACCACTCCTTGTGATAACAGCATGCTGTTTTCTGCATTGTATCACCCCCGGATTTGCTAGGAACTGGCAGTGTTCTTTCACTGATGGGATGTAGGCAAACAATGCAAGGCATCTGCATATTAAAACCAATATAACTAGGAACACAAAACCATGCATTTGCATAAAACTTGCACAGAAGCAAACTTGGAAGAGCAATGCTATCAAATTGCACTCCAAGTTGTTCCAGTCACATCTTGAATTCTGAGATGACTAAAACAAGTGTCAAGCAAAGCCAGATCTTCAAAAAATAACAAATAGCCCTGTGGTTAGCCAACTCCTGGCTGCCATCTTGGACACATGCTAATAAGGTCAAGGAATGCATTACTGGCCACAGTTCTTACCAGTTTGCTCTTTTCTGCCGGACATCCTGGGACAGAGTTTGCAGAATGACTTCTCTCCTTGCCTAAGCATGTTTTTCATGCGCTATGAGCCTCAAGGTGCTAGGAGTAGGAAAACCCAGGACCTTACTCCATTACTCCACAATGGAGTAACCAAGAGAACGTCACAGCCACTTCTCTGGCTCCAGCTGTAAGACCATTATATGGTAAAAGACTGTTTCTAATGCAAAGGTTAAACAGCAAGGTCATTATGTCTGTTTTAACCCTTTTAACAAAATTAAAACAGGATGATGATGTTGGAAAGGAGGCAAACGGCCTCTTGTCCCACTAAATCCGTTGCATACGAGCCCATAATGAAATCAGAATGGCACTCACTTCACATACTACTGCCTGTGGAGTCCCAGGAGTTTGGCATAAACCTTTGACCAGTGTGCTGTGAAAAATTAACTTTTTCATTCCAATTAGGTGAAATCTTTTCCCACTGAAGTCATCTATTGGCTGGGTGGTTTAAAGGAAAAACAAACTTGGCTGGGGGTGGGGTGGGGGGGAGCACCCTTGTGGAAAGGACGGAAACGAAATCACTAAGAACAGAAGGCTGTGCACAAATTTTGGTTATAGAATAATGCGGTTTAGCGATCAGGTGTCCTCCAGCATTTGAAACCCAGACAGGAAAGTTTGCAAGCAGTTTATGGAAGATGGGCAGCCTGGCTGCTCTGGCATGCAATGCGGCGCATGGAATGCGCTCCCCAGAGAGGTCTGCCTGCAGCCATTATATGCCTTTCGGCACCAGGTCAAGGCCTTATTCTTCTTCCATACTTTTAATGTTAACTATGCTTTTATGCGCAGTCTGTGGATCAGTTGTATTGTATTATTTGGTTATCTATGTATTTATGGGATTTGAATTGTAAGCCGTCCCGAGACCCACTGGGTATTGGACTGGGTAAAAAAATTACCCAAATAAATAAATAAATAAAATAATAGACACTTATGTGTGAACAAGCCAGAGGTCATGGAAGCAAGCGGGAGTGGGGAGAACACACATGTTCAGATTCATCCTAGGTTCCTATTCAAGGTTCCAGCTTTCCATCAGAAATTCCAGTACCTGACTTGCAAATCAAATTCTAACACAGCCGTTCATCTCTGCCTTTTCCTCAGCAGGATTTATAACCGAGGTGTGTTTATTTTCGTAAGTCAAACTGCACTTCCACTTAGGCCTTCCCCATAACAACTGCTCGAAAGCCCCTCAAACAACTCTTGGATTAAATATTTCCATTTAAAGGGCTGCACTAGTGTGACTTCTAGACTCATTGTACCCCAAAGATACCACAGCACCACCTTTAGTGTACCCTAAAACAGAATTCAAAGGCCATAGAGAGATGCAGGACATTACATTTCTGTTTACCCAGCGAAGCGGCACATAAAGAGTGTCCTGAAACTTCCCCGCTTCCAATCTCTCTCCTCGTGGCTTTTCCCCTTCACAGAGTCCCTTGGAAATGTGGGTTTCCAAGGGCAAAACATTTGGAAAAAAGTTGAGGAGGTTACAAATTGCGGCAGAAGTGGGTTAGCCATCCCTTCCCTCTGTCACTTCTCCGACATGGATTGACCTTCAGCAAAAAGCTTTTCTATGTAAGGGGATCCATTGGGCCATAGCTGAACATAATATTCAAGTCTTAACAAATGTCTCCTATTCCCATTCTTCTCTTCCTTTTGCTTTGGTGTCGCTGAAAAGCACCCCTGCTTTAAACTGAGGGCATTAAGCACAGATTGGCATTCTAATATTGGACGTGGGTGAATATCCTCAAAGGTAAAGATCAAAAATTGCTACACGTCTTGAAAGGAAATTGTTATGCATAAAACCTGTCACACAGTTTGGCCTGTAGAGAGTGTGTGTGTGGGGGGGGGACCCTTCTGGTAATATTCCCACCTCAAAATCAGCGGTGTGAATCAGCAACCATGAGAAAATAATAGCTTGCTCTCAAATGGAAGATGGTTGTTGAGTGCCAAACACATTTAATCAATGTACACCCCGATACCCAAATTCCAGATCTCTGCTGGATTGCCAACTGATCCAAGATCGGCTGGCAAGGTCAGGAAGGATGGTACAAAAACAGGGTTGTTTTATAGATGAGTTGGGACATCTTGCTCCTCCCCACAAGTTACACAAGGGATTCTGCATTTCCAATGTTACTGTGGGGCTCTCACACCGAGGAGCTGGCTGTCCAAACACTGTGAGACCCACAGTTGCCTCAGGCAGGAGGGATGATGACAACACTTTTTACATGTGCCACATATTGGCCTCTCCACAATGTAATTCTGCAGCATGCACCCAAAGTCTGTGAACTGTGTTGCCCCCCGACCACCGACACACAAGACCCTCCGCTTTAGGAAGCCGATTTGGGATCAAGAAGATCCGACCCCCGGAATGAATCGTCATTCAGAGCTAGTCTCTTCTACAACATCGAGAGGAAGAGAAACTGTCTTGCACATGGTTTGATTTGGACTCGCCCAGCCCATGTCACCCCAGGTACTGCCTGGAGCGGGATTGCACCCGACAGGTGCCCTGTGTTCCTGCCACACGGCAAACCCCCCCAGCGCAGGCTGGCTCTGAGGGACGGATGCCAGTGGGTTTTCAATCAGCGCTGTCCTGACTGAGCCCAGCAAGCCAGCTGCTTGTCCCCCACCGCCAAGTGGTGAGAAAAGGCCATGCTAGCATTCCGTCTCCGTGGAGGCATTCTCTTTATTTGTCTTTTGCTCATCTGTCGGCGTCCCATCAGCTACCGCTAAGCTGCTGACGCTGCGGGCATGCCCTGGACAGCGAAGCTTGTCCTTAACGGATCTGGGCTTCCGAGAGTGGCCGTGTAAACTTTTGGATCGCACAGAAGGAAATCCGCCATTCCTGCTGGAGGCCAGAATCAGCTGGTTGTCTGTGTCCATCCTTTTCGTCACAGGAGAAGAAGGATGGGAGGCACTGAGCCCGGTTACTTCTCCAACATCGCTGTCCTCTTCCGTGTCGGTCAGGAGCTGCTTCCGCTCGGCTTGCATCTCGGCCTCCGACACAATGCCGGGGTATTCGGGAGGGGGCTCACTGGCCAGCTTCTGCTGAATTTCGTACCGCCACTCGGCAGTCCACTGCTCGATTGTGGAAGGACACACTTGGTCCGTGATGCTCTTGTAGCCTGGGTCCAGAACGGTCCAGTTGTTGATGCCTCCAAGCACCTTTCCACCCTGCGCAAATATATAGCTCCTTGACTTCATCATGGTGGCTTGAGATGCACCCAGTGTTTCGGGGGGATAGTACTTCATCGCTCTCGGTTTGTCCAAGGGGTAGGAGATGGTGGCCTCCAACTTAGTCCTTTCCAAGGCTAAGTGTGCATTCTGAAGGTCTACTTGGATTCTGCTCTGCCCGTTCACGACCTTCTCTGTTGGACTGACGACTTGGGATGTTGTGTCTTCACTCCTGCAGTGCTCCTTCCCGTCTTCTGGGCCAGAGTGCGGCCTCGAAACAGCCTGTGCGATGTTTAAAGTATTCTTACTGTGATCGGAAGAGGCGGCCGCATTTGCTCCGGTGGCCGAACGGAGACTCCCCTGGCGTTCTGGGGCCAGCTGCAACTTGGAGTCTGCCTTGCGCAACGCCAAGGCTGGGGACATTGGGGTGGGCACCTCGTCGTAGCCGGCCTCATCGCCATGGAACCGGTACATGCTGTATCCGTCCGAACTATTCACACTGCTTTGCCGGAGGAGGTAGGCGGCATCGCATTCCGAGGATGCCCGAGAGCGGGTGTGCGTGACCTCCGCTTTGTCTATCCCCGCCAATTTCTCCAGTGCATTCACCATTCGGCCAGAAAGCTCTTCCAACTGTGAAAGTCGAAGGTCAACCGTCTGAAGAGAGGCTTTCATGAAATGTTCCCTTTCGTTCACTTCTTCTAATCTCATAGCCATATTCTCAACTCTAGAAGTCAAGGGAGGAAACAATGCAGAAGTTCATTATACAACAGCTCTCAGCCTCCTGCGCACTCTAATTATCAGTCTGGAACAACAACGGAGAAGGACAATCATTGTTGTATTGATGATTAGAGCTTCCATTTTTAATCAGTTAAATTAGTAGGTTAGAGCAGTATATATATATCGATATACTGCTGTCTGACACTTATCCAACGTTAACATACAGTGTCGCTAAATTCTTTGCAGCCACGATGGGTGTCTGAAGACAGATCCGGAGGGAGTGTGGTCCTACCCAGCTGGACAAAAGTCTGGGAATGCCACTTACTCAAGATGAACTATGGTAGCAGTTTATTGTGTTGAAGTATTTACTAATCCGACTGGGGTTTTATGACAGATAGCCTTTAATGTCTTTCCTTCTTTTTAAAAATCTATTTATTTATTTATTTATTTATTTATTATTATTTTATTAAAACATGTTTATGCCGCCCCATTCGCCGAAGCCTCGGGGTGGCTTACAACAATAAATTAAAATAACATTTTAAAATATATACATTAAAATACAAATATATAATATAAAACATACAATATAAAACAAGCCTCCCTGGCCAAATAAAATTCAATAATATTAACATTTAAAATACTGCTTAAATAAAAAGGTCTTCGCCTGGCGCCGAAAAACAAATAACGACGGCGCCAGGCGGACCTCTCTGGGGATTCAATTATTTGAATTGAGCTGATTTTTGACAAGTTTTACCTATCTATCTATCTATCTATCTATCTATCTATCTATCTGGTTAGAGCAAGGCTATAAAAACCAAGAAAAGGGGAAGGGAGACCCAGTAAGAGTTAAAATAACTTAGAAAGTTCATACTAGCATTTGGGCTGGGCCACTCCACTTTCTGTTCCTGCTTCCAACAGTTGCCTGTTCTCTCTATATGTGGAATTTTAGATTATCCATGTCAAGATTGCAGCCATGGGACTGCAGCCAGCCGATGACACCCTGTCATATGTTTGGCACCACTTAAGAGTTACAGGATAATGTTCCACTTGGCAGAGGAACACCTAAACGTAAACTCCTAGTCACTACTGAACAAATTCAAGCTCTTCTCCCCTTACCTCTCCTTGGTCTAAGTATCGCAAGAAAGTACCGCTTGGGAAATCAGGGAAATCCCTGTGTTTACAAACACAGGTTCCAAAATAAGGTTTATCGAGATGAGGGAAGACGCAGAAGGCATGAGACGGAAAACCCAAAAGAAAACAGTTGGTCCTCTGAGCTAGACGTCTAAAAAAGGAATCTCAGACTTGTTTCCAAGCACTAAAGATGACCTTCCTTAGATGAGCACTTTTCATTGGGAATGGGCCCCTGCAGAATCAGGAGAAGGGGCAGATGAGGAAGTGGCTCTTCCAATCAGGAATAGCTGTGTGGGCTTGGGTATGCTTTTAGGAGCAGAGTTTCGAAACTTGGGGCATGTATATCCAACGATTGCACTGAAGTGCCGGTGGACCTTTCAACGACTCAGGTCGGGGTAAGTAAAGGCTGTGAACGGGGAGACTTTTCTGATCTATTCCACCAGAGGGAACGCTGGTGTGTTTACATGGAAGATGCTAGAAATATGACAAGTTACTGTCTTACTCAAGTTATGGAGAAGGCAGACTGCTCTTCTAGCTCCATTGCCTTCCACATAGTGACTCCATGATGCAGATTCTTGGGTCCCAAAGTAATCTGAGGATGGCCCAGTTGAAATGAGGTTCAGGCTATTATTTTAGTATTGTGTACTATGCTCTTCCAGCTAAAGGATGTAGTTCTGCCCCCATCCTTGGAAATGGAGGACACATCCCTACCAGCTCCTCCAGTTCCTAGATGTCACAGAAGCTCAAGAATACAGGTTCATGCAAGAGCCCTTGAAGAAGTGCAACTACCTCCTTCAAGACGGTTGGATCAAATGCAGAGCAGACCTTTATAGAACCTGAAGCTGGTTCAGTTGCCTGCTGAGACAACGAATTTCCATATCTCAACCTGCAACAACTACTCTGAGCATTCCCGGGTGCCGATTTTTGCTCAGAGAACTCTTTCTAGAGTTTCACTACCTGGATTTATGTGGGGTTTTTTGACCTGACCTGCCTGTAAGAAACTCAGCTAGGTAGACCCACTTCCCATGTGAGGCCCTCACTCCAGAAGAATAAAGTAGACACAATTCTCAGGTATTTCTCTATAGTACAGCTTATGGATAACTATTGTCAAAACAGAGTTTTGCTGGTTAAATGGGGAAAGGATTCTGAAAACCTCCACTCTATTCCATTTCCAGAGGAGAAAACTGAGGTTGCCATTCTTTGGACACATTGTGGGAAGGCAAGACTCACTGCAGACGGCAACCATGCCAGTGAAATTGGAAGGCGGAAGGGGAGGAGGAAGAGGAGCTATGAGATGCACCAGTTCCATAAAGAAACTGCCTTGAATTTGCAAGAGCAGAGCAGGGCTGTGAAAGACTTATGAAGGGCAGTCACTCCCAGGTATGCCACAAGCGAGAGACAACTTGAAGGCACGGACAACAGCAGCCCTCTTCAGCTTTATAAAAATCGTCAGCTCGTGTCCCTCTCATTATTCACCGTCGCAACAGCTGTGGAGAGCCATGCTGTCCATTACAACAGTAAGAAAAACACCCACACACTGTAACTGTGGAGAAAACCACACACAAAAGTCACTCATGCTTTAAGAGAACCAACCAGCGTATATGTCAAGGATGGATGGATATTACATATCCACTTCTGGAACTAGGAGCAGCCCTAAAGAGCCACTGCTGCAGTCAATTTCTTATCTCAAAATGAAAATATGTTCGAATGCCTAAAGGCAACTATTTCTGGAAAATGTTCTTTCTGCCTATGAGCAAGCCAAGTTTTCAGAGGAAAAGATCAGGATCAAAGTTCAATATGGAATACTTAAATAATTTAATTTTATCCTGCTGATCTGTAAAAACTGATATGACTTTGAGAGGGAAAACGTAACAGGGCTGCCCCCTTGCTTTATCATTAATGCCCATGTTAATTCCATTGTGTTACCAGGAAGGAGAAACTATCACAAAACTTTAACCACTGGCTGTGGCATTTGTATCCCACATGGTGAGCTTTCTTACGCTTCATTGGCTGAAGCCAGTACTGCTTTTGCACCAACTACTGGGAAAAAAATGGTTTCACCCCGTACCTTTCAGAAGTAACCCTGATCCGTTCATCGTTAGATGATTGCTCTTCATCTTCTTTTTCTCGGAAATATTCCTCCACACATTGTTCCTCGAATTCGTACAGTTTTTTCAACTCCTCCTCATTTAGAAAGAGCTCTGTAACAAATGGAGATGGATAGGTCTTTGTGTATTTTTTTTTCTCTTGCGTTGCTTACCAAAACCCATGATTCTGGGAAAAGCACTAGACTGGATGCTGGATGCTCGGATTACTCGAACCTCCTGCCCGAAGGCGAACTCATGACAAGAAGGCAAATGGGCACCTGCCAAAGCTCGCCAACTGCCCATCCCCTCTTGCCGAAGTTGCCATCTCAAAGCGCCTTATCGAGGGTTGTCTAGGGGCACACAATCCAACCTGCAGTGCTTTGTCAGGCCAACTAAGGCCCGGCTGCAGCCAGGGCAAAGTCGGGCAAGAACATTAGCAGGTGAGGAATGCAATTTCCAAATTTCGCCCTGCAGTCAAAAGCATCCTTTGCCCCAGGACTCGATAGCTTCAGGTTGGAGACAGCAGGAGAACTGGGTACCCAGGTCTGAGGGTCTGCAAGCAAGTTGGAAATACCTCAAACTTCTATTTCTCAGATAGTAATTTTTTTCATATGCCCAAATGGCACAGAGAAGAGTTATTGTGCACATTCCCCATTTTGATGACTTGCAAATTAGAAGTCATATTCCAGAAGCCACTAGACATGGCTCGGCCTCATGCTTCTCTTGAGAAGTTATTGGACTTCAACATACAGAAAGGAATATTGTCCAAAGTATATAAGATATTGACGGATATATGCCATCATGGAGCTGAGATTACTAAATAAAAGCCAGGGGAAGAATTTAACAGAACTTGAAAGTGTAGTGGAATTGTGCCTGGTAAAAGATTTGTGGAACTGTACTAGATATGAATTTAGAGACAAATTCTGTTTATATAGAGAGAGAATTTATATATAAACAGAACATATATTATGCATATATTTAAAACCAGGAACAATAAGACATTCCCAGTGGTAACAGCTATGTGCTGGAGGTGTAACAGCAGAGGAACCTTTGGCTACATATGAGAGCAATGTAATCCTGTTAAGAAATATTGTAAGAAGTTACTACTGGCTCGGAGTTGCACTTAATCCCAACAACTGTCATCTTGGGTGACCTAAAGCACAGCCCCCGAGATTTAGTGCTGATGGAGAGTTCTGCGTTAATAGCTGCAAGGTTCCCCTTGACGATCTGCATTCATGCTGCCTCTGGGACCACAGGAAAGATTCGGAGTAGCATGGTGAGGAAAAGACAGTTCTACGCAGTATGGGAGGGAAGGGTGGAGCTGGTCCAGCCCTTCCCATACGGGGGGAACCATCTAACCCAGCCTTTCCCAACCCTGAGCCTTCCAGACACGTTTGGACTGCAACGCCCAACATTCCCAGTCAATGGCCCTGCTGGGTGGGAATTCTGGGAGCCGCGGTCCAAATGCCTCTGCAGGCCACCATGTTGGAGAACACTGATCTAAACTGCTAGGGTGAGTCCTGGCCACAGGATTTCACAACTACGGGTGAGCTGCGTATGGGCTAAATTGGAGTATTGTATTGGGAATTAGTCTAATGGGGAACAGTGCTAGAAAAGAAATATATAATAGAGTTCATCCTTGGAAGTAAAAGCTAGATGATGGGGAAGGTGCAAACCCAGCCCGCTCCCTGATCTGCTGGTTTCCTGCTTTCGGGAGCTGGCCCGGGGATGGGGGCTCATCGGGACCCGCGCCCACAGAGGCCCCTTCTCCTACTCAGCCCTCGGTCTCGCTCATCTTGGTCGCCTTCTCTTCGCTTCTTGCAGTGGCAGCAGAGGCGGACGATGATGATGTACAGGTGGCTGAAGATGATCATGGGCGGGGGAAGCACCGGCCGGTCGTGGAAGGTCATGATCAGCTGGTACCGCTGGAACTTCCAGACTTGGTTGGAGATGGACTTGACTTCGAAGAAGGTGTTGCTGCAAGAGACACGCCTCGGGAGTCAAGCCTCGCCCCCACGGAGCCCGGCAGCAGCTCCAGCTAGGGGACCTGAGCGCGACGTGCGCGGCTCTTTCCCCAGGTGGCCAGCCAGGCGGGGCTGCGTAGGCGGTCCCCCCTCCCCGAGACTGGCCTGGGAAGCTGAGCTGAAGCTGCGCAGGACAGTCCCAGAAGGACGCCCCGTGGGCAGCCCTGAATATCAGCAGCTTTGCAGCGGAAAACCAGAGCAAAGGAGGGGATACAAACAGGCAGTGCTGCCGGAGGGGTATGCAAGCATCTCTGTCAACGCACGAGCGCGCACACGGTTATTTTGTCCCGTTATGCTTTCTGGCTAAAAAAAACACGGCGTGTTTTTCACAGGAGGAGTGGCCAAGCCTTTCAGCCGGGGAGGCTGCTGACCTGCCAGGGATGCAGACCCTCCACTCCACCACCATCTACATGGGAAGGATGACGCTCTGCTTCCAGGCGTGCTAAGGTGGGAGACAGGTGTTCTCGGAGTCTGGAGGGGGCGCACGGGTGCATGAGGTGGATCGGGGGCTTTGTTTTTCAGCTTTCAACAAGAACGGTGCCTGTTTGATGGGATCCGTGCAGCGTGTGCACCCCAAGCAGGGGCGGCTGCATCACACCACCTTCACCTCTCTTAGGAGCATCTAAAGAGGAAGTCTGCACATGGCCAGAAGAACTGCCCACAATGCAACTGAATGAGCTGCGGAATCAGCTGCGGGGCATGGTGGCTGTGGGGTGGGGAAAGGGCTGCCGGGCAGTTGTAGGAGCTGGTGTGTCCCCTGCTTGGGTCGGCACTGCCGAGGCTGCCCGGAGAGCGGCCGGAGAGTTGCTTGGGCGGCATGGATAGGCTAGCGGCAGCTGCAGGCAGAATCTCTGCAAAATATCGTTTCTGGTCGAGCTGGTTGTCTGAAGCACGGCCCGGGTGGAGCATTGCTAGCAGCACATCCCTGGCACTGCATGTGACATGAAGCATTCCAGCTATGAAAGGTTCTTTGTAGTATCAAAGCTCCCAGAAGCTTTGCACTGTCTCGCTTTTTAAAATGTGGATCAGCTTGACCTAAATAGCAGGATTGGCAAATCTCATTCAAGGGGTGTCTGTGTGTGTGTGTGTGTGTGTGTGTGTGTGGAGAGAGAGAGAGAGGGAGGGAGGGAGAGAGAGAGCGCGAGCTCTCCCTCTCCCCCCCCCCCCCCACACACACACTTCAAAAGCAACAACCAAATATTGTTCACACAAACCATCTGGGGAACGAATAAACAATGGATCCACGAGATGAGACTGTGTTTCTCTGAGCACCAAGGTTTTTGCTGTTAACCTGGAACACACTTGGTGCCTTTCAAGAAACTAATTTTGGACTGCAAATAACACCGGGCGTTTTATACAGCCCTTGAAGGCATTTCACGCCCACTGGGCCATTCAGATGGATCGCCAAACCATCGTTTCCCAGAGCAAGCCTCCTTTCCGCGTTGGCACACTTCCCTTTCGCCTTCCCCTTCCAGTGCAGCTGCGAGGTTGTGAAGGCAAAGCGTGGCACCGAGCGTGCGTGGGACGGTGGCGAGCCTGTACCCTCCACACTCCGACTTTGGACGTGGGCAGCAAGAGGAAAAGGTGCGACCGAGGGGCAGAGGTGAGCCTCCTTGGCTATCCCTGCCGCAGCGTTCAAAGGCGAGCGAGCCGATGAGACACGAGGTTCAACAGGAGGCAATCTAAGCAGCCCCGTCGCTACCCTCTCCTCGCTTCAGCAGGAAGAAGCCGGCCTGAACGCCACGCCGCTTCGCTCCGGGCAGGGGGGCAAACGAGGGGGAGGAGCACTCACTTGAAGACGGCGATCAGCAGGTTGACCAGCAGGATGTTGGCCACCAGCAGGTAGCAGGCCATGATGGCGGGCGTCAGCCAGGCCCCGGGGATGCACGGAGGCAGCCGCTTCCCGTCTTCGTCGTAGAGGTTGTCCCCGCAAGGAGCTAAGGGCGAGAGGGCATCGGTTTTCCAAACGGCGGCACACACCGTGCTCCGTATCCCTGTGGGCCTGGCCTGAGGCTCTTGCGACCCCAACCTCAATGCCCCATAAGCATCCTCTTCAGTGGGGCTCTGGAACACCCGCCCCCCCGGGGAGGATTCGCCCAAACGGCCTCCTCTTTGGATGGCAACCACAGCGGCCCCCAGGGGCCTGGGCTGAGTCGGGCAATGCCTGGACTGTGCCGGAGCTGGGGGAACGGGGCCGCAGCGGGAGGACCTCTGGGCTCCGGGTCGGGTCAAGCGCCTCTTGTGTACGGAGCGTTGCATCAGCTGGGCAAGACTGGCTTCCCAGCTCATCAGCAAACGGCCGAGGCGCACCTCTTTTATTATAGGTCTTAGAATATTATATTATATTATATTATATTATATTATATTATATTATATTATATTTTTATTTAACACTTTTTTAGACCATTCCTTACCGTAGTCTTGGGATGGTTCAACAATAAGACAAAATAAAATAAAACACAGCATCCTAATCAAATTCTTAATCAGTCAACAATAAAACCCATATTAAAAACAGTCAGACCTTAAAACATTGGGAAAATAAAAAGGATTTGGCCTGGCACTGAAAAGAATGAAGTGACAGCACCAGGCGAACCTCTCTGGGGAGCGTATTTCGTAACTGGGGTGCCACCACAGAGAAGGCCCTTCTCCGGGTAGTCACCCTTCCAATCTCCTTCAAGGAGGGCTCCCAGAGGAGGGACTCTGCCGCAGATCTTAAGGGGTGGGCAGCCACATATGGAAGGAGATGCTCCTTTATCTTAGAGCCAGAAAAGCCAGAAGGCAGGCAGCTAACTGGATTTCAAAGCCACTCTGGCTCAGAGTCATGGGAGCTGCAGGCCCACGCATCTGGAGAGCCCAGGCTGGGGAAGTCTGCTTTAAGAGTGAGCAAAGTTTACATATGAGCCCAAACCTCCTGGTTGTGGAAGGGTGAGACAGACAATGGATCATGAGATAAACCTGTCTCTTGTCTACGTAACTTCAGGCATGGGTGGGAAACTGCACGTTTGAAGGCTCCCCTACCAGTACACCAAAAATCTTCCAGTGCACCCCACACATGGAAAACTAGCCTGTCATTCTACAGGCTGCCTTTGCCCTGCCATCTAGCTTTCTATGTGCAAGGAGATCGTCTTCATAACACGTGCAAGATCTTCAGCTTGGCTCCATGTGGATTATAATGATTGTCCAGCAAATGGGTGCTCAACACCTGGGGAACATGGAGGTGCTTCAGGGCAGATCGTTTGCTCCTGGGGTGGATATCCAGGGAGTGGGCCTTGCGGTCAGGATGAGCTGCGGGGTACCTTGGTCCTGGGTGATGCAGCCCCATTCAAGGCTCCTCCTTCCAGTGGGGGACTCAGGAGGAGGCAGCTGCAGGTGGGGGGCATTCAGACCTGACGCTGTGGTCTAAAGGACAATCCAGGCACAGAATCACCACCTGATCTACCATTTGTCTTGGGCTTATCACGAGCCTTCGGTCTGCCCACTCAGTGTTCTGGGCTGTGGATTTCAGGGGCAGAGAAGGGCGAAAGCAGCCATTCTCAAAGCGTGTGGGTTTTGGCATGTGCTGTGCTTTATGGAAGAGATAAACCTCACTCTTCCGTGTAGGGACCCACAAAAACCTGGAATTAATTTATCAGCTTCCCACAAAGACTTACGATTAATTTCCATGGCATAGACTACGCGGCGTTCCGAAAGCAAAGAACAAAACAAAACACAAATAATAAAAAGCGGGAAAAGGAGGGGAGGGGAAAGAACAAAAGAATCATCAGAAAGGAAAGTGCGCAACTGACAGTATCATAGCTCTTTGGCTGCCAGAGAAAGATAAGACCTTTAAATATTATAACAGGCAAGACATACGAGCCGAAACAATGGCTCTGTCAGGATTCCAGAATGCCCTGCAATTCCGTTTCCTCTTTGTCTTTCCAAAACCATTATGTATGGCGGCACGTTTGTGGCAATCAAAAGAGAATTACGAAGGCAGCCGGCAGATGATCATGTAAAATATTCAGAGTATTTTGATTATGTAAGGATGACATGGGCCGATTCTCACCACGAGCACAAAACACCACAAAAAGAATCACACAAGGTGAACGGGGCAGCCATCCTGGGAATGCTCACTGCTGGTGGGAAACACAGTCCTGGGAATGCCTCTTGGCCAAGAATTCCCAGATAAAAATCTCGGGCTTCGGCCAGCACCCTGTGGTGTGCAGCGCATGAGCAGGACCACAGGAGTGGCGGCAGCCCGTAAAGATTTGAGCCAGTCCAGCCCTGTCCTGTAAAACAATGCATGCTAGCGCTCTTATTTTTAACTGCAAGTTTCAGAAAGTTGAATTATGCATCCAGTAGAAAAGGGGAATGCTCTCTTGCATCTCCATGATGTTGTTTAAAGAAACCTGCAGTACGCAGACCCATTCAGTCATGCCAACGTTTCTTTCACACACAATGCAAGCGATTTTTGAACCACCCTTCTAGAAAAACAAGCACAGGTACTCCCAAGGAAGAAATGCTTTTGTGGCTTGCTTAGGAATCGTTTTATTGTGCGACAAAAGGCAGTTTTCATAGGACAGCTGGTGTTTTGCCCTCGAAAAGCGGGCTTTGCTTTCCTGAAAGCTGCCTGTTTGCAACCAGTTCTTCCCCCTGCTTGGAACCAAAAAGTCGTGGTGAAGCCACGCTCTGGGTGATGGTGGAAAGGTTTGTTTCCCCGCAATGCCTCTTGTGAAGTCTTACAGAAGTTTATAGAAGGAGCTCACGTGCTCTGTCTGAAGTCAGGCCTTTTTGTAGAGAGACTGTGGCCAATATTTATATTTTCTTCAGGAAGGGGATGCAAGGAACAGGTTTTGAGGTATACAAAGGGAAAAATCTTTCTTTTTAACTTGCAAGACCAAGGAAACCATTCAAAGAGGATGTCTCTTTTGAGGAAGATAATCACAAAGGTGAAAATGCAGGGGAAGCACACAGAGCGATGCCTATTCCAAATCAAAATAGGCATGTTGCTTCATTTGGGGTTGATCATCTGCCTCAGAAACAGGAAACAGAATCTTACTATGAAGTCTGCTCTTACGGTCTATCTGGTCTGCAAAGACCTCTCCGTAGATCATCCAGTAGGGCACGTAGAAGATGTTCCGGGCCAGCCGCCAGGACGGCTCCTCGTCGGGATGCAGGATGGCCTGGCGCGCAACTCCAAAGCTCATCAGCACCACCAGCATAATCACCACAAAGTACAGCATATCAATCATCTGCAGAGGGGGAGAGTCCCGAGCAAGCACTCAGGCCAATCTCGCGGATGTGTCGGGGTGCAGGGCTGAACGAGCAGAGGCGGCCCACGCAAGCCGCATCCGTGGGACCGGGGAGCTCCCGGAGTGATCCAGGGAGGTGCGGACCCACAGAACGCCTGGAGACCTCCACCGCGCGGCAGCGCTGTGATAGAGGGCCCTTCCCCCTTCCAGACAGGTGCTTCGCATGCGGATTTCTACATTTTTTGTCCCTGTGGGCCTGAGCCCAAGATATTTTGGACCACTGCATGTGACCCCAGGCTATATTTCTCCTCTGCATCTCTCCGATAGCTGCTTTGTATTTTATGGCTTTTATATTTGGTTGTAAACTGCCCAGAGCGCTTCAGCTACAGGGGGTATGTATGCATGTATGTATGTTTGTATGTATGTATGTATTTAAAGCTTTTCTAACCCATCCACCACTAGCATCTCGGGATGGCTCACAATGAAAACAAATAAAATAAACAAAGCAATACAGCATCCAACTAAGATAATAAAACCCCAGTTAAAATCATCTACACATTAAAATGATGGGAAAATAAAAAGGTATAGAAATGAAAACATCATCAACAACAATATAAAATTATATTATTATTATCAATACTGTTTTGTTGTTGATTTCATTTCTATACCTTTTTATTTCCCTTTTATTTCCCTTTTCCCCTTTCCCTTTTTATTTTCCATCATCATCAACAGTATTAATTATAATTTAATTTTATACTATCATTGTGGTTGTTGATGAGGAGGATAAGAATAAGAGTAACATTTAACACTGGTCTTCTCCCTCACTTCGAGCTTGCAGTGACTTACCATCTTCCCAATCATCATGACGTAGGGTCCCAAGTATTTGTTCACCCCGAAGATGTCCAGCACTCGGATGTACCAGAAAATAATATCCACACAGTAGATCACTCTTCCGTAGCCCATGTAAGGCTGGTTTTGCAATCGGAGAACGGCCCCGATCATGAAGACAGAGATGGCGACCAAGTCGGTGATGTTCCAATATTCCTGCAGCCACACTTTAATCTTCTGGCTGAGTTTGCCTGGCTCAGACATCAAAATCTGGAAACACGGCAACGGGGCGGGGGCGTGGAGGTGGGGAGACAGAGGAGGTCGGCGTGGTCCGGTTTCGATGCCACGTAAGGAAAGAGGCTGGTGAAGTTTCAGACTGACCCAAAGGGGACCTTTTGCCTGAGGACCGGGCTCAGGGCGAGATGAACCCCGAGGAGTGGAGGAGGTGGAGGTGGCAGGCGCCTGCAAGGTCCGCAGGGTGGGAGCCCCGGCCCCGGCCTGCCATTTGAGACCAACTCCTGACCTGCTGCATCACACCTCTGGCTTGTCTGCTGTTTTCCTTTCCTTTCCTACCGTACCTTACCAACTGCACGAGCATTTCCTGTCTTCCTTGCAGGACTAAGTGGCCATCCCTGGAGGCGAGCCTCGGAGGACTCAGTGGGTCCTCTTGAGTACCTGGAGTACTTGCTTTCGAGTTAGTTCGTTAGTTAGAATGTTTGTATGCCGTCCCATCGCATGAGCCTCGGGACGGCTTACATACAATAAATAAACATAATACAAGTAGTGCAATTAAAATCCAGATTCACCCTGGCTGCAAATTAAAACCTTTAGATGATATTAAAAATTGTTCAAATATTGTTGAAATAGAAAGGTCTTAGCCTGGTGCCGAAAAACAAATAACGACGGCGCCAGGCGGACCTCTCTGGGGAGCGCATTCCATAGATGGGGCGCCACCGCAGAGAAGGCCCTGCTCCAGGTGCTCTGCCTCCTAACGTCTTCCATGGAGGGTTCCCGGAGATGGGTCTCTGCTGCCGATCTCAGGGGGTGGGAGGGCAAATATGGAAGAAGGCGTTCCTTTTGGCAAGAGTAAGAGAGTACAAGACAGCACTGCGCATCACAGGGGTGAGCCAGAAACCCGATGTCCCCTCTCCTTTTGCCTCAAGGCCCGCCTTTGACTCCACATCCCCCAGCAAAGAAGCGGATGGTGGGAACACACAGGAAAAGGAACATCTGCATCCCTCAGTGCTCTCCTCGCTTTTCCTGGCATGGGTTCAGAACGACACTGTTCCCAAGAACAGCGGCTGTCGCTTAGGTATTTATTTATCAGACTTATATCCTGCTTTTTTCTTTTTAAAGAACTCAGAGCAGCTTGCGTCACTCTCCTCTCCCGGCTCTCAGTCTTCGCCTTGCAACAACACCCCTGTGAGGTAGGCTGGGCTGAGAGTCTGTGACCTGCCCAAAGGTGCCCAGTGGGCTCCAAGGCTGAGCGGGGACTCGAACCCGGAGTCCCAGTCCCACCCACTGCCCCCCTCTGGCTCTCACTTACCTCTCTTACTTTCTCCAAAGCCAGGGTGACTATGTACGAGATGACAACCCATTCCTGGATGGAGGGCCAGCGCTTCATCCGCACCAGGATGATATAATTAAAGAGCATTAAGTAGCCCAGGTAGGAAATCTGGAAACAGAGAGAAGAGACTTGGACCACCGTTTCGGTGCTTGTGGGAGGGACCTCGCAAGTCATCCAGTTCATGTCCTGCATCCCTGGCAGACCCAGCCTTAAATAACGCCTGTGAAGGGAAGGCCTCCAGCTTCTTCCATCAGCTTTTATCGCGGGGAAGCTGCTCCCCAAATTTAGCCACAATCTGCTCCCCAGCCATCTCCACCTTCTATTCCTGGCCTGGGGAGGAACAGAGAGCAAGCCATCTTCTACACGATCTTCAAAGACCGTCATGCCATCTCTGCTTCATCATCTTGACATGCACATGGTAGGCATGTCATGAGTGGAGCTGGGGGTCAGACTAGACGGCCCAGGAGGCCCCTTCTGACTCACTCCGTTTCTGTGTTTCTAACTCTTCTCCAAGCTGATTCTGCCCCAGGTGGGTTGCATGTAGTTTTACTGTGCTCCCAACACTTACATTCCCAGAGTTAAAAACTGGATAAAAAGAAGTGAGGTGGTGCACCCCCCAACAGGATGAATTTTATTTATTTGTTTATTTAAAGGAGGACTATCCCTCTGGGCCTCTGGGCCTCAGATCTACAACTGCTTTGCTACCCAAACAGCCACCAGGCTGGATGAGCCAACCAAATGCAGCCGCTGTTGTCTGCAAATTTATTCCCAGGACGATGCAAAAGCGTTTGGGGGAAGTCTTTGAAGCCACGGGTCACCCCCTGACCACACATGCATGCGCCGGGTCTGTGATGAACGGATATATCTGGGAATGGCATAGCCGCAGTAGGCGACCAGAGCCCATGATGTGGACCTCAGCAGGCACGATGCAGAAGCGGGGAAAGCTTTTCTGGGAGAGAGAAGCTGAAGGTCCAGGGATCTGTGCCGGGCCAACGGAGGAACGCCTGCATCTCGCCTCTCCCTCACATGCAGCCGGTTCTGAGAGGGGAGGACTCAAATGGCAGTCGGTCCCAGCTGAGCTCCTTGCTAGCCCTTCTCTCTCCCCCCAACCCCAAATCTCGCTTTCCGGAAGGGTTGGGTGCTGCAGGAACTGTGGAGGGCTTCCAAGGGAGGTCCTGACAGCTTGTTGCACTGGGAAGAGGTACTGGACATGCAGCCCTCACAAAAGAATGGACGCCATTTCCCCCTTACTGTGTAAAACCAGAACTTCACGATGGGCGCATTATAGAACTCGTAGATCTTTGTTCCAATGGGAAGGCTGCGCTGCTTTTTGTTCCCGTCCTCCTCATCGCCCTTTCGGGAACTGGTGTCGGCATTTGCATCCTGAAAGGCAAAGAAGCCACCAGGCAGCTTAATATCACAGACGAGGGGCTCTTGAGGGCTTCCATTCATGCAGAGCTCGGGAGGAAAAAAATGGAGGCGGCGGGGGGGGGGAATGGCTGAAAGGAGATAAGTGCTCCCCGTCCTGTCCTGTCCTGTCCCGTCCCTTCTAACAACTATCAGGCATACCAAAACTCTCATTGCTTACAGCACATTTTGTTTGTCCTCCTATTATCTCTAGTCAAACAGGTTGTATAGGTTTCTGCAGCACTTCAAAAACCTGCAAAACCTGTTTGACCAGAAATAACAATGGGGCAAAAGAAGTGAATGGGCAGCTGTACAGAAAGGGGACTGTGCAAAGACTTCATCTTTGAGAAAGTAAGTGTCTCCCCTTCTCCGGCAACCTCCTGGGCATACACATGTGTGGGCCAGTCGTGGTAGGGTGACAATGGACGGGAATGGACATGGGGCACCAAGTTTGGGAGGGGAAGTGGGAATCCCAATGAGGAAACCTTCAGCACCATGCTGGGGTGGCAGGGAAGAGAGCGCGGAACTGGGAAAACGTGGAGCTGCATTGTCAGGTACAAAGGCAGTTCTCGGAAAAGACAACACTGACCGCATTTTCTTCCTCTTTTTCTTTGCCGACTTCATTTTCCTTGGATGTTTGATAGGAATAGTCATCCTGGGTGCGGAACTCCAGGAACAGGATGGTGGGAGGAAACAGGATCCCCATGATAACCTGTGCAAGAAGAGGAGGGTCGGCTCAGTGCCCAGCAAATGTACTTTCGAAAGACCAAACTGGCAGAAATGGTAACTCAGGGCCGAAGAACACGAGACGGTGGTGATCTGTGCAGTCGTTCTTGTCTGCTACTAGAAAAGGCGCTAGACTGGACCTCCCCAGGGAATGAATTCTACAAAGAAGTGCCCACCACCAAAAAGGCCCTGCTCTTCCCAGCCACCAACGTAGCTTCAGGTGGATGCAAAACACAAGGAAGAGTCTCCCAAAGCATGTTGGAGGAGATAAATGCTATGCTTTGCCCATGCAGGAGCCAAGGTGAAGCCCAAAGCGAAGCCCGCTATGGGATTAAAATGCATGTTGCTTGGCCCTGCAGCAAGCAAGCAAGCAAGCAAGCAAGCGAGCATGCCTGCCCTGCGGGAACCGGTGGTTACCTTAAGGCCCGGGTTCTTCCGCATGCGCAACCTCCCCATCCACATGTCAGTCAGCAGCATCTGGCTGCACGTGTGCGCAATGAAATCCCGGTGTTTAGCAGCCACGGCGAGTTTCAAACAGGTGGAGTTACTCCAGTTTTTCAGTTCGTACGTCAAGAGCTTCATGGCCACCTGCTCATCGTGCTTGTAGGACTGATCCAGGAGTTCCACAGCCAGTTGGCCAAAATCTCTGGGCAAAGAAAGAAGCAAGAAATAATACTTATTTATGTATGTACTGATGTATTTGGCTCTTTTTATTTTTTATATGCCGTCCAATACTAAAGTCTCTGGACAGCTTACAAAACAAAAACAAAAAACCCAAAGCAACCATATATAACAAACAACACACTGCATCTGATAAATAATGATAAAATTGGAAAAAAACCAATTGACTGTTAAAATATTGGGAAAATAAAAAGGTCTTTGCCTGACGCTGAAAAGAATAAAGCGACGGTGCCAGGCAAACCAAAGTCCATGTTCCACAGTCAGGGTGCCGTTGCTGAAAAGGCCCTTCTCTGGGTACCCCCATTAATTTCCTTCAAAGAGGGCTCCCGGAGAAGTCCCTCTGCCTCAGATCTCCAGGGACAGGTGGGCACATACAGGAATCAGCTAACAGACAGTACAGTTTAAGGGCAAGCTGGAAAGACAAAACCCAGTGTGTTTATTTATTGATTGAAAACATTTTTATGCCGCCCCCATCGCAACAGAGCCTCGGGGCGGCTCACAGTTTACAGAATAACCCAAGCAGTAACCCACATTTGCATGGTGGTTTTGCTTTTCTTTTCCAATTTGCTTTGTAGAAAAGCAAATTGGAGCGATTGCTTCCAGTCCAGGTGGACTCGCATTCGCAGATTTATCGCATTGCTGAACTGCTCCATCTGCAGAAGGTGATTTATGGACAACAGAAGGATTTGGCTATTTAATTTGAAACAAGACAGATAAGCTTTATCCACTGTATGTTCGCTCTGATATTATTGCTTTGGGGGTGGGGAGATTTTCTTGCATTTTATGCTTGGTTTTAATTGGAGTCTGCTGCCTTCAATGGTGCGTAAACATGAAGCAGGCAAGGGTTTTCCCCCCAATACTAAAAAGAAAAGACAAATCGTGTTTATATACTGCCCTTCAGTTTGCAAACCTCCTGAGGTGGCTAACAAGGAACAAATAAAAACATTAAAGTAAGAGATGCATAAAAACAAGAACAGTAAAGAACAGAACAGAATAAAAGAAGGAACCACTTCAAAGCAGGAAAATCCATAAACATTGTTGATTGAGATCAGCTTAGGAGACCTGCTGAACTATCAGAGCAGATGCAAAGTCTTCTTTGGATGCAGAAAAAAGCTCCGCACCTGCAGACGCTTCTCTGGGGAGTCATCCCACAACTGAAAGGGATTGTTGTATGTTTCAAAACAGGGCCCTCCGGATGAGCACAGAATTTCCACAGGTGCACATTTAAAGCTAGAAATACGCATATCAGAGTGTAAAACTGATGCTGCAAAGTTGTAATGTCCCCGAGGAAGCTCAGGGTTCACATGGTTCACACCTGTCCCTGCATCCGGTACAGATCCGGTTCAAGCAGTCAGGAGAAGACGGTTCAATCCCACCCACGCCTGTTCGGTTGTCTCTGCCCGCTCTACCTCTCCCTCCTGGCTCTGTTTCTTCTCCCCCCTTCCCTCGCTACTCCTCTCCATTCCTGCTCCCCAGCTCCTGCACCTCTCTCTTCCCATCCCCAGCTTTGTTCTATTTCCAGCCCCATCACGTCACACTTTCTCCCCACTCCTGGCCTTTCGCCCTCCTCCGTCTCTTCCTCTGCTCCTCCGCTGTGCTAGTGCCGCTCGCGCCCGGCCTCCAACCTTGCCGCTCGCCTCCTCCTTGGAGTAGCCTGATGCTCGGCATCTCTTCTGCGACCAGCCGCATCCTCCACAGGAGCTGATTTGGAGGGCGGGGGGATCCGCAGTGGCTTCTCAAATTCCCAAACGGACCCAAAGAGGTCCAGGACCCCTGCTCTCCCATGTCTAACATCCCTGGGAGAGAGACAGCATCGCTCATGCCATGCAAGAAGCAGAGATGCCTGAGACGGAAACCGCGAGGGCGCCGCCAAACCCCTGCCGTGGTAAACATCTCTTCAGTCAGGCACATCCTGTCATGTTTCTGGTTTCCTACCGGGCTTCTGCTCTGCCAACCTCTCACAACAGACCCCAGCAAACTCCACTTAGGACGGCCACTTTCCATTAGAGGACCGCGGAGGCAGCTTGGCCACCTGGCTCCCCCAGATAACTGAGTGGGCCACGGCCGACTCACTTGGAGTTGTTGTCCAGGTCCTGGGAGATGTCGTCCACCAGCTCACTCTCCGAGGACTCATGGGCCATGGCTTTGTAGAGCTTGCAGGCCACCAGGGCCTTGGCCATGGTTTCTTCTCCACGCTGCCAGAGGAAGAGCGCCATCTTTTGCCGCTTCATCAGCACGGCCCACACCATGAGCTCGTGGAACGGGTACTGGAAGCGGCTGACCTCTGGATCATCCACATCGATGTCGATCTCCTCCTCCTTCTTCTTCTTTTTCTTCTTCCCTTTGCTTGGGGGCTCATCGTCCTAGGGGAGCGCAGTGGTGTTAGCGTCATGTCGGGGCTACGCTTTGCAACCCCACGGTTGCCGCCAAAGCACGCCCGGGGCAGGGAGCCGTGGGGAAATGCTTAAGGCAAAGGCTGCGTGCTGTCGCCTAGCCGTGGGGTCCCAGAGCGAGCCGGGAAGGACCAGCATGCAAAATTAGTACGTGCGTTAATTCCTAGCACAGGGGAGACCTCTCCCGGGGACTGCAGTGCTTCCGTGCAAAGCCCCCCTGCCAATTCGCAAGACTTGCTCTCTTGTGCATGAGGCCACATGCTGTTGCAGCTGTGCAGATGGGAGAGGCGCTAAGCCAGCGATGCTGGGTGGGTGGGTCAGTCCTGCTCGATTCAGATGACGCCTGGGGGAGTCCTGCTGACCTCACTGAAAGCTGGAACCCACCTGAACTCCAGTCTGGAATATAACATCTTCGGAATATCAGTTATCTAAATGATCCCAGAATTCCCAAAAGGTGGCTGGGATCCCCTGTGATGCCCTGAAGACGTGGCTACAGGGCTCCCACAGGGGGAGGCAATACATTTCGTCTGCTCCTTTGAGCTGCTCCTCTCTGTGCAGTCCCCCGGCCGCTCTTGCCCTTGTCCAGGGATAATTCTGCTGACCCAACTGCACCTGAATCACCCAAGCATGCTCTGTGCAGAGATGCCACACAACGGTTTGCCTTCAGAGGGGGCTGCCCATGGGGCCTCTGCATGAGTTCGTGATCTGCCCTTCCAGGCTGGGCCGTAGCCCAACTTTGGGAGTGATCAGCTGTTGCAGGCCCAATAAATCCAGAGAGATGCAGCGGAGCGACCTGCCTTATTGCGAGGGCTGTTTACTGCACGTCTGAAAGAACCGGGGATTTGGCCTGGCCCCCTCTTTGCATCCGAACTCTACTAGGGCCAAGACATTCTTAGCAAGCCACGACTCAGTCTATATGTCATCCCTGGCTTGATTCAAACAATGGCTCCCATTCTGGGGCGTTCTAACAAACTTGAAAATTAAACTGTTTCTGGTGTGAAAATGTGTCTCCTCTTTTAATTCAGAGCAAAAGTATATCTCAGCAATGGGAAGCGAAGGGCACCTCTTGGAAAGCACCCAGAACATGCACACCAGAATTAGTCTTTTCAGAGGCCATGCAGAGAATGAGCAGAGTCACATGCAGGAGGAAAGGGGATCAGGAGATGAGATGGCACGTTCACCTGGGAATACAAAACCGCTCCTCTTTCTTATGCAGGGCACCACAAGGGGATTCCCACCCCATTTTCTAAAGGGACAAAAAAGATGAGGGGAGGTCTTATTACAGGAGCCAACGTGGAAGAAAGTCTCTGGAGGAAGCTAGGAAGAGGGGAGCAAGAGTCTTTGGGATAAGCACTAATTAAGGACTTGAAGGGGGAATTCCAGCTTCAAATCCGTTTCCAGACCGCCAAGAAAGGGGAGACTTTCCAGGTGTGCTGGTCATCAAGCGGCAATGATGAAGACAGCTGAACACCACTGAACCCTCCAACGGAATCCTGCCTGACCACATCCTCCGGCGCTGGGCAGCCAGCTTAGGCGCCGTTCCCTGCCCCTCTTGGAGCAGGCGGCGGGCATGGCCAAAGCCCCTCGTGGGAGGACAGGCCTGGCCACGAGCCGAGTGCAGGGCCAGCTACAAGAGCTCGGAGCCTTCCGGGGGCCGCGCGGCCTGCCTGCATTGCCCGCTTGCAGAGGAATGGGAAGGGCCCAGGGAAACGGCCCATTCGTACCTTGGCTAAGTACATGTATTTGCCCCCATTGCCAAGGATGGGCATGGCGAGGGCCCATTCCCCAGCAGCCGCTCGCTGGTAACAGCCTTCCGGTCCCCACAGCAGCCATCTGAGCCGCCTGCTGGTTCAGGCAACAGGAGGGGGCGCCCCCTGCTTGTTCGCCGTCTCTTTGCCGGCGGCTGCGGTGGGAAAGTGGGGAGCGCCACTGATGGTGTGGAAGTGGCGTGTCTGCGGGAGGAAGCACGCAGAGGGAGCCTTCCGCCTGGGCGGCAGCTGGCACTGGGCCTGTGCTGCAGCGCCTCTCTGGATGTGGACCAGCAGCGGCCCTTTTCGGCTCTTCCTATCCACCCCCCCGCCAGTGACTTGGTACAGCGGACCACCATTGTCAGGAAAGACAAAGAGACTTCAAAGACAACTCCGCGCTGCCGAGGCTGCCTTTGCACGGCACAAAGCCACTTATCTGTCTTCAGAGCAACACGCCCTGCTTGGTATTTACGTGGCATAACTGATCCTAACTGTGATACAACCATTTGTACTTGAGCCGACTTCAAGCCGTGGATGGAACGTTTCTTGTCCTTTATCCCAATTGCTCCAAAGACACCTACAAGCTTGAATTCGTTCGACATTCCCAGATGCCGGAAGTGTTGAGAGGGCCATAACAGAGTCAGGACACGTGATTCCCTCCATCCAGCGGTCAGCGCCACACGCGGTGGGAGCACGGCACGGCTTTTGCGATGTGCACACCCACCAAGGGCCCGGCAAGTTGCGGGGAGGGGGAAAAAGAACGGATACATGGCTAATTTTCCGATTCACCTTCTGTGCATGCAAACTGACGCAACTCAAGTCAATTCAAGTTGCGACAAGCCAGATTCAGGCTGGACATCAGGAAAAGCTTCTTCTCTGCCAGAGCAATACAGCAGTGGGACCAGCTGCCTGGAGAGGTGGGGGGCTCTCCCACACTGGGGACATTCAGGAAGAAACTGGGCAGCCTCTGAGTGGGGTGGTGTGACTTGGTCTGGTCCCTTCTGGCCCCTTCCAACTCTCCTCTTCCATGATTCTATGTTTCTAAGACTCATCTGGCGATGAGGAGGAGATCCTTTCCCCTGTGTCAGCAGGCCCTGAAGAAGCGGGCAAAACAGCCGTGAACCTGGCTTTGCACGACGGCTCCCTTCTGCACTCATGAGCCTGCAGTCACGTATAACAGTGATTACCGCGCGGTACGATGCATCGTTGGGGGCGGGAACGCGTTCCCCCACTTGTTGTGAAGAGCGCAGCTGAGCTCGGAGGGGACGGGGGAGCTGTGGGGTGCAAAAGAGGGCGCTGGCGCTGCTCTTCCAAGCCCCGGCTCCAATACGCCACTAAGACTTGCTGCGGTGTTTTCGTGTGCCCCCTTGTGGCCAGCTATCCTGGAATATTTATTTAAGGCTTTTATAGACTGCCCCATTCCTTGCATCTTGGGACGGTTTACAGCAAGCACAGATAAAAATGGCCCAGAATGAAATCACAATTCAAACCAATTAAACATTAACATAACGGGAGAACGGAAAGGTTTTTGCCTGGCGCTGAAAAGAAAAAAGCGTTGGCGCCAGGCGAACCTCTCTGGGGAGCGTATTCCACGAAACGCGCATTAACGGTTGCCTCTTTCCTGCCTTCTTCAGGCACCTTGCAGGAGGCTGAGGCAGCATTCCTGCCCTCGTGCCCTGTCCCAGGGAGAGCAGACTGGGGAACTCTGCGAGGCAGTTCTCCTGCCCAAGCCTCGTAGCACCGCCCCTGCCAAGGATGAGCTAATCCTGAAACACGGGCGATAGAGATGGCAAGAGATCAATAACATCGAAGGACTTGCAGAGGCAGGCTTCCTGATAAATACATCCGCCCCATTCCATTAAGGCGGCTGAACAGGTAGGGAGGGAGATCTGGATTTTCCACCCAAACTGTCCCTGGGCGGTGTTGTTTGGGCCTTGGCCCGCTCTGGGTCCGGACTCCTACCATCATCCTGGGGGCCTGAGGATTTCAAAGAATGCGGCAAGGGGGGAAGCCGGCAGGGCTTTTCCACCACTCCACTGAAGATCGCCAGGCATATTCCTCTCCCTTCCCCATCCCCTTTTCCCTGCGACATGGAAGCCTGCAGGCAGGGGTGGTCTTGTTTTACTGCCGCTCCAGGAGACTTTCTGGCTGAGGAGTGCCATAAAAAAGTTCCAGCTTGTAAACCACCCAGGGAGCTTTGGCTGTGGGTGGTACAGAAATGGAAAAAAGCACCCCTCCCACCCACCCAAAGTTCTGCTACGCACAGATTCTGCAACACTCGAAGTGTTGATTGTTCATGATCTAATGAACGCATTCTGGGTTATTTCTGTTGCCAGGACTGATGCCAGAATTTCCTGACTATTGGGGTACACAGCAGATCTGCAGGACAAACCGAGCTCAAGATGAGCAAACCCCTTAATTCTGCTGGGGTCACTTCTATCTATGCAGGTTTGATCCAAGCAGAAATAGCGCTTTCAGATTTCAAGAGGAGGGTTCAGGGACAGCTGATAAAGAAAGCCAACTAAAGGTGCTCTGTCTTACGGGAACATGTTGGAGTTCGTTTCTCCCGCTTGCCCTTGGTCCCTTTTAAGACAGGTACCAGCATGGGAACAGCTAGGTCAGTTACATGCCTCTTAAAACTAAGAGGTGGAAAATGTGGAAGGGGGACAGGTCTTTACTTAACAACAGACAAAATAAAAAGCCAACTTACCTCCATCCCTAGAAGCTTAAGAGCTTTAGGCTGCATGTTTCGAATAAGAACAACAAACAAACAATTTGTGAAAAACAGTCTTGTTTTGTGTATCTTAATTAAACCTTCACATGTAGACATAAACTGAGTGCAGGGGGCAATCCTACTCCTTGAGAGAGTCCGCCCCACAGTTTGGGGGCAACAGAGGAGAAAGGACTTCCATGCGGGCATGTGGTTATCCCAAAAGGCGCATTCCTATGCTTTGCAGCAAGTCAGTCAGTCCCTTGAATAGCCAGGCCCTAAGCCATTTAGGGCTTAGATCCACACCCTGAACCAAGCCTAGAAAGCAACTGACGGCCCCTGCGGTCTTTCAGGGCAGGTGTCATGTGGTCCCAATCCCTTGCACCGGTTGGCAGCTAAACTGCTGCGTTCTGCTCCAACGGAAGTTTCGAGACATCCCTTTGGGGGAACCCCAATCCGAACCCTTTGTGACCATCTAATCTTGGCCTAGTCCTAAATCAGCACGTTCCATCCCGTTTCATTTTCTTCTTGGAATTGCATGATTGTTATTGATGTTCCTTTAGGGAAAAAAGCAAGCCATTGAACGTATGCTTCGCTCCAATAAACTGGATTTAGGTTCCTGGGAAAACGATCAAGGTGGAATTAGGCCAAATTCAACATTACTTGTGCACACAGAGTTCCAATAAATGGGGGCAGGGGTAGGAACAGAGAAAATCCTTGTGAAGGAGGATAGACCCCTTTGAGGCTTACCCTTTTTGGTCCAAATAAATTGTTGTACAGCGTGCGGAAGCTTTTCCGAGTGTAATTGCACCGATAGGCCCCTCCCATGAGGTATTCCAGCACCAGGCCGATGTCAATGAGGCTTATGTGGTAATCTGGCGGCAGGTTTCCCTAGAATACCATGCCCAGTTGTTGTTTCGAAGGAAAACAGAATCAAGGACGACATACATTATTGTATTTATTCATCTGCAAAATCTAACACATGCATATTAGAGATCAAGATTGCTCAGCACCCTCAGCTAGAATTCAACCAACAGGGCTCACTTCAGAGTAGACCAGCCGAAGCCTTCAGCAGCTGTCCCCTCGAATCAGAGGGCCATACTTCTAGATAAAGATGCTTGAAATTGGGCTGCTATTTCAGGGCGTTTTTATCCTTTGTAGGGATGCCTTGTAGCCATCACTAAATGGCCCCTCTCCTCCACCTGAACAGCCATGGAGGCAAAGAGCTTCTCCCAGGAGGCATCCTTAATTTATACGTTGCCATGGCGAATGGCTGCCAGCCTGACGAGTCTGGAAGGAGCCACGCCATTTGTTCCTATCCCTGAACAACGTTTAGGTGAATAACCTTGAGACGGGGAGGGTTTGCCTCAAAAAACCTAACAGAGTCTTTGCTCATGGCAAGGTATTTTCATTCCCATTGGCAGGGCTGATTTACCGAAGAGCAGATCTGAGAGGTGTTTTCTCCCTGGAGCAGCCCAATGATTCTTTCTCGTCCCCAGAAAACAATGTCTTTGGAAGCATTAGAAATGGCTGCATTTTGAATGGGTCTCACATCCCGAAAAGCAAAACTGATCAGCTTTGGTCTGTCTGGAGCATTTCAAGAATGCATTTTTCTTTTAAGAGGCTTCCAAGCCCTTTGTGAAATGCTCCGAGAGGAGCCTTCCCCCCACTCCCCCTGTGGACTAATGGATTTGCTCCAAATTTCTAGATAAGAAAGAAGGAAATAGACAAATCAGGCTGTAAGTCATTAAGGTAAAATCCACAGAGAAACACCCTTGCACAAGTCCAGCTGAAATGAACAGCGAGTGTGCAAGAGCGTGCCCTTCTTGGAGGTGTGCTGAGCACTTGGTCAGCTGGGTGTGATGTGAGAGGGTCCCCAGGCAGGAGATCTGGCTTGACAGCTTGAGGGATCACAATGACCATTCCATTATTTAATGGGCACCAAGATCTAACCATTCAAAGCTTTGTCCGTGGGGCTTGGATAAGCTTTATTTGGCTTGTCAAAATGGTCAACCCCGTCGTGAATTTCTACCAGAACGCTGTGTCAGTTTACACAGCCATTTATGGACGAGTGTTCAAAAGCCTCTGGGTGGGCTCCTCTGTCAGCTGCTACAGGAAATGCAGAGTGTTTCCTTCCAGCCTTCTTAGCACCTCAATGTTTTGTTTATCCATTCACCCTGCAGCAATGCCTGCTTTCTTCTTACACACACAAGCGAGAAAGTCACTTGTGCACAGACCACTGGGTGAGGATGGTGATCAGGCCTGGAGGTTCTAATTCACGGTTCGCACACCAGGCCGTGATGCTTGCCTGCTTGCTTGCTTGCTTGCTTTAAAACACGCAAGAGGGAGTGTGAATCAGGAATGAGGGATGAGAGTCGCTTGTAAAGATCATGCACACCCCAGTTTGGGAGTGTACATTGCTAGTGCAGTTTTGGAAGGGATTCCCCTTTTCTGGCCTCCTCTTCCAAATTTCTGTTTCATGCACCAGATGCAAAGTTTTCAGGGCCTTGTGCTGGATGGAAACCCAACTACTTCATGCTATTTAGCAAACTCAGATTCACTACAATTCACAGCAGGACAAGGCTAAACAATCTTACACTCGTCTGCAGCTCAGATTTGGCGAACAAGTAGGTTGTCTACTTCTACATCTGACATGTTCCCGAAGATTTGGCAGCTATATCAACATTTCACACACCTCCTGGGACTTTGCTTTCTCTCTTGAATCCGGGTGTCTTTTATGTGCAAGAGGGAGCAATGGGGTCTAATCTACAAACACGTGCGACAATAATGCAGATGAAATGTGACATTCACCTCCATATTAACCCATCCGAAACCCCTGGATTGCCGCTGAATGAGAATGAGCCATGAAAATGCAATGGGAGGAAAGAGAAAGAGCGTGAGATGAAGCGAGACACCGGCGTATGAATGACACTGAAAAATGTTTGGGGTGGAACAAAGTGAGGAGATCACGGCATGCCTTCTCTGAGGAACGAACTGGTGGTGACACAGACTCCATGAGGGTGACTTGGTTTTGGGGACCCCCTTCTTTCCAGTGAACATGATTTATTTATTGTTATTATTTATTTAGTTAGGCTATTTGTATGCCGTCCTTTGCAAGAGCCTCCGGACGGCTCACACAAATAAAATACAAATATCTAACATAATGTAAATTAATTAATGACCCACTCTGGCTGCAATTAAAATATGATGATAAGATTCAGTATTAAAACTTATTAAAATATTGATCAAATAAAAAGGTCTTAACCTGGTGCCGAAAAACATAATGATGGCGTCAGGCGGGCCTCTCTGGGGAGCGCATTCCATAGATGGGGCGCCATTGCAGAGAAGGCCCTCCTCCGGGTGCTCTGCCTCCTAACGTCTTCCATGGAGGGTTCCCGGAGAAGGGCTTCTGCTGCCGATCTCAGGGGGTGGGAGGGCAAATAGGGAAGAAGGCGTCCCTTCAAGTATCCAGGTCCCAAGCCGTTTAGGGATTTATTGGTAATAACCAGCACCTTGAATTCAGCCTGGACTTCGATGGGAAGCCAGTGGAGCTGGTAGAGGACTGGGGTTATATGAGAACAATGCCCAGTCCCTGTTGGCAACCTGACAGCTCTATTTTGCACCATCTGAAGTATCCGGACTGTCTTCAAGGGCAGCCCCACGTAGAGCGCGTTGCAGAAATCCAACCAGGAAGTAACCAATGCATGCGTCACTGTTGCAAGGCAGTCGTCCTCCAGGTAGAGACGCAGCTGATGGATCAGCCGAAGCTGAAGGAAAGCGCTCCTCGCCACCGCTGTCACTTGAGCTTCCAAGGACAGCTCCGGGCTGAGGAGCACTCCCAAGCTGCCAAAGCACTCCCAGACATCAACCTGATAAACAGCCCTGCTGAATCAGACAAAAGGCCTGTGGAGTTGAGCTTTGCACTTTCCACCACAGCCAAGCTCCAGCAGCTCACAAGTTGGCTCCAAGCTAATCATCTTCCTCTGCAGTGTGTCCTCAGCACACGGGCAGAGGCATCCCCATGGAGCAACAATGGCTGAATGGAAAGATCTGCGTCCATCTGGTGTAGATGGACCCCAGACGGGCTGCTGGACAAAGCTCTCCTTCGAGAGCAAGGGCTTGGGCTTCTCAGGCACGGCTGGGAAAGACCTTCTGTCCCAGCCCTGGATAGCCACTTGCCAGTCAGTGTGGGCAATGCTGGGTAAACAACCTGGCTTGATATACGTATGGCCTCTTCCAAGGTTCCTTTGACCTGTGGTCCAACTCTAAGAAAAAAGGAACTACTTAACCTCTCTGGAAGAATGCAGAGGCTCTTGGAAAAGCATCAAGTGAACCATGCACTGCACAACTTTTCTATGCACAAGTCCATACCAATAAACCAATGGGTGTCAGTGTTCTTTTTTTGAGTTCCTCTTTTCCTGGCATTTTGTGTTTCTCCAAATGATTCTCATCGCGCACTCTAGCACAACTGGGTGCCTTCCACAACTGGGAGGGACAACAGGCAGCATGGCCTCCAGCTGTGCTGGTGGGAACGATGGGAGTTCTAGGCTGAGCAAAACAGTTCCACAAGCGGAACTTATCATCAACCAAACACTGAGATTTTTCAAGAAAGTGCCAGCCATCAGAGGCCGGATTCCATCCTGGAAAGCTTCCCATTCCTCCTGCTGGCCTGTCTAGTTTGTTTGTTTATTTATTTATTTTTCGATTTATATCCTGCCTTTTTCCTACAAAGGGCTCAAGGCAGCTTACATCTCCTCCTCCATCTTATCCCCACAACAACAGCCCTGTGAGGTAGGTTGGGCCGAGCGTCCGTGACTGGCCCAAAGTCACCCAGTTGGCTCCATGGCTGAGCGGGGACTAGAACCCAGATCGTCTGAGTCCCAGTCCCACGCTCTTCACCATGACACCACACTCAGAGAAATGTTTGATCCACCCAGCTTTGTACCCACAAACCTCTTTTCTCTTACCTTTTTTACATCTCTGACAAGAAGATGTAGGGTGTTTGGTGGACCCAGTCTCTGAAAAAGAGAACGCCCAGGCACTGTCAAGAGTTTTAATAGGGCGATTGTGTATTAAAAGTTGTGATTTACACATCTCCGAGCTATGCCCCTTCTCTTTCCCAGTTTTCCTCTCGCATCCCTCTCCTCCAAACCACGTTTTCTTCCCAGCCCCTGGCTCTCTTTGCCTTCCTTCCTAGGATGTCCTGCCGGTCCAATCCCTCTCTGGGGTCCAAATCATTGAGCCTGTGTCAACCAGAGGATCACCGGATCTAGCCCACTCTGCCGATGGCGACTTGTGAGTCTTGGAATCAGCAAAGCTTGTCCAAAGGTGACTGGCAGCCCTCCAGAAAGCTCAGCCCCTCGGGGACAACCTCACCCCTGGACGAAGTCCTTCCATCAACGCGCCTTAGTCTACTGCTATATATGTCCCCGTCATTTCCACTCTGCCGGGGATGCCCTGAAGGACACTCACCGTGTTATAAAGCTCTTCCAGGCGCGGGATGGTGAGGAACCGCTGCATGCTGACTCCATTCTCGATGAGGAGCTTCACGAAGTCCACCCGATCCAGCACAAGTGCATCCAGCATGGCTTGCTCCAAGGAATTGACCTGCAAACGGGAGCAGGACTGAACATGCTGTGCACGGGAGCGCTGGACAGAGACACGTCCTGCAAAGACACCTCTTGGAAGAGCTGCTCCGCCAGAAGCCGGGATCGGAGGTTCCGCCTCCTCTGGGCTCCACTCACGCTGCACTACTGCTCTTTCGTATTGAGAGTGGGGTGCCCCCCACTCCCTAGGAGTGCCTTGGTTGCAGTGGGATTGCACAAATCGTGGCAGATGCCACGAGCAGTTCCCACAGGACGGCTGTGTTTCTCGTGGGGGCTGCCCTGGCAGCAGCCCCCCGGCAGCTCTGGACATCTCCCAGGGCTGGGGCGAGTTTGCGTCCACCCTCAGACCCTCTCCATTATCTTCATGAGCATCGTGACGTGCGCCTCCAGGAGGTGGTGTTGGAGATCTTTCAGGTCGAGAGTTTGGGGAAAGCTCATAGAGGCTGCGTGCTTTTGGCAGCAAAAGAGGCGGGACCAAAATGCCAAAAATACAGGCCAAGGCTGTTAATAACGAAGCATTCGCAGGGCCAACGCCACATTTTAGGATGGGAGGGATGTGCAAAGGCAGATGGGGGAAAGAGGCTGGCAGCAAAGGAAGGCGGCCTGGTTTAGCCTGCAGGGCTGAGACGCAACAGCTCTGCGGTAACAGACGCAGTGCGGTGTGTTTTTACAACTACAGTGCGGTGTGTTTTTACAAGTACAAGTCCATGCGCAGGCATTGCATAACCTGAACACGCTGCCCTTTGGGGGCTAAGCACCAGCACCCCCACCATGCAAGAACTCCATCGTGGAGCTTATTGGGGGGCACCTCCCCTGCGTGTGAAAAGTGTCAATTTCACGAGGTTAACCTGAGCGGCTCGGCCCACGGCACACGCAGGAGGATCCTGCACGAAAGACTGACTTCTCTTGGAGCACATTTGTGTGCTAACGCACCATTTCACCCTCAAGGGAGGGGGAAGGCTTCAAAGACTTTCTGGGAAGACAGGAAGGCAGTTTCAAGCGGTACAGAAACACTAGCCTTCTAAAAAGCGAAAGAAGGAGCCAGCACGATGGTGCGTTCAAGGCTGCACCTGCTCGGGTTATTTTGGAGAAGGCATTGCAAGAGCGAAAGTGGAGCGGAGCTAGCGAAGGGGATCCGTGTCTGAAGAAGGGCAACACGGTGTTTACTCTCACCCAGTTGAGCAGCTCGATCTTCCTCGGATCCGTCTCTTCCTCCGGTTCTTCCTTCTGCTTCCCACCTTTCTTCTTGCCTTTGCCTTTGCCCCGCGCTCCTTTTGTTTGAGGCGCTGGAGATTTCTTCTCCTTTTCTGGGCCGGACCCGTCCGTAGCCGCGAGGCTTCCCAGGGGCTGCAGGTGAAACCCCAGAGCGATGGACCCGCTACATCCCATGCTGCCACTCGGTAGGACATACACACAAGGACATCTGGGGGTTTCGAGGGTGAAACTGGCCAGTGAGGCTGCCCAAGGGCTGGGCAAAGGTAACCCTATAGTACAGCAATCCAGCTGGACATGGTCAAAGCTGGGGCCGCACCCCCTTGCCAAGGCTACAGTTGGCACCAGGTTTCTTTAGGCTCTTAGGCAAGGCACCTTCAGGAGGCCCTCCCTCTCAGTGGGTCTACCCCCACACCACACTGTCGCCAGCCCCTCTTCCTCCTCGCCGTCTTTCCCATCACTGCTTGCTTGACAGCTAGAGAAAGCCCCTGAGCAGACACTCCGTGGCATCGGCTGCTGTGTCCTCACCAGCGCTGCTGGGCTGGGGAGAGAGGTGGGTGAGCGGGCGAGGAGGAGGAGCAGGAGCAACTCCAGGAGTGCTTGCCGCCGCCCCCCCCCCCCCCCCCGCTGGGGTGCAGGCCCTTGGTACGTGCCGACTCAACCAGTCCTGGGTGCCACCCTGGACGGGTCATTTGGCAATAGCCAGATGGCTTGGCCCTTCCTTGAAAAGCAGTCCTGTGAACCATAGGAAATACCAAACGGTGGCTCGGAGAAAAGGTCTTACCGGCCAGTGATGACCAAAGACAAAGATTTGGCTACGGGCGATATCCACACGGTTCCAGGCCAATGCTAAGCTCAGCTGATCTGGTGCGGATGCATTTGTACCTAAGGAAAGATACCGCTGTCCTTCAAAGCGCAGGCAACTGCAGCTCGACCAGTTCTAACCAGCACGCAAAAACAGACCAAGCTAAAGCAACCAACCAACCGATGGTTCTGCTCATGATCATGGAAGAATTATGGGCAACTGGTTGGCTTCAAAAGCGGCACTGGAAAGCAGGTCCCCACTGGATAAATGGAGATTTGCCTAACTAATCATGATAGCCTGATATGCAAATGGAGAGCAAGGTGCTCCCCGCATTTCTACATCCTCGCTTGGATAACTCACCTTTAAGAAGAGCTGTTAAGATCGACATCTCAATATCTTGCTGCCCCTCAGAGCCCATTCGGAACACCGTGATCTAAAGATCGGCAAACCAAAAGAAGAAAAGGTGCAAGTTACAGCTCCGTGTTGCCTTTTCCCAGGCCCACCAACCTCAGTTTTTGTCAACATTGGCCCAACCCCTTGACAGTGTTAGTTGTTTGTTTCTGCAGCTTTTCCAATGCCACAATAGCAAGGAGCAGAGCTGTGCACAATACTGTCACGCTGTGGATTTGTATCCGGGCGGTACAATACTGGCAATTTTATGTGTGATTCCTTTCTTATTTACACCTAACCTCAAGTTCACAGATGCCACATACAGTTTCATCAAGCGGCTCATCACAGCCCCCAAATCTTTCTGGGGCAGCTACTGCTAGCTCAGTTCCCACCAGCGTGTATTTGACTCTTTGCCCCAACATGCATTAGCTCTTTGCCTTTTCTTTCTAAAGGCCCTGTGTTGTCACAGGCCACAGAGCGCTTTAATGATTTGGTAGAGAAGGGAAACTGAATGGACTCGCCTGGATGTTCTGTCTGCAACCATTTATCCCCAAACTGGAACACGGGGATTTATAGGTAATCTGATCAAATTGGTCTCCTAATTCCTCCTTTTTGAAAAAAAAATTGCTATTGCAAAATGCGCATTCTCTAATTTGCTTACTTTATGTCCTCTGGAATGATACAGACACCAATAAAAAGGCAGCCGCGGGATGAGGCTTTTAAGACAGAAGGGCAGATTAGATTATATAATCACAAGGGATGCCCTGCCAGAGCAGATGGGCCAGGCAACGTGACCAGTTAAGCGCCTGAGAGGGGGCTTCCCCATTCATGCCTCAGGACAAAGTCCCCGTGTGCCGATGAACCACCGGCCGGTGCCGGAGTGAAGGCGGCAGAGGCACTTCCTCCTTCCAGGCAGTGCAGTGGCCCGTCTGGCACAGGCAGTGCAAAACCACCGAGGGATCCGGTGGGACGGAGGGCAGGCCTGGGAAGAGCGCAAATGGGAACTTGCACTAGCTTGCGCAACAGCTTTGCCCCAGCACTGAGCGGGACGGGGTGGGTGGGGGACCCTTCCAAACCCGACGGCAACGTTCACCCATGCGCCACCGCTTGGAAGGATGCATTGCTATGGGGCGGGGGCAGAAGGCGAGGGGCCTGACAGTTATGCATCCATGTTCATGCAAAACTCAGACAGAGAGGTGTGGGGGCAGGGCAGCTCTGTCTGTCCGTCTGTCCTTCCTTCCTTCCTTCCTTCCTTCCTTCCTTCCTTCCTTCCTTCCTTCCTTCTTCCCGAGGGGGCAGTGAATGCAGGCATAGCTTGGGTTGCTGAAACTGAATCTGGAGGAGGGAGGAATATGGGGTGTATCTTGGCAGTATTTTTGGTAGGTTGCTAGTTACTGGGTGCAAGGCGAACTGTTTCCTGAACATAACGGGAGACACACGCTACGTATCGACTGGGTATCCCGAACTTTGCCACAGAAATAAGCTCGGAGGGTTTCCTGAGGAGTGCCCTATTTCCACTGGTCTCTTGGATGTGCCTGAGAGCAAGGAGGGTCTTATTATTCATTTTTCGACGTGACTCCGGGTTGTTTTGTTGTTCCTTTGGCTGAAGGGCTGAGTGAAACCAACGCACACGAGGACGTCTGCGGTAGTCACCCCTTGTGCTGGTGACTCCTGGAAGGCTGGGCTCAGCGTCACGCTCTCTGCAGAGGGAAGTGCGTAAGGGCCAAGCCAAACCTGGGAATCCCAGAGATCCACTGGCATGATTGCTAAGCGGGTCGGAGGAGGCGTTGTCAGCTCGCCGTGACTGGCCAACTGCCACCCGGGCACAACCCACGGAAAGGCTCTCACAGGAGTGGCGCCCACTTTATGGAACGCCCAAGCAGGTGGCCATCCGAGGGGGACCTTCTGGGGGCCGGTTAAAGACCCATCTCTTCATTCCCTGAACGATTGTGCTCTCCAGTTAAGCCGTGGATGAATTACGGTGTTTTTCACTTTGGTTTTAACAGTAACTAATGCGTCTTCGCATTCATCGAAATGGATTTTAATTTCTGCTTCTGTAAACTGCTTAGAGATATTTTTGATATGTAATGATGACCTAAATGGATATTGTTATCATGATCATCGCTGTTGCTTATCTAAAATTATTATAAGCCGTCCAGAGACTTACAGTAATGGACGGGTTAGAAATACCCCTAATAAATAAATAATAAATACTATTTTTAGGTTGCCTGAAATCAGCTGCAGCAGTAATAGCAGATTATTGCTGCTGCTATTATATTATTATTATTATTATTATTATTATTATTATTATTCATGCTTAATGAATGAGCCTTGTTTTTCCAAGTAAGGCATCCAAGCATGGTCCAGCTGTGGCTCATGGGAACGGAGACACATGCAGCCCTTATTCCTTGCAGAGGTTTCCCTCTGAAAAAAATTCCCCAGCGCCGTTGGGTAATTAGCACAGATGGTGCCATCAGCTGCAAGCAGTTCCTTTGCGGGCAGAGAGCGGCTGGAGCGGGCATGTTGCACGGGGGAGTCGGCCGGAAAGCAAAGCGCCCGGCCCTCTCTGCGCACCATCTTGTTTGGGGGCTTTTAGTGGCATTACCCTTTTAACGTGCTCTATTGTGGCTCTGGCCAGCACTGTTTTCAATTGTTTTGACTCATCTTGGTAACTTCTGTGGATACGGTGGGATAAAAATACTCTGAAAGGATAAATACTCCTTTCCTTGGAAAAGGGGGGCAGCCCAGGCTAAGCATAACCCTTGGGTTCTGCCTCTTGATGGGTTTTGCCAATGGAGTCTGAAATCCTTACGAGTTCTTTCTTTTTCATACATTCCATGAGGATTACAAAGAGCTGGTGGGCTTGATTCCGGCTGTAGCTGAAGGTTTTCTGGATGGTGACAAGCAGCTGGTCCCTCAGAGATTCGCTGATAATGCTAAAACCAAGAGAGGCAAAGCAGACAGAAAATGAATTCACATTTAGGCTTCAGGGAAACAACAACAGCCATGCTTTAAAACAAAGTTTTGCAGCACGATTCCTACAGCTGTGGACTCGGAAGCAAGTACCAAGGAAATCGCTGAGTTGCTCCCAGATACGGGTTGCAGTGCTCATCATTCAATTTGTCCAGCATGTTTTGAATATCTGTTCATGACAAAACAATGAACAGATAGGAGATGAACAATCATTCTGCCTTGCAAGTTCTATCCCTCAACGTGGCTGCCCTGGATTGCTGCTATATGTAAAGTACTTTAGACATTGGAAACATGAGATAATACTAGACAAACCACCCAGCCCACAGATCTAGTCCGTGGGGCCTCCCAGGAAGGGAATCCATTGGTGTGGACCATTCCTCATGGTTGGCCTTCAACCCTTACGTCCCCCAGCACAATCATGCATCTAGGACGAGAAGCATCCAATTGGACGAGGAACAGCCATTCTTTCAAACCACAGTTTATTAAAGCTCAGTAAGAAACTCCGCTTCAATCCTGGCTTATTTTGAACTGACTTAGTTTAAACTATACACTGCAGTTTAAACCAAGAACAGTTCGGCATGGCTTGTGTTGGAGAAAAGATGAAGGGGAATCGCTCAAGCGCAATGTGTATTCACTACAGGAGACATCAGGGTTATATCTGAACTTGGCTGATGGGAAACTGTGGTTTGCTAGAAGCACGGGCATAAGACGAGCAAGGCTCGATATTCTTGTAGCATCACTGGCAAGGTCCAATGAGCTTTTCTCCAGTTGCCACTAGCCAGCTGTGTTGGGACTGCAATTCCATCATGCATGGTGCTGACTGGGAACTGGGGGAGGTGAAGTCCCAACATATCTGGAGAACACCATCTTGGCAGGGCTGCTCCAGCAGCCCCGCGCCTCTTACCCTCCTTCTTCAGAGTACTTGTGCGCGAACGATAAGATGTCGGATGCTCTCCCGCTGCCGTCGCAGACCACAACGGGGAGAGGCGGCTCTTCACGCAGGCATTCCAAGACGATCGATATCACATTGGGACCCCCTTCGACAATCAGCCCGACGACAGGGACACCTTGCCCCAGCCCTGCGGAAAAAACACAGGGGCCCATTAACTGGGCACCAAGATTTAAGAAAGATGCAGGAAAATTGGAAAGAGTCCAGCGGAGGGCAACAAAAATGATCCAGGGGTTGGAAACACTGCCCTGGGAGGAGAGACTGAGAAAAGAAGACTGAGGGGGGACATGGTATCCCTCTATAAGTACCTCAAAGGCTGTCATAAAGAGGAAGGTCAAGATCTCTTCTTGCTGATGCCAGAGTGGAGGACATGGGATAATCAAGTCAAGTTGCTACAACCCAGATTCAGACTGGATATCTCACAGGCAGAGCAATACGGCAGTGGAACCAGCTGGCTGGAGAGGGGGTGAGCTCCCCCACACTAGAGACATTCAAGAAAAAGCTGGGCAGCCCTCTGAGTGGGGTGGTGTGACTTGGTGTCCTGCAACAGCAGGGGGGGTGGACCTGATGGCCTTCATGGCCCCTTCCAACTCTGCTATTCCATGGTTCTATGATTCTGCGATCCAGGGGTTGGATCCGATGGCCTTCATGGCCCCCTCCAACTCTACTATTCCATGATTCTATGATTCTGTGATCCAGGAGTTGGACCCGATGGCCTTCATGGGCCCTTCCAACTCTACTGTTCTATGATTCTAAGAACTAGTTTGGAAGAAGCAGACATTTTGACTTCTCCGTTAGCCAGGATGTTGTGCGACACCAGGGAATGAGAGAAAGAGGGCTTCCTGAACGTTCTCTGCAATCTCAAAGAAGCATGGCTTCTGATTTCAAGACAGTCTGTGCAGCAGCAGAACACGGACACGGAGAAGCCGCTGCACGTGGCATCCATCTAGGCCAGGGCCCGCCAGGCGCTCTTTGCTGCTCGGCTGCGAGTCACGCCGGTCAGTCGCCGTGAGAGATGACAGCTGAGCGCCCTTTTGCTGTCCCTGCCTCTCGGTGATCTCCAGGCATAGGATGACAAAGGGAAGCCCGCAGGCCACACGATCCATGCAGACTTGGTTGCCTGTGAGAAAGCTGCAGGCCTAAACGTGGGGAGACATACCCCAAAGGTTTGCACACAATGCTCCGCACCCAAAGAGCTGAGGGCAGACACTTCCCAAGGGCGAAAACGGGCGCATAATCCCCGGGAACTGTGAATGGGAGACTGGCTTCATATGCTTGTGCATGCTATACAAACCAACACAACAGGCAGACACAACCAGTGTGCATTTAGCAACTGCACGTGTCGAACAGAGCTGCGCGCTGGGGACCGTCCATCGGCCATGATCCCTGGCTGCATTCACCTGCGGCGCTGGCAACCACGAAAGAGCCCCCATGGGCTCGCATTCACGGCTTGCAGCACGGTGTGCGTACGCAGAGTGGAATCGCTGGGATCTGCATATTGCTGGAACTAGAGCAGGGTCTGTTCAGCGGTGGCCCTGAGACACCGGAGTGACCTCCCAGAGGACACGTGGCAATGCTCTTCCTCCCAAGCAATCTGGAATGGGGCCACTTATTTTCAGAGGCTTCCAGCAGCTGAATTAGAGCTTTAAAGGCATGAGGTTATTCTGCTGATGACGGTCATCCATTTGGTGAATTCCCTACTTGTTCTTCAAAATGGAGAAAAGCAAAAGGGGCAGAGAGTCTCTTTTTAGGATTTTACTGTTATTACATAGCTTTAGTTGCTTCTGTAAATACCTCAGACTTCAGGAGAGGAGGTATATTTGCTTTTAAGCAAATACATGTGCCAGAAGATAAATCATTCCCACCCGCCACAACTGGCCAGTTAGGCACTTAATAATTCTGATTTCTCTGCCAACGGGATGTAGTGGTTGGATTTGGACTGGGGAGCTCAAAGTTCAACCAAAACGTTCTCTAGAATCAGATGTAATTCTCTGTCAGGGCTGCCTTCGGGAATCAACCATGCCAAGTTGTTGCAAAAACCAACATGATGTGAATGTGGGCAGAGCAAACGTTATATTCACCTGTCTGATCTGAATTAATTAACGTATTTGCGTGAGCAACAGCCATCTGATTTGATCATCTCACTACTCTGTCATGAGTCTTAAGTGGCAGGAAAATGTTTCACACGACCTCGACCAAGAAACCCCTCGCGTTTCAGGCTGCACCCAAACTGACACTTACGCGTGTTGATTTTCTGGAGTGAGATGTGTTTTTCCAGCTGGCGCCTCAGTTTCACTTCTGCCCCATATTTGCCGAGGGTGCCGTTGTCGGCGAGGATAAAATGCGTATGAGAACTGTTGAGCACAGAGAGTTTGCTTAGTGGGTTTGACATAGTTTGATAAACTCTCGTCACCTGTTAAAAAGAAAAGTGCAATTTTATTTCTATTCCGAGTTTGGTTCCATTTATTCCCTGCAAAGAAGCCGAAACGGTTCAAATCTGCAGCTTGCTCTGGGTGTATCTGGCTTTACAAAAAAAAAAAAAAAAAATGGCAATCATCGTCTCTCACCCCGGAAACCTGGGGGACCGAGATTCTGGGAGGAGCTGGTTAGAATTCTCTGAGTGCCCTCCACAAATGACAGTTCCCAGAAGTCTCTGGGGGAAGACAAAACTATTTATTTAGGCAATTTCTATCTTCTCTCCCCTCTGGCATGTTCAGGGCAGCATCCGCAGTCCCTTCTCTTCCGTTATTTTCACAGCAAACTTGTGAAGTAGGCTTTGCAAGGATGGTTGGACCAAAGTCCCGGCCGATGCAGCTGCAAATCGCAGCTCTTTGGCGTAAATATGCAAGGTTCAGAAATCCACATCCTGAAATTGGCTCATGTATTCCTAATGCGCTTTGCACCCCGCGGACCTCCGTGGGCAAACGCCTGGCCCTTCTGCATGCATCACCGAACCGCCTTTGATCAGCAAGGCTGCTGAGCGGCTCCTCTGCACTCGAGCATTGGCTGTTTCGCTACGCTGCCTACGAAGGGCCACCTGTGGGCAGCTGGTCAAAAGCAGAGGCGGCTGCCACATGCCTGCTCTCTCTCCTCCCCCCCAGGAGTGTGCAGCGCATGAGTGGACAGTGCAAGCCAGATCGACCTCTGTCCTACACCCCTTCTGTGAGGGTTCACTCATGCGGCCACACCTTCCTTGTTTCGGCATTCATCTGCGGACTCCGAGACAAAACCCTGCATGAACTCATGCGTTGAAATACGTGCTCTTACATGTATTTCCTCTAAAATACAGATTTTTATCTCAAAAATTAATCTTTAAATGCAGATTTGGTTTGGTTTGTGGTTGTTTTGAGCAGATGACTATGTAGCAATGTTAGGAGAAGAATGAAATCTGACATAGCGATATTCTGATCTATGTGTTACTCTGGTGGGTGTGGATCAGGCCCTTTCATTTTGAATCTTCTAAAGGCTGAATTCTTCAAGTATCCCAAATCTAAAGAAACCAGCATCCAACTGTGGTTTATGATCCTGGCTTGCTGTCAAATTGTGGTTTAGTTCCAGCAGTCTGGATGCAGTGGGGCCCCCTAGTGGTGAGGTTGGAAGCAGCAGTCTCCTCCCCATCTTGTACTCTCAACGGAGGAAGCAAGGCAGCAAGAAACTCAGAAAAGCACATTTGCCAAGCACCAAGCCACAGAATATGCCTTCAAGATATATTGGCTTGCGATACATTGTCACCCAGCTAGCTTTGGGTGACAGTCCAACGCACCTGGAAAACGCACCGTAGGTAAGGGCTGGCCAGGTTCAAGCCTAAACCGATGCACCAAGTGGCTAACAGCAAAGCAAGGGAAAGCAATGCAACACCTACATGAACTGAGAATACAGGAAATGGGCTGATAATGAAAGCAACCCAGAGCAAAAAGCCAATCCTGATGGAATGCTTTATCTAAAAATATCTGCTGAAAGAAAATGATTTCTTCTCATTTCATCTCCGTGCCAGGGAAAGCTTTCACTTCTGAGCAGCACCTGTTCTTGGGCTGATAAAAGCGCCTGGCCTCTGACTCTGGGCAGGCACACAAACGAGGAAGAGTCTGGCTTTTCTCACTTATTCGGTTTCCCCCGAACTCTTGTCCTTATAAATACTTGTCCTTTAATCCTTGCACACAAACTACCCTTTAATGCCTGTTGGATTTGCCGATCAGCTCGACGCATCCTTTCGGCAGAGGGCAGCGCAGAAACGAACAGCCAGGCTAGATGAAACGGAAACAGGGCACTTACATCTCTCCCGATCAGATCCTCCTTGTTCTCCACGATGCCCCAGGGGGCGATTCCTATGGCACAGATGCGCCCTCTAGATTTGGAAGAATGATCCTTCAAGGCATCTCCTACATGGCGAATGACACCTGCAAGAGGAGGGGTTCTCTGGTCCATTACAGTCTTCCCCACAGCACGAGCAGTGCCTTGGAGGGCCTTCTCCAGGAAGAATTCGCTCCCTGCATGTCTAGCAAGACATTCCAGGGTGGCCGCACACCACGGACTCTGGGCAGGGCTGAAATTGGTGACAATAATATCTGGGACCTTGCTCACTTTGCCCAAATTATATCTGGGACCTTGCTCACTTTGCCCAAATTATATCTGGGACCTTGCTCACTTTGCCCAAATTATGTCTGGGACCTTGCTCACTTAAAAATGGAAATTTTTAACTTCCCAAACTTTGGGAAACTTCCCAAAATGAAGTTCACCCCCCAGGTTCTCTAGCCTGAATTTTGAAATTGTATTATTTAAAGAGAAAATGGCCTAATAGCTTGCTATTGCAATGTAGGCTGCTTGGAAGTTCATGGCTGGCTTCGGGAACCACACAAGGAGTTGGTAAGGGTTCTGTCAAGCGGGGTTTCATGCAGCTCTCTGCCAGAGCGCCCAGCCCAGAGTGTGGAATGCGCTCCCCAGAGAGGTTTGCCTGGCGCCGAGCTTATTTTCTTTTTGGCACCAGGCGAAAACCTTTTTATTTAACTGTCATTTTAAGACTCAGGGATTCTACATGTTTAAGTTAACAGTTGCATTTTCATTTCATTTTATTTATTTCTTTTATGAATGGGATGTATTCATCTTTTGCTATTTATTGTTTTATCTGTATTACTGATTGTACTTTTACCATTGTTGTTGACTTTAAACTTTGCAAGCCTTCCTGAGACATTGACCATGAAGGGCGGAATAGAAATGCTTTAAATAAATAACCAACCAACCAACCCAGGGCCTGCAGCAGGGTTTCTCCTCCGCCAGGAGGCCAGGTTGCCCTCGAGAGCCAAGTGCACAGTCCGTTAATTGTGCCTGAACACGATGCAGTCTCAGGTCCTTAGCTAGACCATCACGGTAAGAAAACACTCTTCTGGAAGAGGCTGACCGAAGGGGACACCCTTCCCTGTGGAGAACGGTCCTTCTCTTACCTGTGCTGACTCCTCCAGTGAAGATCCAAGCACCGGTTGTCATGGCGGCCTTGATGAGGCCTTTCCCAAACACTTGCTTCAGTTTGGGCTGCATCTCGAAGTTCTGCAGCCCCCCATGGACAGAGATCAACAGTTTGGGGAGTTCCAGCTGCCAATCTTTCACCATGAGGTGCAGCAGTGCGTCCGGCTTTGTGTCGTAGGACACGCGGATATACTGCAAGATAATGTGGACGTAAGAACCTAAGAAGAGCCCTTTTGGATAAGACCAGAAGCCCGCCCATCCCCACCTCCCCAGACGGGATGGCCCGATACTCCAGGCAGTCTACCAACAAGCCTTGCTGGCCACCCTCCTCTTCCACTGCAGACTCAGAGTGTGAAGCATCCACCTTGGACTGCTGTATTTTGGGAGAAGCAGGCCCGTCCCTACATACACCCCAACGAAATATTATGGGATCAGCAGCACCAAAACCCACCCACTGGCTCTGCTAGGCTGACCGTCCCTTCCAGGCAAGGAACACGCTGTTGCTCACCATGGACTTATTGGTATGTCCCCCACCCTGGAACTCCAGGTTCCCATAGGCATCCGTGGGGGACACTTGGGTGTGTCTACTGACGGACCACTTCTCCGGCTGAGGATCCACCGGCTTGGTTGCTTCTTCTCCATTCTTGTTTGCAGTTATGCTCGGGGGAACAGGCATGTGCTGAGTGAGAAGCTGGCCACAGCAGCACCTGTGGGTGAAAGACGGGGCAGCAACCGATGGGTCTGTGCCCGGCGCACTGATGCGCAAAATGCTCTTCCTTTCCTTTTCCAAAATAAAGACTGGTGTTCTTCTCCAATTAAATTCATTTTGGTAGATGGCTCATAAATGTTTAAATGGATTGCTAATTTGATTACATTTGCATAAATCTCCAAAACAACGCTTCTGGAACACACTGCCCTTGTTTTCGGCATGATGCAATGGTTTATTGTAGCTTGCAATTACAAGGCATTTCCTTCTGAATCTGAGGGAGAGAGTGCCGGTTTTAAAACAATGTTTTCCACCTGCCATCTTTTTAAAAATCTACTGCCTAATTCATGAAGGCGGTTGCTCAGATAATCAGAAGGTTGCTAATTGTTTAAGCAGATCAACTAATTTATTAAACACTGGAGTCCTGATGTAGTCAAATGTCAGGGAACTTTTTGGAGCTAAAATATGACACGCAACATGAAAACACAGGGATTCCAGACAAATCCTCTGGGTGCTGGTCCCTTCCCTGCTCGGGGCTGCCGGGGTCCAGAACCGTGTCCCCAGCTCAGTCACACTCCAGCACCACCAGGGGGCCTTTCTTCTGTCACTCTGGTGGCCCACTTTGGGAGTGCCACCTGGTGGGCGGTAGCAGCCCGCCGAAGCAGGCCATCAGCTGACCTCAAGGGGCCATGCAGGCCCACCAGACCCCCTAAAACCCACCCTTAGACTTTGCTCCTCACTCTGGGCAACCCCTTTCCAACAGGAACGCATGGCTTAGGTGCTCTTTGTCTGGCTGCCAACACTGGACAAAGACAACACCTCTCCCAGCTGCAAATGCACACCTGCGTCTGGCCCTGTTGGCCCTCAGTGGCTGCACTGGGACTTGGCCAGGTCCCAGTCCGGACGATGCTTCTCCTTTTCCGCCACGTGGATTGCCAGCTGGCTTCTCCCACCCCCGCTCCTGCCAGGTCCTGGAACACACCTGCCTGGAGCTCAACAGCAGCCAGGAGCCTGTGAGCTGCTCCTGAGCAACCCAAGTGACTGCCCCAAAGAGATGCCAGGGAGGATAAAGCCCCCTTCTGGAGAGGATGCCCACCAAAAACCGAATCCTAGAACCCTGGAGCTGGAAGGGGCCAAGGAGGCCAGCCGGTGCAGGGCCCCCAGTGAAACCAGCCCTCTCAGAGGGCTGCCCAGCTGCGTCTTGTTCAACTTGAACAAGCACACAGGCAGAGGAGGAAAGATCACCTGGTGGCATCTTTGCTGTGGGCAATGATGTAGACGCACTCTCTCTTGGAGAAGGTTTTCTCGATCCAAGCTTTCTGACCCTAAGGAAGGAGAAAGAAGAACGTCATGCTGGAGAAACGGCAGCCTGGGGTGGTTCCCTCAAATGAAGCCCGAGCCTCGACATATTAACACAATGAGGGAGCAGCATATTTTAAGAACTTCTGCTGAAGTGGCATTCCATACCATGAACTCTCAAGACATGTTCTCTGCCTGCTGCCGCCATCTATTTCAGGCTACTTTCAGAAGATCTGTCTTATTTATGTATTTAAAAGGTCTCTGCATGTACTTCAGACAAAAGAAGAAAGTCTCTAGGAAGTTTATCAAACAATCAAAAAGATAACCCAGAACAAAAGAACAATATTATTAGTGGATTCAAAATAGCAATCAAAAGCAGAGTAGGAAAACAACAACAACCAACTGGCAGAGACAAAAGCAGTGATTAAGAAACCTGGGAATATGGGAAAAAAGGGGCCCCAGTTCCTTAAAAATAGTAGGAATAATGCCAATACCCCCAAGAACTTTGGAGCAGGCCTGCTGGATCAGACCAAAGACTTCTTCAGCTCAGCATCTTGTTTCCCACAGCAGCTGGCCAAGGATTTCTGGAAAGCCCAGAGAAACGTATACAAATTAACTCGATACGTTCATGCTCATTTGAAAAAAGAAATCTCTTCATTTGAGGCCACTGGCCGTGTGACTGGACATACGAAAAACAGAGGACCCAGATTGATGGATCTGGCCAACCTTAGAGAACACTTTACAGCCTTCCTGTAGCACAGATAATCTCCAGGCGCCCAGCTGCACAGCCTCACATCAGACGTTCTCAAAACGACACCCCCAAAATAGAGGTGCGAACAGGAGCAAGATCAAGAGAGCGATTGGCTAGAATTGTGTACTGGAAAAGAAGGGGTTTCCCTGGAGAGCATGGACCACGGCACGGAAGTTTGTTCTGAGTAGCTGCAACTCGGTTAGCTGAAAGATCACAGAATGTGGGGGCTGGAAGGACCTCGCCGTTGATCTAGGAGTTCCAAGCAGGCATCGTGCCAAAGAAACCTTGCCATGCCCACTCGACCTTAGATCCGCTGCTCCCCAATTCACCCCCCAAGGAGCGCTTCATGACTCCCGTCCCCCGTTTCCCGGGCTCATCCCGCGTGCCGTATTCATGTGCTCTTCCTCAGACTGTCCCAGGGTATTCCAAAAGCTCTTTGAGTGGTACTTTGGATAAAGATGGTTACTTTGGAGAAATGCTTATGAAATAGCAGCTGAGCCAGTACTTGGGACTTGTGTGTTTGAGTGCTCACACTTCTACAAGAGGTCTTCAAAAAGTTTCCACACTTTTATATTTTATAAATATATTTTATATATGTTTTGCTGAGGGCATTAAAAAGTTGGTACGATGCTGGGGAAAATGCATCGCAAGGGATGGGGACTATGTAGAAAAGTGATGGAATTGGTTTTTGAAATTCTTCAGAAATTGAGTTTTTAAAAGTGCAGAAACTTTTTGCAGAACCCTCGTAAAACTATCTATAGGTATATGTCATATATTTGACACAGTTGCATTAGCCAAGAAGCGTTTGATACCCAATCAAGTTTAATCTCTAGGTCCTGGGGGAGGGGGGGAGTTGAAGAACGAAGAAAGCATTTCACACTAAAAAATGCAACAGGGCTTCCTCGGAAGGCTAAAACGGGGACGAAGCAGTGACAGGATCTGTACCTGGTAAATAGAGACCGGAAAAGATGCTCTGTGCTTGGTCAACCGAACCACCTGGGTCCCTGTACCATGAACACATTGTTCATGTTAATGAGAAAGAGACCAGGGTAGACACACTGAATTACTGAACGAAAAACCTCACAAATGGTTGCATTAAAAGTTTCACTGCCCTTGTATGTTTAATCTTCTTACCAAAAGCTCGATTATAATCCACAGAAAATACAGTCTACCAGCTACGGGATCAGACAAACAAAATCCTCGCTGTTTTGTTTGGTTTGCACTCTACCTGGCTAAACAAGGCTGAGAAGCAGTCAAGAAGGCAACTGTTTCCCGGGCTGAATGTATATCACGCTTCCTTATTTGCTCTCAGAACAAATATTCCTACAGCAGAAGCCTTTGCGTGAAAGAATTCTGAAAAGAGTACGATGGATTAAGGGCCACATTTTGGCCCAGTGCTGGGAAACGTCTTCTGTAGCTCAACAGGCAACAGCGAGTCAGGAAAATCACTAGCACAACTCTTCATTTTTCATCAGACTCTAAGCCACTTAAAAAGTCCATCTTGGGTCAGTGCATAACAATAGCCTGTCTTCTCCAGTTGGCATTGTTATTGTTATCCAGCTCCCAAAAGAATGCCGTTGGGACAGCATTCAGAAAGGGTGAACATGTGAGCCTCAATCGCTACATTCCATAAATGCCAGCAAAGCAAACTTAGGTGAGATCAACCCTTCCTTCTTCCAGAATTAAAAGCGACGCATCAGCATGCAAATTGAGAACATTTAAGGTTAACTCCTAAATCTATGGAGGGACGAAGTCCGTTTCCTAGAGAGGGTATCGCAAAGACACGTGGCCAGGACTGGGAAGAATAGTGTAGGAACTTAACTAACAAATAAATAAACGTACATCTGAGTGGGATGGTGTCCATCTTAGTGGGATGGTGTGACTTGGTGCCCCGCAACAGCAGGGGGTTGGACCCAGTGGCTTTCATGGCCCTTCCAACTCTACTATTCCATGATTCTATGATTCTGTGATCCAGGGGTTGGACCCGATGGCCTTCATGGCCCCTTCCAACTCTACTATTCCATGGTTCTATGATTCTGCGCTCCAGGGGTTGGACCTGATGGCCTTCATGGCCCCCTCCAACTCTACTATTCCATGATTCTATGATCTTTTACTAATCAGAGTCCAAACAATATTTAAGTTTTGGCATGGTCCAGTTAAAAGCTTGGAGAGTTTTGTTCTGAGGACATGGCAAGAAATCAACAGGCTTCCCCAAGCCTTTGATGCATTCGGTGGCAACCGGAGAGCTAATTCTAGAGGTGGAGGCCAAGAGGTGGAGGCCGGGGTCTCTGCAGCCAGAGTTGCCTGAACCAGTCAGCATTCCAGGGCCTTCTGCCACCTCCGTGCCTTCCGCCTGTCTCCTTCCAGTGCGGCTGAAGGGTTCCGCCATGAGGCTGATGCAGAGCAGTGGTTCATTACAGTTTCCCCCGGCAGTCCTTGATCGCTGCTCCTTTCTTACTCCTCACTTAAGCCTCCTTGGAGCCCTGTTACAGGGCTGAAAGGCAGGGTAGAACTATTTGAATAAATAACAGACAAAGAGATGTTCTTCAGGAATAATCGCACAGAGCCTGAAATGGGAGGACTGTTCTCTTGCTGACCATCTGGTGCAGCCTTGGATGACTCTGCTCAAAACAGGACCCCTTCATAAAATAACCTTTGAGGGGGGAAATCATCCCGAAATGCATTCATAGGCACATGGCAGGACTGGTCAAAAGCCAAAAGGGTTTCATGGTCCTTCCATATAGTTTTATAGGCCACCCTACAACTAGCACTGGAAACTGCTTTGAAATATCAAATATTCTGGAATTGTTCTTTTAAGCCTGGGTATCGCATGTCCACTTGCTGAAGGGGTGTTTCAAGGGGGATGTGGAGATTTCTTGTTCAGGA